AAAGTTAATTGTGATCAGTGGCTTCTCGATACCGGGTCTTCTTATCACCTTACCGGTAATATTAATTGCTTAACTAATTTTAGTTATTTAGATGAACCAATTCAATTGACAAGCGAAAGGTGATGTGTTAGTTGATTGTTATAATGGATTACAATGGATTCCATGTAAATTAGAAAACGTTTTGTTTGTTCCTAAACTTGGGAACTTCAATTTGTTTTCATGGGGACAAACTGTAACTAAAGGTTTCGGTTTGAAATCAACCCCAAAATCAACAGTAATTTTCGATATTAAAACTGATAAGATCGTAATTGTTGCTCAGAAATTTGGTAATACTTTTAAATTGATGATTAAATTAAGAGAAATTGATGAAAATGTTGTTAATGTTGCCAAAGTTGATACTTTGAGTTCTTGGCATAAGAAGTTAGCTCATGTTAATGTTTATAAGATAATCCAAATGTCGAAAGATGGAATCTTACCGAAGATTAAGTTGGATTATGAGCCAAGTGAGTTTACCTGTGAAGGTTGTATTAAGGGTAAGATGATTAAGAAATCATTTAAATCGGTAACACCGAGAGAGGTTGAAGTTGGTCAAGCTTTACATTGTGATTTACAGGGACCAATGAGTGAACCATCACTGAATGGAAGTAAATTAGCATTAGTTATTAAAGATGAACGAAGTTCATTTAGAGGTGTTTATTTTCAACGATTTAAATCTGATTCATTTGAAAACTTCACAGAAAATGACTGGAAACAAGGTGAAGATTATCAGAACTGATAATGGTAAAGAGTTTATCGATTCTAGAGTAAAAATTTTATTTAACAATAATAATATTACACATGAGCTGAGTGCACCTTATACACCAGAACAAAATGGTCGTATTGAGAGAGAGAATCGAACTATCACCGAATTAGCTAGATCAATGTTGTTAGCTAATAACTTACCTAAATTCCTTTGGGCAGAAGCAATGGCTACTGCTGTATATGTGCTGAATATGATTCCGAGTAAAGGTCAACGCAAATTGACTCCCCTTGAAATGTTCACAAAAGAAAAAGCAAAATTTACTCACCTTCGACCCTTTGGTAGTATCTGTTGGATCAAAATTCCCGATAGTTTCCGGAAGAAGTGGGATCCGAAAGCCAAAAAGTGTATCTTCGTTGGTTACACTAAAACGAGTAACAATTTCCGTGTCTATGACCCTGTAACAAACAAAGTTAATGTTACAGCTAATATTAAATTCATAGATGATGATTATGATGCTGAGAAAATGATAGATGAAATTGTTGATGATGAACCAATTGATCTGGAAGAAAAGTGTTCAATTGATGAAAATGAAAAAGAAATTGATTTTGATGATAATTGTAGTGAAACAACTGAAATTTATGAACATCCACCTGATGATGTTGACTTAAATGATTGGATAAAAAATGTTGTATTTCAATCAATAGTTACTAATTGTGAACCTGTTAATTATGAAGAAGCAATTAATTCACCTGATAATGTTGATTGGATAAATGCGATGAAAGATGAAATGTCTTCAATTAAAAGCAACGATACTTATGAGTTAATGGATTTACCTGAAGGGAAAAGATCAATATCATGTCGTTGGGTTTATCGTATTAAAAGAAATTTGGACGGTACAGTTGACCATTACAAGGCTCGACTTGTAGCCAAAGGTTTTTCGCAAAAGGCGGGAATCGATTACTTCGAAACTTTTAGTCCCGTTGCTCGTTATGATACGATTCGAGCTATTCTAGCAATTGCTACTGCTTATAAAATGGAGCTACTGCAGTTCGATATTAAAACAGCTTTTCTTTATGGTGAATTAAATGAAGAAATTTACATGGCTCAACCACCCGGATTCGAAGATGGAACCAATCGAGTTTTAAAATTGAAAAAAGGTCTTTACGGCTTAAAACAAGCACCTCGTCAGTGGAACGAGAAGGTAAACAATTTCTTCAAAACCTTAAATTTTCACCAATGTGATGCTGATAAATGTTGCTTTGTTAATTTTAATGATGGAATAACAATTTGTGTTGTATATGTTGACGATGGTTTGATTGCGAGTAATAATCAACAACAATTAACAAGGTTAATTAATAAACTAAAAGAAACTTTTGAAGTTAAAGTTCATCCCCCTAAAGTTTTCGTTGGGATGGAAATACATCAGAGTGATGATAAATCAACAATTAAGATTAAACAATCAAGTTACATTAATGATCTTTTAAAAGATTCAAAATGGATCAGTGTAAACCGTTATCAACACCAGGTGATACTAATCATAAACTATCATCATCAAATCAACCACCTGATACTAATTTTCCATATCAAGAAGCTGTTGGTGCTCTCTTGTACTTGTCGATCATCAGTCGACCAGATATTACATTCATGGTAAATAAATCGAGCCAATTTAATTGCTGCTACGACGAAAGTCACTGGAAAGCAATCAAACGAATTTTTCGTTATTTAAAAGGAACAATTAATTGTGGGATAACCTATTCAGCCACGACTTCAAATTTACAGTTAATTGGCTACTGTGATGCTGATTATGCCGCCGATATTGATACCAGGAAGTCGACCTCTGGTTTTTGTGTTACTCTTGGCAACTCACCAATTTCATGGGCTTCGAGGTTACAACGAAGTGTCGCTCAGTCGACAACCGAAGCTGAATATGTTGCTATCGCTGATTGTCTTAAAGACGTTATTTGGTATCGTCAATTAATGAAAGAGTTAAAAGTTCCAATTGATTCTCCAGTAAAGATAATGAGTGACAACCAAGGAGCAATCAAATTAACAAAAAATTCAGTTTTTCATAAGAGGACCAAACACATCGATGTCCGTTACCACTTCATCAGAGATCATCAGGAAAGAGGAGAGATAAAAGTTCAGTTCATCCCCACCGATAAACAACCTGCTGATATGCTAACAAAGTGTTTGTGTTCACCTTCATTAAGAAAGTGTTGTGACTTTTTAAATATTAATTGAGTTACGTTTGGTGCAAGGGGAAGTGTTGGTTATATAAGCTTAATTCGCGCTTATTTAAGCTTAATTATTAACAATTTAATCGTTTATTATATTAATTTAAACGTTTTTAACTTTTCGATTTTCTCCCATTCACTTAACATGGGAACTCATTAGTTTGTCGCCATCTTTTCGCGCCCATTAGCTTTTCACTTGTTGTAATGTAATCATCTTGTAGAGCTCATTAATTGCAATCGATTCGTATATTAAGATAATTGATTGATCATTTGGTTCTCGAGCAATTAACCAAAAACCTTAAATTTTCATTAATAATTTAGCTTCAAGTAAACTTTTCGCACACACGATAATTTTGATGAAATCATTACAATTAAGACATGAATAGGGTATCGTTAGAAAGACAATTAAACATAGAATCGACCAACATACTAATCATTAATATGAGTTGATTAGTCTCTGAGATATGAGCCTTAACATTTGGTCGATTCCCAACAATTAAGTTAATCATTTTTTCTTAATTACTTTCATCTCTTTCTTTCTAACCTAATTATTATTTTATATTATTATTATTATTATAATTACCAATAATTATTGAGATGATCAACCAACTAATGACCATCCCTGCCCATTAGCTGACCGACAAAGGGTAAACTAAGTTTTACCATTTTACTTATTCTTTTCTTTTGTGCCCCAAACTGTCACTCACGTTACTCTCTCTCATCTTATCTTCTTTCTCTTCATCTCCTCTCATCTCTCTCACGTACACACACACAAACAACACTTTCAACCGCCAAAAATAACCAAACCCAAATATTGACCAATTGGGTCATTTGATTCAAATCTTTGTAACGACCAATCCACAGTATTTAAACCGAACCCAAACTAATAAACCTTGTCTTTAGTTGATGACAATTGAAGAGATAACATCTCTTAGTGTATTTTTCATTTTCTTTGTTTAGATCTGAGTGTTTCCTTCTTATAACAAGAAGAAGAGTTAATTTGATTAACAGTTTTAATTAGATTTAATTGTGTTTTTCCAACTAAAACCAACAATATTAATATAATAATCCAGGAACTAAATGATTTCAATGATCTTGGATCAAGGCCCTCGGTCTTTCAATCGAGCATTTCATTCAAGTTTTGAGTTTCTAGGGATCATGGTTGCCGAGTGATAGTTGAATAGCCCTGTATTTTTCTAATTGTTCTGTAATCAGAATTATTCCTCAGACAAAGCTCGAAGTGTCTCCTTTATTTATTTGTCTTCTTTGTCTTCCTTCACACATCAACATGGTAACTGTTGTTTGACTGTAAAGACGAAAATACTGAGGGAAGGAAAAATTACCAGTACAAAATTCAGATTTGAACGCAAAGAAATTTGAATAATCGACATTGACTTTCAGTTTCTTTTTGTTGAAAACCCGTTCTCGAGATTCTCAATTACCTTGACCTCTCAAAAACACAACTGAGAATTGCTCATATTCATTAACTCGTATATTTAATATCTCGAGTCTCATAGTAATTGAGACAGTATAATTTATCCGTCGTTTTTTATCCTTAATCTAAGTGTTTATCTTATGCATCATTGTCATTCAGAAAGGTTCGAAAAGGCTAAGAATTGAGTAATAATCATTCATCTTTCATTCCAAGATGCATGTTTAAATAAGTTTTATTTTCTTTTCTGAATAGCAATAACGAGACTAGAATGACTAACAAACATTTTTGAGTCAATGGTGATAATTTAATAAAGAATCAACAACATGATACTATTAATAATAGTTGTTGACAATAATTATCAATTCGATATGTTTTCAAGTGTAAAAACTGTTTGGTTTCGTCTTAATTGATCATCCGATCACTTGAAATTTCCAATACTTGATGTGTTACCATCGATGATTAGTTAATCAAGGTTAATTAATCAAGGTAATTTACCTTTATGATTGACGAGACAAACAAAACTCTCTCGTTATAATATCGCAATAAGAGTTTACTAAACGCAAAACTCACTGATTGACTGATAAAGTAAACCCTTTATATTTACCTGTTAATATTACCAAAAGCTACTTAATTATCAATCAATTTACTAGTAACAATTAACTTATACTCTTTGTTGAAACTTTATTCATTTAGAATGAAAAATATTATCATTATCGCTTTGTGTCTTATTGGTGCAGCCAATTGTTTTGTGCCCGGTGGTTTCTTCCCCGTGTCTATAGATGATCCTCAGGTAGTTAATTTAACCTCCAAGGCTGTTGAATATCACAATCAAATTTCCAACAGCGCTAATTATAAGAAATTAGTTAGAATTCAAAATGCTCAAGCTCAAGTTGTCGCTGGATCTAATTATGAGATCACTTTTATCGTTGGTTTCACCGATTGTGCCAAGTCCAATATTACCGGAAAAACTTGTAATTTATCAGCAAACGTAAGTTAATTATCTACCTAATTAAACAAAATGTTCATCACAAAATTTATTTTATTTGACTCAATTTAATTGTTAACAGACAATTCCAGAGGAATGTACTTACAGAATCTTAGTACCACTAAATAACCAAGTTGAAATCACCCGAGGCGATTGTAAACTAACACAAGCACCAACCATTGCACCCGTTTGATATTCTCGATGATAAACAGTTAATCAAATTACATGTAATTGATATTCTGATACTTTAAGTGTAATCAGAGTAAATTTTCAATAATAAAGTTAAACTTTGCTCGTTGAAATTACTTTGTTTTCATTTTCTATTATATAACTACAAACGTCCATATCATGATATCGGTGAAAATTGAATTCTGAGCCAATTCAGATTGGATGAATTGTGAAAACTTTTCAACAATTAAAGGAAAATGAAGCGTCACAATCAAAATTTAAATTAGAAACAATTTCTACTCGGTTGCCTTGGTAACTAGATTTTTCTGTTTGAATTTAGTAAACAAACTTTGTTTAACAAAGTTAACTGTTAATGTTTCCATCTAATCATCATCATGACAGAAACAATTAAATTAGATGTTAACAGGGCTTTAATTGACCCAAAATTTGAGACTTACTATTTAGCTAATCAAGAGGTTAATCAACAATCTATTGATTTGCCAAATTCTGCCAGTGAATTTACTTTACCCGATAAACAACTTTACAGTTTCCTCCATTTTTCCGCTTTTTCAAATGATTTCAATTGTTTGTTCACTGATCCTTTTAATGGTCTACAATCAGAGTGTTATTATGTTGACAATCAACTTAATGTCTTAAGTGTTGAAATTGATCAATCGAGTAATTTGATTAATCCACCGGTTTGTGTATTCAAAGTACCAACCAACAATTACCAAGCCAATGAATGTATGGTAACATTATCATTCCCATCTGAAGAGTTTGTTTTGATTCTGGTTTCTACATGGTAAGTTAATTAAGATGGTTTAGTTTATTGATTGGTATTTTAATTGTGCTTCTCATTTAAGCTCAACTGTTGGTCAAGCTGATGGACATTTATCCTTGTTGATTGTTTCCACTGGCCACCGACAAATACAGGCTCACAATTGGACTGTTGTTAAAACAATCAATTTGTCCCATGAAGCTTCATTTGGATTATGCTGGAAGAATGGAGATCAATTAGCCAAACAATTAACTTGTCCTGCTAAATTAATTGACAGTAATTTCCATTCAAGAGATGATTCAGATAAATTGAAAGTGATTATCCTTACAGTTGAAAAAAATGATCAAGAAAAATTTGAATGTCGATTGAATTGTTTACATTTAGCTAATCAAAAGATGGACACAAATGGATCATCAAACTGGACAATTGAGAGATTTCAACAATTAACTGGACCATCTTACCCATCATATATCGGTGTTGATACTGATAAAAATGGAGTATTGTTCATGACAATTGTATCTCCAAATCCATTCCGATTAACATTTGACTCTCTTGATAAACCAGCAGCAAATTGTGATGGTCAAGATGAGATGGACAAAGACGATGAGAGAGAAAATATTTATTTCTATTTTCAGGATGAAAAAGAGTTAACAGTTAATTTCAAATTTCCTCTGGATATTCAAGTGAAACACATAGAAGTTACTTTGGGAATCGATGAGATTGAAATTCGAGTAAAAGGAGAAACAGTCTTTAAGGAAACTCTTTGGGCACAAATCGACAAAGAATTAAGTTGCTGGAAATATGAAAGATTGAGGAAAGATGACATTCCCATTATCGAAATATATCTAATCAAAAAGAATAAGAATCAAATTTGGGATCAGCTGTTTAAAGGAAAAGAACAAGGATCTCATTTACCAATTGAAAGTGAACAATTAAGAACGTTAGAAGGGTTGAATTCATTGATTGTTCGCTACTCTGAGATAAATGAATCAAGTGATATTCCTTCAATGTTTGGTAATGAACAATGTGATGAAGTTGCTGAAGATTTAACTCTTTACCGTATTAATTGTCATCGACATATTATCACTCATCAATCTTATCTTACTGGACATCAATGGTTATTTAGTCGTAAACTGGACAATCGTTTATTACCCTGTTTCTCACTGAGACATGATGTTGATGCTTGTATTTGGCAGCCAAAGGTTAAAGGATCTCGATTTCATATTGAACATATCGCTACATTTTCAGCCTTGGGTTATGTTCAAGCTTCCAAGGAATCGAAAAGATTTTTTAACTGTTCACTTGATTTTGATTATTCTTTCATTGTTGATTCAACTAATCATGTCTATATTTACAAACAACCGGCTCCTTCCGATGGAGTTGTTAACCGAAAGAAAGGTGTCAGGCCTAAAATCGCCAAACAAAAGGTCATTAATCTTGGACGCGAGTTAATTCAAGTTCTAGGCTCAGTTGCATTCAAAGATCTTCTATTGATTATTAGTCCCAAAAAGTTAATTTCAATCAAAATCGATTTCTGATTTTACAATTGTAATAAAGTTTTTCCTTCACACTTCAATGTACAGGGCGATTACGTTATATTAACAATATTTGTTTCATAAAAGGCTTGCGAACTGAGAGTCATTGACAAGAATAGTTTATATTGTTGGACTTGTCATATTATGGGAATTGTGTACAATTGATAAAAAGAACACAAAGTAAACATGATGATGATTCGATGTACTTGTATTCTCTTCAATCGTTCGAGAGATGCAATTGTAAGAGTAACAAACCAATGAAAGCAATTAGAATTCCTGTTAATCCAAGACTTTTAGATAATCTAGAAGAATAATTATATTTACTGAATATTGAACAACATGACACCAAACGAGATGAATATACCTGATAATAGAAAAAGGAATGAAATTGAGTGATAACTCAATTTCAATTGACTAAAGTTTGGACTTGGTTTTCATGATTCAAACATGTTAAAGGTGCTCGATGAAGATCAAAGCATTTCAATCGTACTTGATAGACGATCCGATTGTACATAAGACCTCCTTCAAATGCACGATAGCTCCGTTGAAATATAATTCGACTAAAACTTTTACGCCTCTGCTTATTGATCAAGAAAATGTATCTTGATTTGAACAAAGGTACTTGAGATATATCATATGGCTCAGCTAGTTCATATTTGCTCCCGTGTTTGCAACCATAATTTTTAACTATTTTTAAAATCGGATGCAAGTTTAATTCCACTAACCTTTTCCGGAAAATACTATTATTAATGTATCGATACAAGTCAGATATGCTTTTACCTTCCCATTTGAAAACAGATAATTTTTCTGAGATCGTCCGAGAGATTTGATGCTGGTCGTTTTGAATTTCATTCCTGCATTGAGATATTTCTTGGACAAAAGGATTATAATCATATTTTATAATATCTTCGAGTGTCTCTAATTGTAAATAATCAACATAATTTACTAGATCAGTTTTTAATGAACAAGAAAAAAATATTCCAATAGTTAAAAGAATTGTAAATAGAATAAGCGAAAAGGATTGAGATAAATTGAGAGATGAAATCGTTGAGTTTAAATTTTGACAGGAAATTAGCTCGAAATGTGACCATAAAATGTCTCTAATATGTATTGATGGAGATGATCGCTTGGTCTTAAAATAAAGGATACTTATTAGGATACTCATCAGAAAGAATATCGTTAACCAGAACCAAGGACCAAATACAGATACAAAGTCAAAAAATGTCGAGTGAATAGTGTTAAATTTTAGCTCCTTTTTATGTCCTAAATAACATCCAGCTTCATCTGCGATTGATGCAGATGTCAAATTAGTACCAATACTGTCTAAATCACTAAGAGATGTTGCGAGTATATAATCGACATCACCAATTTGAAGGTAATGTAAAGATTTCGTACATGAACCATTGGCGAAACATTTACCTCCAATTGGATCTTGGATTGGTACAAATGTCATATTTAGTCCATTGAAAGTCGATGATAATATCTCTAGAAGATAAGGAGCCGCAGAACCGTTAATAGTGTTTGAATTGGATAATGTCCAAAATTTCGCATTATTGTAAACACCAATTCTAAGTGGAACCATTAGAAAATGATTTTAATTAAACTCATACAACCTAACTTGTTAAAATTTAATGACACTTATTATATCTCGTTTTCTAAATTTATTGAATGAAAAATTGATACAATACTGATTGATTCATCTAATTTTTTTAATACTAGTTAATTACAAAATTTCTAATTAGCAAGTTTCTTTCGCACTATAACAAACTTTTAGCTAAATAAAAGTTTATGAGTTCATTTATCAAGATCAATATTATATTACTTTGATAGTTGCTACTTTTGGATTAGTGAATCACTAATAGTGATACAATGTAAGTTATCAAAACCGATAGCGAACTGAATAATATATGGAGAATATCAATCAAATTTTGGACATTTGATGACAAATGATACTATCAATTTATCAATTTAAGTACAAAACTATTAGTTAATTAGTCTAAATAAATTTAATGAATACAATCCACTTGAATACTTGAATTATATATTCCAAAATTTAATATATAAAATATTTCTTAATGACTTAAGAGATGGACCCACGAATAAAAATGTAATTCGGAAGACAAAATTTATTAATAATAAATACGAACTTCCAACTAAACTATTAATGTTACATTGATGAATCAATAGCTTTGATTATCGACAATTTGATATTAACTTGATTTAGAATGAAACTTTAAAATTACTGATGTGAATAGTTTCGGGTTTTCAAGTTTTGAGTTACTATCCAGTTCTAATATTAATTCAGAATCGATTACAATTATGAACGTTACGATAAGAGTCGGTTCTTGGGATTATATTCCTTATTGGTATCTAACAAAATCTAATACAATTGAAGGTATTTTTGCTCCTTACGTTTTAGAAATGTTAGTATCTATTTTCAATAGGATTCATTTAACATTTATACCTATCGATAGTCGAATCGGATCTAAATGTTCAGACAACGGAATATGTACCCACGCGATACACAATCTTCAAGTTGGTGATGTCGATTTTATCTTACCAACACCTTTGAGTGCTTTGGACAGTATTGGTACTAACCTGACCACCGCTGCTGTTGAAATTGAAGATGGTTGTTATTTGGGTTACAAAAAGAAATTGAAAGTCAATGTCGACTATTCAACTTTCTTTGGATTCATATTTGAATTTGGTCCATGGTTCTGGTTATCATTATTGTCCCTCTTCAGTATTTTCCCATTTATTTTTGTCTTGATCATTAAACACAAAACACCATCAACCAATATTATTGATGTTATCTGGACGCAGATCGAATGTATTTTGCTTCAGAATTTCAATCCGCTGATTTTCACTCCAGGGTTATTCCAAGTTTCGATTCTTTTCATGTTCTCATTATTATTATTTGGTACATTACTATCATCATCATTGAAAACTGGATTAGTAGCCCAAATAGATTATCTGAAATTAGAGACATTTGACGACATTATCAAGTACGATTATAAACCTTTTGTTCAAGAAACTTCTCAATGTTTATCCGATACACAAAACGATCCTCATCCAAGTGCAAGGAAATTTCATCTAAATTAACCATTCTGGATTCACTTGAGAAAACATTTTCTGTTTCACAGCTCGACCAAGCGGTCGAAATAAACTACCGACCAGCTTTAGAAGCAGTTAAAATGACGGGTTGTTTGGATTGATCTTTTGACACACATTCTATATCATACCATATATCTGATAGCCCAATATACAAATCAAAATCGATTTTTCTAATAAATAAGCAAAATCAGCCGACAATAAACAAGATTATAACTGATCGAAGCTATCAAAGTTTCGAAGCTGGACTTATATTTAATCCAATTATGTACAAAATCAGACTGGGATGCTTGAAAATCGACAAGCTACCATTCTCATGTATGAATAGAGAATTCGAAATCGACCCTTCGTTCGAGCCAATAACTTTCCATTATCTTGTTACTCCTTCAATTTTTCTATTATCTGGATTATCTATTGCATCTTTGGTTCTGATTTTCAGCTTAATATTTTCGAATGATTAACTTTTCACGATGCTTTGGGTGCAATGATGATTATCATGAGATAATGTCACTTCATCTCTAATGTAATCAGTTAATTCACTAGAGTTTTCACTTTTCAATTCTTCAGTGGGAATTTTGGTCGAATGAGAAAGTGGACCTTTCTTTTTCATATTGTTCATCTTTTATACTGTTGATTGGAAAAATGAAATTTCTATCATCATTTTCTCTTGTATGCTCCGTAGCGCTCGTTGGTACAGAATCTTTAAGTTGGTCAAGAGTTTGTGTTTGTAGGCTTGAGATTAAAAACTCGAGATCAACTTTGGTTCTGAAGAAAACAAAAGAAAAGAAAAATAAATTAATGGTTACAATTAAACACCGAGAGCTATTCAAACTTACTTGCAAATAAGAATCCAAGACTTTTCATCATCCGGCTCTTCGCGGTAAAGTCTTAAACAAAATTCAGAATCAAGTTGAAACCAATATTGGTTACCATGAATATCCCTTCCTATGGGAGCCAAACGGAGAGATTGAGCTTCCATAGCATGGACATTAGAATATTCTGAGATAAATTTAACTAATTCTCTTTCCCATTTGTCCCGTTGAATTTATTATGTCTTTTTCTGAAAAGTTTAATGTGTAACTCGAACATTTCTTCTGGAGCTGTAAAGAGATGAAAATAACTCGACCTGTTAATCTATGAATTTTATTTGTAATCTGGAAGAATTATTAACTTATACAAAATTAAACAGCCAAGTATTGGGCATGTGAAAGGTTTGATTACCCGGGTAACAGAAAGTCACATTAAACGCCGTTTGAATATTAACGTATTAAGACACATTTCTGAATGCTTGATACATAATATGAAACGGGATTTGAATTGAGTTTAATGCTTTGAAAATTTTTCAATCTTTCATGTATTTTTCCTCACAATTCTGTAGAAATTCATATATGAAAAAGAATAGAAATGTACAATTTTCAAGCTTACACATACGCGTTGAAGGTAAAATAGTTCAAGGAAAACTTGGAATTCATGAATGAGAAGTAGCTTTTAATTATGCTCAAAATTGAAATCGATTTCTGACACCCAAAAATTATTCGGCTGATCAGTGACTGGAATTAAAATGATTTTACAATTAATTTGGCAAACATGTATTACATTGGTAATTTCTTGAGAAGAAACAAGAGGGTACATGTCTGACAATGTAGGGATAATTGAAGTTAATAGAGCGGACGATGGATTTTCAGATGTTGTTAAACTCGGTCGCTTATGTTTTTTGTATGTTTTCACAATAGCAAAGCAGTCACTGAGGTTAATTGAATCATTATCAGAAATGATAAATTTTTCGATTGTTCCAAACTGTTTTTGATCATGTTCATCCGTGAAAGATACAATAAAACTAGCTGATTTTCTTTTTTTCTTGTAATCTCGAGCATGATAAACACAATTTTTATACCTTAATCTACTCGTGGTATAATAGATATTACTTTGTGTAGGTGAAATATCTCTCGAATTCAGCAGTCTTATCCTCATTTGATCATTTTCTGTATATTGAGTCAATTCATCTATCAAACATGAATAACCTGTGATTCTTCTATGAAGACTTTCTGGAATTTTGCTACTGTTAAATTCCATGTATGAATCAAAATGTTCTCTTTGCTTCTGATCTATATATGCATTTACTATTTGTTGACCGAATCCTCTAGTCCCATTTATTGGTTTTTTCAATTCATATATGAATCCTTCAAATGGAAACGCAGAAAAATTTGTGATTGGCCCTAATTCTGCAGCCATGGATGATAAATGTTGCAAGAAATGAAGATTGGGATTCATAGATGAAAGTGAAAAGACTTCTTGGTGTGTCAAAATGTAAGCATTGAGAAGTGTGTGAGAAAGCCTGATATCATGCAGATTGACTCTTTCTTTGCAAAGTGTTTTTACTCCAACTGAAAGAGTCAATAAGAGAATTAAATATTCGGACGATAATTCATGTTTGAACAATGGTGGTAAGAGAAAAAGCCATATTTTGAACACACTTGCTTTAAACAGCTTCAATTCATACAAGGTATCAGGTTTTCGCTTAAAATCATGCGGGAAATTTATACTTTTGAGTTTTCTCGAAGTGTTTTCAATTACTTTTTTGTCGCAGAACGGCTTGGTTGATAGAAGTTGCTTAAAAACTCCTAGTAAAACACAGTGCATCCAATCGATGGGTACCTGGGATGGCAAGTCAATTACTCGCGTAAGGATTGTAGGGCCTTTGATTCCTTTAACTGGACGATTATGTCTAACCGCTTTTCTTGCATTAGTCATGTATGAATCATGAGTTCTCATAATGAATTCAGACGGATCTTTATATGGATAAACATGTTTACGTGATCTATCATTGATTATGACAGTCTTTCCAGGCTCAAAGCAATATGGACAGCCAAAAAAGCCATTGAATTGTTTTATATTTAGCGATTTGGCTTTCGCTACACTATCCATTACTATCAGGCCCACTTTTACTGCATATGTGTACTCTAATTGCTCGTACATGAAATGATTAACTCTGTCTAATAAACCTTGCAATTCATGCATGAAACCGTGTTGCCAAAGTTGTTCATGTGAAATTTTAGCTTCGCCACACCAGAAAGCAGAAAGACCAATGTTTCTTGAGTTACATCTATGTTTCATTGGAAGTTCAGCCAATTGAAAAGACAAAGGTGTGATGAACGTCTTAGTTGATTTAGTTAATCGTGCATCATCATTGTTGATGATAAGTGTTACTTTAAAATCAACATCTTCCTCAAAGTCAGACCATAGCTTTCGATAGAAATCAGATTGGGTAAATGGTTGTTTCATACATGAAACACTCTGTAGAATTTCATAATTTCTTCTGAGAAGGAGCTCTAAAGTTTTTTTCATATTGAAAACGAATAAATCACCATGTGTTTCCATACATGAATCTTCATCATTTTCTATGAAGTCATTTTCCTTTGAGCAAAATTTCTTACACAAGTAATCCATTGGCTCCACATCTATAACTTTGCGTAACTTTTTGAATGTTTTCGGTAATTCTTTTTCCATTTGTGATTTCTCAACGAAGCGTATTAGTTGATAAATAGTTTCACGTTTTTTAGCTGATAATCCTGAAGTCATTAATATTTTCATAATTGTCACATAAACGACTTTATCTTTCAATTCGTTGACAGGTGTCTCATTTAATTCAACTTCATCATCAAATAATGAATTACATTCATGATCATGGTCTGAACTTGCACAATTAAATGATAAATCTTCCTGGTAGTCATTTTCTTGCACTGAGTTTTCACTGTCAGAAGATGATTCATGCATGGAATCTCGAAAAAACTTTAAAAATTTGTATCTCTTATCATAACTGGACATTTTGATAAGAGTTTGATAAACACTGAGATAAAATTATCTTAAACGGATCTTGAATTTAATTTCCAGTTGAGATAATTTAACATAAACATTAAAATAAATTGATTTTTGAGTGAAAAATTGACTTGATTGTGTTGAATTTAATCTAATAATGCAAAGACGGAAACGGAAACAGCCCTCTTTAATAGGTGAGATAAGTTTTATAATGTTAATTACATGAATGTAACCGTTGTCTTTTTATTTTCATACAAGATTCTGACACTGAAAGTTCTCAGTCATCTAATGTATCGATTCCACGACAAAGTGAGTATCATTGTTTTTATCACCAATATTTGTTTTTTATAATGTTCTTATATATATTAAGGAAAGCGCCTTATTGATGACATCCGTGAACTTCGTAGTCAAGGAATAACCCAACAACAAACCCAGAGTGACCCAAATTTCATGAATGAAATTTTACGTTTCATGACTGAGATTTCAAAAAAAATAAGAAAACACCAAAACACTCGAGTTTGTTAATGAAAAGCTTGATAGAGTTATGAATGATGGATCTGTGAATTTTCAATCAAGTACAACTAACATTCATGATAGTCGCCAGGGGAAAAAAGAAATGGAAAAACTCATAGAAGAAAAGATCATGAAACGGAGATCTGATCGACAAGTAAGTAGATACAATTTCATCCATGGAAAATAAAGTTTTCTTTCTTTCATAAGTGGGTCAGAAGTACCAGAACATTCACAGTGAATGGTGTTGATGATGAAAAAATGACCAAAATCAGACAGTTTCTATGCGATTTGCCACACAATGCAACAGGACCTCCAAGGAAAATTGCCGAATTACTTTGGGACGAGGAATATCGTTCTAAACATTTACTCGGTCCAGTGTTAAGATCATCACACACGCATGAAAGAAATCAATATATTCCAAATGAAGAGGAAACTAAGCTAAGAGGTAAATGTTTAACTAAATCAACGCTAGTTCATGACTGAAACTAATAATAATTGCATGATTCATAGATATTCTGAAGAAAATTACAAATAAATATAACGAAAACGCGATCTGGAGAGTGTTGGTACGTGATGTTGTTAACCAATTGACGAGAAACGAAAGATACAAAAAGTCACTAAGACAAAAACCACAAACGATTCCGATGTCAACGATGATTTTTTGAATGAAAATCAGTAATAAATTGAAAACTCATGGATGAAAATATGAACTGGTTAATTTCATCCATGTATTGGCGTTAATATCGGAATAACCTTACTTTCTTTATTATCATACATGAATGAATTATTCATGTATGTTTATCAGTCATGCGCAGATCAATATCACTACTAAGCATGCGCAAAAAACATGTGTTCCTTTCTTGAAATCAATCAAAAGAAATCGGAAGTCGCCATTTTCATATTGATTTATTTTGTTTAATTATAAATTCATTTATTAAATTTGTTAATTAGTTTTGTCAACAATAAAATTGTGATAGTATTTTTGTTAATTTGTGACAATCTTGTTCAAAACATTCGTGAATATCAGTTTAAAATGGCAAAAGTTAAAAATGCAAAAGTATCTCATGCAAAGAAGCGGAAGTTGGAAACAGAGCAATTATCATCAGGTAAATTTTATTCATTTGTTGCCTGAATTTTACTTTTTTTTATTAATCATGATTCTTTTATTAGATTCAGAGAGTTCTCCGTCTACTTATTCAATTGCGTCCTCATCTTCAGATTATGATTCAGGTATGTTTTCAAAATTTATGGTCAATTCGTAATTCTTTTTTTTCTCATTCATTTTTCATAGATGAAAGTGTTTCGAAAAGCAAAAGTAGGAAAAAAGATACCAATTCAGATGACCAGATACTCAAAGAACTATCACAAAACAGAAAAATCATGTATAAAATATTGAAATCAGTTGAAAAAATCGAGAAAAAGTTAGGAAAAAACGTAAAAGAAGAAAAAATGCCAAAAGATTCAAAGAAAATCGCAGAAGATGAAATTGTAGAGGCAATCAAAAAGAAACGTGAAAATGATGGGGTAAGTAGTTTTCACGCATGAAAGTCAGGCAACAAACTAATAATATTGTTTTTCCATGCATGAACAGTGGAGAAAAACTGTCAGAAATTTCAAAGTAAATGACCTGACCAAGGAAAGATTGTCAAAGTTGAAAGATATTTATTTTGGTTCCATTGTAAAGCCACGTAAACTTGCAACTGAAATCGGCCGATTGTTATGGAGTAGAAACTTTATTTCTCGCTATTTAGTTGGCCCGAAAACAACAAACAGGAAAAAAGATAGATGTAATGAGTTACCACAATATGAAGAACAGCGGCTCAGAGGTAAATTTCGCTATCATTCGATTTGCATACATGATTCTCACTTGTTTTTCTTTTTCAGACTGTTTGAAAGTGTTTACAAGAAAGTTTCTTGACGGAAACAATTGGAAATGGTTCGTACAAGACGCTATCAACCAGGCTACCAGAGATATCAGATCACCATGGGATTTAGATCTTCCCATAAATGAAACAAACTTCGTCATGGATGAAAATGAAGATAAAAGTGAAAGTGAGGTGCAAAACCAAGTATCTACAAGTGAAGAGCGGTCCAGGGAAAAAGAAAGAAAAGAAAAAGAAGAGGAAGAAAATATGCGAAAACTGCAAAAAGAGCATAAAAAGAGGCAAAAGGATGAAGAGGAAAAGAAACTACAAGAAGAGAAAAGATGTGAAAAAGAAAAACAAGATGAACAAGAAAAACAAAGACAAACTGAAAGTGGCACTATCATGGATGAAAATCAGCGGAAAGCTTTTGAAAGAGCTGAACATACAAGAAAACAGAAAGAACTTTTAGAAGAAGAGTTGAGACTTAAAGCTCAGCGCGAGCTCTTAGCTCAAAAGCAGCGTGAACTTGGAATACCAATGACGATAAATTTGGATCAAACTCAAGTAAAATACGTTAGCAAGTATCATTCATCCATGAAAGATCAAAGTTTATCAGATCTGCCATTGTCAGCCGCAACTATATGCATAAACAACATGCCAGATCCAGAATCAGATGATGATTTCACTGCTATCAAAAGAACCATCACCTGAATAATACAAGCGCCATATATGATAATAACTGTTCATTCTGAATCCAGAGTACAAAATGTTAACACCTAATCCCTCAAATTTAAAATTCTCTCATGAAATCTAATCCTAAAACATTTCCATACATGATCTCTATCCAAAAATTTATCTGCAAAGTTCAAAATGTTAATTTTCAAATATTTCATATCCAATTCTTACATGAAATCCAATCAACAAATATTTTTCATACATGAAATTCATCATTCATATCAAAAATTATCAAATATCCAATTTTTTTATTCATTTACAACTTCAAAACTAATTATTATTATATCAAACATTAACTAAACGTATCCTCTTCATCTACGATATGTGCAAAAATACCGCAATAAGAGTATAAATGTTAAGTTTCATTTATGTTACAAGTCTAAAATTTTCTTTATTTTCAAATTAAAAAAGTTTAAGCAATACCAACCATGATTCTCTTGTTTTGACCATTTATTTTAAATATTCTTGCAATGAAATCATGCTTATTTTGATGAAATATGATTAATTCGACTCAAATTCAGAAAATTGAAATTAATTTTCATGCATGAATTAAAGTTTTTAAATGCTCCGACTCACTTTTTCCGTACATATTCACACTTATTTTATTTATCTGGTCATTACTGAAAACACGAAATCTGAAGAAATCTACGCGTGAAACATCAAATATTGACATATTCAACTAAATTTTGATGCTATTTACCAATATTTTATGCTATTAATTACATTCAAAACATGAATAATTATGGCGTTTGCATTAAAGCATTTAACTTGCGTTTAATGGGCTTTTTTTATTCCCGGGTATACATGTAGATTTGTTTTCTTGTCAATTGATGGCACAATTAATTGAATCGTAAAGTTGATTTTTCCGTTAATGTGATCGAAGTCCATCATCCAGTGGTAAATGTTTAGATGGTAATAGAATGTGTCTAATACTTATGTCCGATCTATTTAGACCAAGAAATATTTTCCAATTTTCTCTGGGACCTTTGTCGTAGGGATTGATAAACTTTGTATTCTGTTTTTCTTGTTTCTGATTTTACAATTGTAATAAAGTTTTTCCTTCACACTTCAATGTACAGGGCGATTACGTTATATTAACAATATTTGTTTCATAAAAGGCTTGAGAACTGAGAGTCATTGACAAGAATAGTTTATATTGTTGAACTTGTCATATTATGGGAATTATGTACAATTGATAAAATAAAAACAAAGTAAACATGATGATGCTTTGATGCACTTGTATTCTCTTCAATCGTTCGAGAGATGAAATTGTGAGAGTAACGAACCAATGAAAGAAATTAGAATTCCTGTTAATCCATGACTTTTAGACAATCTAGAAGAATGATTATATTTACTGAATATCGAACAACATGACACCAAACGAGATGAATATACCTGATAATAGAAAAAGGAATGAAATTGAATGATAACTCAATTCTATCGGCGTGACTAAAGTTTGGACTTGGTTTTCATGATTCAAACATGTTAAAGGTGCTCGATGAAGATCAAAGCATTTCAATCGAACTTGATAGACGATCCGATTGTACATAAGACCTCCTTCAAATGCACGATAGCTCCGTTGAAATATAATTCGACTAAAACTTGCACGCCTCCGCTTATTGATCAGGAAAATATAAATGGATTTGAACATTGAAACATCGGATACATCATACGGCTCTTTTTGTTGATCTTTACTTGCAAATTTGCAAATGTAGCTTTTAGATAATTCTAAAATCGGTCTGAAGTTTATCTCTACAAACTTTTTCTGAGAGATATATTTATACATATCATTATCTCGGTCCCATTTGAAAACAGACAATTTTTCTGAGATCGTGCGAGATATCTGGTGTGGGTCATTCCGAATTTCCATCATGCATTGAGATATTTCCTGGACAAAAGGATTATAATCATATTTTATAATATCTTCAAGTGTCTCCAATTGTAAATAATCAACATAATTTACTAGATCAGTTTTTAATGAACAAGAAAAAAATATTCCAATAATTAAAAGAATTGTAAATAGAATAAGCGAAAGGGATTGAGATAAATTGAGAGATGAAATCGTTGAGTTTAAATTTTGACAGGAAATTAGCTCAAAATGTGACCATAAAATTTCACTAATATGTATTGATGGGGATGATCGCTTGGTCTTAAAATAAAGGATACTTATTAGGATACTCATCAGAAAGAATATCGTTAACCAGAACCAAGGACCAAATACAGATACAAAGTCAAAAAATGTCGAGTGAATAGTGTTAAATTTTAGCTCCTTTTTATGTCCTAAATAACATCCAGCTTCATCTGCGATTGATGCAGATGTCAAATTAATACCAATACTGTCTAAATCACTAAGAGATGTTGCGAGTATATAATCGACATCACCAATTTGAAGGTAATGTAAAGATTTCGTACATGAACCATTTGTGAAACATTTACCTCCAATTGCATCTTGGATTGGTACGAATGTCAGATTAAGACCATTGAACGTTGATGATAATATCTCTAGAAGGTAAGGAGACAATGGACCTTCAATACTATTGTAATTTGATAGTGACCAAAACTGCGAAAGATTATAGACACCAATTCTAATTGGGATCATCATCAACATTCATAAAATTACTCTATGAAAGGAAGGGTATTGATAATTACCATTTTAGTTTCTCAGAATTAATTTGATAAGAACTTTAATGATACAGCTAATGTTTTGTAACTAATGAATAAGATCCTAAATAAATTTTGTAAGTTCGCATGGCTATTCAGCTAAAAGTTTATCAATATCATTACATTTGATTTGGTATATTAAAGTTTTAAACTTCTAATTAGTACAATGTATCCATGTAAGAGCTTGATAGTAGCCAAAAAATAATAAATTCATCAACTAGAGTGCAAAAATATTTCCCTATATTTTCTAAATACAATCAATTTCGTGCATGATACATATTCTGAGATTTGTTATATCGATAGATTAGTTTTTAATGACTTGGAAGATGAGCCCATGGAAAAAATATCTACAGATAGAAAAAGACAATCACATTCACTTAATAACTTTTACCACTGACATTAGATTCAAAGATACAATAATATTATTTCGAAAATATTACAATGGTCTTTACAATAAGAGTCGGTGCTTGGGATTATAAGCCTTATTGGTACTTGACGAAATCTAATACCATTAAAGGTATTCTAGCACCTTTCGTTTTAGAGACGTTATCGTCAACTTTGAATGGGATCAATCTGACATTTGTAGCGATAGATAGTCGAATAGGATCTAAATGTCCAGCCAACGGAATATGTACCCAAGCGATACACAATCTTCAAGTTGGTGATGTCGATTTTATCTTACCAACACCTTTAAGTACTTTGGACTGTGTTGGTATTAATTTGACAACGGCTTCGACGGATGGTGAAGATGGTTGTTATTTGGGTTACAAGAAGAAATTGAAAGTCAATGTCGATTATTCAACTTTCTTTGGATTCATATTTGAATTTGGTCCATGGTTCTGGTTATCATTATTGTTTCTTCTTGGTATTTTTCCAATCAGTTTGTTTTTGGCAATTAAAAGCAAAACACAATCAATCAATATTTTTGATGTTATCTGGATGCAAATCGAATGTATTTTGTTTCAGAATTTCAATCCGCTGATTTTCATTCCAGGATCATTTCAAGTTTCGGTTCTTTTCATGTTCTCATTGTTATTATTTGGTACACTATTATCATCGTCATTGAAAACTGGTTTAGTAGCTCAAATAAATTACTTGAAATTAGAGACATTTGAAGACATTATCAAGTATGGTTATAAACCACTCATACAAGAAATTTCTCAATGTTTACCTGATATTCAGAACGATAAATCTCCAATGGCGCGCAAAATTTTGTCTAAAGTGACACTTTTAGACTCTTTTGAGAAAACCTATGTGATGCCAAGAGAAGATCAATCTGTTGAGATAAACTATCAACCTGCACTTGGAGTAGTGAAAAGTTTTGGCTGTTTGAACGAACTCTTAGCAAAAAATCATGAACCATTCCACATATCTAACTGGCCGGTCTACAAATCGAGATCTAGTTTTTGATAAACAAGAATAACGAACCAACAATCAACAAAATTATAATCAATCGAAGCTATCAAAGTTTCGAAGCTGGACTTATATATAATCGAATCATGTACAAAATCAGATTGAGATGCTTGAAAATCGACAAAGTACCATTCTCATGCATGAATAGAGACTTCGAAATCGACCCTTCATTCGAGCCAATAACATTCCATTATCTGGTTACTCCATTCATTTTTCTACTATCTGGATTATCTATTGCATCTTTAATTATGGTTTTCAGTTTAATATTTTCGAATGTTCAAAGTTATGCATTAGATTTTTGTTGATTTTTTCCTGTTGAGGGTCATTTTTAAGGCCAAAAAACGAAATAATGATAAATCGAACCTTAAATTCGTATTTTTGTATAACCTTGAACAATGGACTATCCAAAAAAAATAAAATTGACCCTTTCACCAAAAAGTTAGACCCAAAAAGCCTTTCGTCCTTAAACTTTTGACGAGTTGATCGCTATGTAATGTTAATTATTAGGTTGAGTAATAATTAGTGTCCGTTTTTGATTATCGAATCTTTGATTTTAATCATCTCAATGATTCTAAAAGATTTTAATTTAATTTTTTTGACTAAATGATTAAGTCGACTATCAACAATGATAATCAACAATTAGTGCGTCAATTAAAATTTTTTTAATTGTTGAATTAATTAACTTAATTTTTGACGATTTTGGTCAAAAATCGGACCTTTTTTTTAAATTGGCCTAAAAATCGACTTGATTGACCTCAGGTCAATCAAAATATATGAAATAATAAGTGAAATTGATTACCTAGAGAATGGCAATCTGAATTTTCATTTTTGGATTTCGAGTCAAAGATTATGAGTGTATATAATCAACATCATCAATTTGAAAGTAATGTAAAGATTTCGTACATGAACTATTGGCGAAACATTTACCTATTTACCCTTCATAGTTTATCAAGATCAATAATTATAAATATTGATATTGATATTAATATATTGATCTCAAAGTATTAATAATTATAATTACTTTGAGATATGAAAATCTCTACTTTTGACTAGTGAAACGATTTAAGTTGTCAAAACCGATAGCGAACTGAATAATTTATGGAGAGTATCAAGCAAATTTTGTACATTTAATGACAAATGATATTATCAATTTATCAATCAAAGTAAAAACTATTAGTTAATTACTTGCGAAAATTAAAATATAAAATAATATATTTATAAATTGTAAAATTAATGAATCCACTTGATATATTCCAAAATTTAATACACAATATTCATTAAATATTCCTAATGACTTGAGAGATGGACCCACGAAGAGAAATGTAATTTTGAAGACAAATATACATACGAACTTACATTGATCAAATAGCTTTGACAATCGACGCTTTGATGCTATCATGTTTTAGAATGAAGTTTAAAAAATACATGTATTAAAAGTAATTCTTAACAGATTTTGAGTTTTTAAGTTTTTATCGTTGAGTTACTATCCAGTGCTATTATAATATTGATTGACAATCGATTACAATTATGAACGTTACGATAAGAGTCGGTTCTTGGGATTATATTCCTTATTGGTATCTAACAAAATCTAATACAATTGAAGGTATTTTTGCTCCTTACGTTTTAGAGATATTAGCATCTATTTTCAATAAGATTCATTTAACATATATACCTATCGATAGTCGAATCGGATCTAAATGTTCAGACAACGGAATATGTACTCAAGCGATACACAATCTTCAAGTTGGTGATGTCGATTTTATCTTACCAACACCTTTGAGTACTTTGGACTGTGTTGGTATTAATTTGACAACGGCTTCGACGGATGGTGAAGATGGTTGTTATTTGGGTTACAAGAAGAAATTGAAAGTCAATGTCGACTATTCAACTTTCTTTGGATTCATATTCGAATTTGGTCCATGGTTCTGGTTGTCATTATTGTGTCTCTTCAGCATTTTCCCATTTATTTTCGTCTTGGCCATTAAACACAAAACATCATCAACCAATATTATTGATGTTATCTGGATGCAAATCGAATGTATTTTGCTTCAGAATTTCAATCCGCTGATTTTCACTCCAGGGTTATTCCAAGTTTCGGTTCTTTTCATGTTCTCATTGTTATTGTTTGGTACATTACTATCATCGTCATTGAAAACTGGATTAGTAGCTCAAATAAATTACTTGAAATTAGAGACACTTGAGGATATTATCAAGTACGATTATAAACCTTTCGCTCCAGAAACTTCTCTATGCTTATCCGATTTACAAAACGACCCCCATCCAACTGCGAGGGAACTTTCACCTAAATTAATCACCCTGGATTCTATTGAGAAAAAAATATCTGTTTCGCAGCTTGACCAAGCGGTCGAAATAAACCACCAACCATCTCTGGAAATAGTTAAAAATTCTGGCTGTTTGGATGGATCTTTAGATACACACTCTATATCATATCATATATAATAGCCCATTATACAAATCAAAATCGATTTTCTAATAAATAAAAAATCAGCCGATAATAAACAAAATTATAACTGATCGAAGCTATCAAAGCTTCGAAGCTGGACTTATATATAATCGAATTATGTACAAAATCAGATTTAGATGCTTGAAAATCGACAAACCACCATTTTCATGTATTAATAGAGAATTCAAAATCGACCCTTCATTTGAGCCCATAACTCTCCATTATCTTGTTACTCCTTCAATTTTCTATTATCTGGATTATCTATTGCATCTTTGGTTCTTATTTTCAGTTTAGTATTTTCGAATGTCCATTGCTGTTCTTTTCTCGATGTACTGAGGGAATGATGATTATCATGAGATAATGTCACTTCATCTTTAATTTAATCAGTTAAATTCAATTCAATTCTTCAATGGGAATAAGCTTATGGTCGAATGAGAAAGTGGACCTTATGCTCCGTATCGGCCGTTGGTGCAGAATCTTTAAGTTGGTCAAGAGTTTGTGTTTGTAGGCTTGAGATTAAAAACTCGAGATCAACTTTGTTTCTGAAGAAAAGAAAAAGAAAAAGAAAGAATAATAAATTAATGGTTCCAATTAAACATCAAAAGCTATTCAAACTTACTTGCAAATAAGAATCCAAGACTTTTCATCATCCGGCTCTTCGCGGTAAAGTCTTAAACAAAATTCAGAATCAAGTTGAAACCAATATTGGTTACCATGAATATCCCTTCCTATGGGAGCCAAACGGAGATTGAGCTTCCATAGCATTGATACAGTTTTAAATTTGGCATTGTAATCAAATTGAGCTTCAAGGAGATTCTAAAATAACGAGTAACAGTGAAACAGTAGGTATAAAAATTTTGTCACATAAATTGTCAGATAACCAAATTAAAGAGACGAAAAAGGCTTAAAATCTCACCTTGAAAGCAGCGAGTCTGATACCGAGATTGACATTTTTGTATCCATATCTTTCGAGTTCTTAAGCATCGACATTAGAATATTCTGAGATAAATTTAACTAATGCTCTTTCCCATTTGTCCCGTTGAATATATTTACGTCTTTTTCTGAGAAGTTTAATGTGTAACTCGACTAATTCTTCTGGAGCTGTAAAGAAATGGAAAAAGATGGAAAAGAGAAATAGACTAGAAATTACAATTAACAGATTAACAGATTTACAATTAACAGATTAGAAATGTCTTTCCACTCTAATGAAATTAAATTTGATTAAATTAGATTGAAATCGTGTTGGAGTAAAAAAGTCACAGTATAATTTGTTAATCCATAAACTTTAATTAATATGGAAGAAGAATAAACTTATATAAAATTAACTTGATTACATAAAAAACAGCCAAGTATTGGGCATGGTAAAGGTTTGATTATACATGTAGATTTGTTTTCTTGTGAATTGATGGCACAATTATTAATAATTGAATCGTAGAGTTGATTTTTCCGTTAATGTGATCGAAGTCCATCATCCAGTGGTAAATGTTTAGATGGTAATAGAATATGTCTAATGCTTATGTCAGATCTATTTAGACCAAGAAATATTTTCCAATTTTCTCTGGGACCTTTGTCGTAGGGATTGATAAACTTTGTATTCTGTTTAAGTGATTTCTCCTTCTCCTTTTTATTAATGTAAGTTTCCACACAAGTCTCTCCTCTCGTGATTAATTTAGCGTGCCAACCACCAAGAGCACCGATAGCGAGAAAAACACCAACAGTAAGAAGCAATTCAAATATGATTGCTCCATTTTTCATGGAAGCCAAATTATTTATCACCGAATCCAATAAGGAATCTTTAGTTATTTCCTTAGAGATTTTGGTCTGAGACAAATGAGAAGAGATTAATTATTAAGGGTGTAAAACATTAACGTTGTAATTAAATGATCATAAAGATAGTTAGCATGATAAAAATTACCTTTTCTATTGAAACATCGAGATGATCATCAGTTGTTAGAAAGAAATGTTCATATGCGATGAAAGAACCGAAAATCATAACGAAAATAGTCCCAAGCCAAGTAAAAAAGCAGAAAGAGAAAAAGAATCGATGGTTAAAATGACCAATACAATTGTTGAGCCATGGACAGTGATGGTCCATCTTAAGAATACATTTATCACAGACTGAACAATGATGAGTTCGTGGAGGCTTTGGTGTCATACACTTTTTACATATCGAAACGACTTCAATAAGTAAACGATCCTGTAAGTTATTAGAAGAGTTAATTTAGAATAGAAAAATTCAATATTTTCCATTAAGGTAAATCTTACATGAGGTGGTTGACCAGGAGGAGTAGTTAATGCCATGTAATAATGGAAAATGACATTGACTAATAAATAATTTCCAATGGTTAAAGCTAATAGAGTAACGGGTACACTCTGATTCCACCACCAAGGTAAACCAATTGCATAAGCGATGACCACGAAAATTGTTAAGAAAATGATGACCATACTAACGAAAAAAGGTCCCAAGGAAGAGGTGAAATGATCAACGAACCAGAAAATTGGTTCCAAAAGGGTATCAGCAGCATAACCAAAGTCCAAATGATGATTATAAAATAAACTCTTCAAGGTCAATTTTGTGATGTACCAAAAACGGGAAACTCTCGTTACAGGAACGCTCCATAGTGAAATTAAGCGTTTCTTGAAAAAGAGAAGCAATCGTGACGCTAATCGCAATCCGATTGACATTAATACTGATAATTGGAATAATTTAAATGATAGAAAAAAATGATTTCCTTTGAAGTCGATGTTCAATGAAATGAACTTGATATTTGTGGAGATGAGGGTAAATCCATCAAGGTTGATTAAGTGATGAGGGCACAGGAAAGATTACAAATCTTTTCCGATTGGATAAATTGTTTTTGTAACCTTGAATTTGTGACCAGAATATAAGACCAAAAAATCGGATCATCTATTAATACATGTAGTTCCAAGAGTTGGACTGACCATTACCATTGTTGAAGTCAAGACATCTAAATAGAGAAAGAGAATAGAAAATCCAAATACAGATTAAATAAGCAAAAGAGCAGAAAAATCAATGAGGAAAATTGATCCAAATCAACTTGAGATTACCGAGCGACAGTTTAACGATGAAAATCATTAAATTAAATTTGAATTCCCATTGAAATCTGTAATTGAATCATTACAATAGTAAATGTGTTTATACTTACGATGCTTGAAGAGCTAATCTGAGTTAAATCGTCTAAACATGAAGTTTCCATTTAAAGTAATGACCAAAAAATTTAAAATTAAATAACAACAACTAAGAAAGAGATTAATGGAAACCGGTAACAATTAAGAATCGACATCAGTTGAAAAGTAAATAAACAAAATCACTTTTTCTGTTTCTCTTGGAAACAAATTTTGGTAATAAAAAGATCTCATAGATGGAGGCTTCTGTTAATTGTTAATTTCTTAACGTCTTTGGTTAATATTTAAATGAAATAATTGATTAAATTTTTATTATTTTACCGGTTGAAACATTTTTATTTAATACCGGTCTTAAAACGTTTTTATTTTTATACAATTGGTGTTATGACTTAGGTTATCTAAATGTAGATAACTTTACCGGTGATTTTTAAATCGGCCACATTAAATTGGATCAACTCCAATTTTTGTTTGATTAATTTCCTGTGGGCCTTTTCAAAATCACTTAACCGGTCAACACCAATGTATTTAATTAGGTCTAGAGACCATGTCTTTTTATCACTTGGGATGATGTGCAACATTGAGGCCCGAGAAAGAAACGGTTGGTTTGTCTTGGCTCGGTCAATGTTGACAAAGATCAGGTCCAACGTTTTTATGGCCAAGTAAATGTATTGATTAACCGGTGCGTTATTGTCCTCCAAGTCCCAAGAGAAATGGACACCATGGTGGAGAAACGATTTGAAAAACGTTTGTATGTCCTCCACCGGTTTCACATACTTGGATAAGCTGGTTGAGAGACAATTCCCATTCCTAAAGAGATTTAAATATTAAAAAGAGAAAAAAAATTCGATTAATTAATGTTCACATTAAATGTTATTAATTTGTTTCATTTGGTTAATTTACTTACTCTATGAAAGCCCGACGATTGATTTCTCCAAGTAAACAGGTCAATCGGCCAAAAGTGAGATCCGTCGGAGCCAATCCCTTACCGGTGTTAATAGTTATATCATAACTAGGGGTCAGCTTCATAAATGCTTGACCAGTCTCTGGATTCATGAATTCTTTGAGACACTTTTTCCCTTGTACCTAATAACACAAATAAAAGAAACGATTGACTATTTAGAATTTACTGATGACACGAAAAATTAAGTAAACACTCACCAGAAACAGATCCATTAATCGGTACAATCTAACCGGTGGTACCTTGGAAAGTAATTCATCGGTATACTTTTCACGAATAAATATCATATCGACATGAAATTTAGGATTGGACATGATGGCTAATTACAAGTGTTGAAATTATAATTTGATAGTTTTATTGGATTGAAAGTGATAGAAAATTAAACTGACCAATCTTGGAAAGTGTCTCTCTTTTTATATTGGGCCAATTAATTGGAATCATAGTAGCTAATTAAAGCCATCGGTCTGAGCGATGATCTCATTTTCGAGCTTTGAAACGCTAATTAAGCTTATCAAGCTTATTAAGGTAACAAACAAGATGGATAAACCAATACAATTGTATTAGTTAAAATTGATTAGCTAAAAGTTAATTGAATCATGATTATGTTCAAAGGATCTCTAATTTATTCAGTAACAATGATAATCGTATCACTGTAACTGCAATTGATTCTAATTGTTACTATGAAATTTCACAAGAGATTCTTAATTTCAAATCGGTTCATTCTGGAAGATTCTGGTAAGGTAAGGCCAATTCTCAATGGACATTGGTCATTGTAAACTGGTCCTTTAGGTCACTTTAACCCGACAAAAGAAACAAAGTTGTTTACCATTGAAAAGATGCAACTAAAATACCATTCCAACTAATTCTTCAATAAGAATCTTTTCATTAGACCAATCTGTTAATTGTTCCGATGATGAACCGATAATCAATAAAAAGTAATCATTTCATTTTCAATTGTACTGATTTTTAAAATTTAAAACAATCTTCCTATCATTTAGATGGTGAATGATTATTGATAGATTCAGATGATCTCTATTGATTAGTGATTCTATTGATTAAAATACTAACTTGGTAATTGTTTAAGTTGATTGATTAGTTGAGACTCTATTAAGGTGTTCAAATGGTTAATTAATGGTTTAATGGGAAAAATTAATTTCCACCCTTGCGAGACAATCCAACATCTTAACTGTTTCGTACATGTTTGTTAATTAAATTGAGTTGAGCTAAATTGTACTTTAATAGTTTAGTTTAGTATCATTTAGGAGTGAAAATTCACCTTAATTATCACAATTAGGAAGAGAAAAAGAGATGATTAACAGTTATGGAAATAATTACAACAATTAACTGAGAAATGAAAAGAGAAACCAATGAGCAGTATCAATGAAGATTCTGGTTAACAATTTAAAAAGAGTTTTTTTATTCTTAAATGATTAGTTGATTGTGTTTCTTTCCTCTGTGAATATCAGTTAATTGTGAAATTCATCTAATTGTTATCTAGATCAATCAGGGTTAAGATAATTGTACCCACAAAAAATGGATCACAATTAAAATAAACTAACAAGAATTGAAAATTTAAATGTCAACTTTTTTTGTGGGAACAATTATTTTATTTCCTTTGGTCGTTTAATCAACACTGTGATTTATTAATTTGTTTTGTGTCATTTTAATTGTCGTGAATATAATCTTTTCATCATTTAATCTAATAATCAATGTCAATTTGTTAAATGTTGATATTAGTTTGATGTGATAATAAACAATTGATTTCATCTGGTTAGTATCAAGAATCAGTTGACACTTAATAATATCATGAAATAAAAGAAATGAAATCAATTCAGTGATAATTATCAATGAAAATGATTAGTGATATTTACGTAATAATAATAATTTACAATGTTTGTTGTTGTTATTGATGGTGAACAATTTAAATTCAGTTTGTCAGTTGGAGTTAAAATTTAAAAGGTTAGTTGATAATAAATAATGAACATATTGGTTACCAGACAATTCAACGGATTTTGGTTTCTCTTCAGTTTGAATCTTGGGTTAGCCTTAAAAAGTCCGTTGAATTTGAGAGGAAGAGGTGGGGTGGAAGATGGAGACAGGGAGGGTGGTGGTGGAACAAGAGAGAAAGCGGGAGAAAAGAGAGAAAATGATATTCTCTGTAAGAAAAGAAAGAGAGACGACTCAAAGAGAGAGAGAGAGAGAGAGAATGAGAAGAGAGAGAGAGCAAGAGGCCGGTGAGTCGATGAGATGCTTATTTTCACTAGAGAATAGAAAAGACTAAGGTGATGTGAATGGAAGATGATGAATGAAAGATTTAATTTTGTTCGTTTGTAAGTGTTTGTAGATTTAAATCGATATTCTAACAAAATTGTTGTCATTCTGAGTTCTAATTGTGTTTTCGATATTGTGTTCATCTTTATATACTTTCCGGGTAAGAATTGATAAACAAACCGACTGAGTGTTTGTTGTGATTTCCCTTTACGTTAAGCTTTTTTCAGCCTCTTTTGCGAGTTAATTGTTTCGTTTTTAAAATCGAAAATTCGACACAAAAAAAAAGGAAAATGTTACCTTTAGACTCTAAGGATGTGGTTAAGAAACATTTGAATTCTACATCAACTGTTTACTCTAATTACTATTACAATTACCAGCCCAATCTGAATATCGATGCTGATATAATTGCTAAGGTGAAAAAGGATAATCGAGACAAGGAAAAGGAAAGAATCGCCCGATTAAGACGAGAATTCAAACAAGATTTGTCGAAATCGAAACGAGCCAAATATTCATCCGCCTCATTATCAGTCAATCGGGTTTTTCGAGATCTCAAAAAATTGGCCAAAAAGCACCTAACGAATGTCCAATCGTCTTTTGATCATATTCTTCTTTATAAAGTAAGTACATGACAATCTCTCGTTGATTGTTGACAATGTTGCTGTTTACTATTAATTCATTTTGATGGTTCATTGAGATAAATTGTGTTAACAATTAACAATCTGTGAGTGATGTTTATGTGTTGATTGTTGAGACATGAAAGCTAATCAATAATCTGAGTTGAACATATTGTTGACATTAACTATTGATTTTTACATCAACGATAAACAGATAAATAAATTACATCCCATGTCATCATCATTGATCAGTTGGTTTAATATTAATTATGGATTTATGGTTAATATGATGATTTATGATTAGGTCCCCTGTTTGATTGTCTATTGATTATTATGGTTCATGAGTCAATAATTATCTTTCATTTACTTTAATCTGATTATATTTTCATCTCTATCTAAATTTGGTTTACTTTCAAGTGATTATTATAATTATCGTTTCTGTTTATTTACTTTAGCGGTTTGTTGTTGTAATTGTAAAATTTAGCTTAATTGTTTCATTCTGATTGTAGTTTTTAGTTCAAACTTATATTCTGTTTATTTATATTGTAATCTCCAATGATTTACTTGTCTTATATTCATCATCATCATATAAGCATCAGGATTGATTTATATTTGAATAATTTGTTTGTGTTCACAGTTGAATAACCTAATTTAGTTTTGATCATTGATTTAGTTTTGATTATCGATGGTTAATTTCTTGGGCGGTGGGTAAATAATAATAGAACGGAAAAAGATACAGTTTCCGTTTTAATGATCATGTTAAACATAAACAATCAACTATTCATGATGATGGACAATCATCAAGTCTTATCACCATGAAGATCAATGATTTATGGTGGAAAACCAAATGATTAGAATTGTGATTATGATTCCTAATGATTTCTACCACCATGAGAACTCAATCTCTCCCTGTCTCTCTCTCTCTCTCTCTCTCTCTCTCTCTGTCTCATAACAATTGACATTGAACGAGTAACAACAACAATTTAATTTCCAAGTAAAGTCAAGGTTTCAACTGATTTTTCCATGATAATCTAATGATAAATGAAACCGTTATAATCTAAAGTTCAGATATTCAAAGGGCGATGAAGGAAATAACATTGAGGGTGGAAAATAGAGAGAGAGAGATGAAGATAAGAGGAGGAAATAAAACCCACGCACTAGAAGATGAATTTTCAGGAATCATGCTCCACATCCTTTCAGTAAATATCATCATTCTCATCATCCTAAGAGGAAGATAATCTCTTTCTTTTTACGAAAGGAAACCCTTTTCTTCATCTTCTCATTCCTATTGATCCACTTGAAATTTTGTCTCTCTAGTAGATTGACACTAAATCCTTTTTTTTATCAACAATCAATCAATACAATGACGTAACTTTTAATTTTCTCTAATTAATCTTCAACTAATCAATTGTTTTTCCTTTTCCTCTTTGTTAATTCAGTTTGCAGGAAGCAGTTTTTTCAGTGGATTTGAAAAGTTTCAATAGGATGGATTAAGATTAACGCCAAAGTGTAACATTTATCGTTCTCGTCTTTCTGGATCATCTATGTAATTAATGCTAATCAATTGGATTGATTGGATTGTCAATATTTCTTATAATCACAAAATCTGCTCATAATCAATGATTATCGATACAAATTTTAATCGTTATCATCTCATTTCTTCATTGATCATAATCTAATCGCTATGTCAACAGTTATAAGGAAAACTAATCTACTTTTATTTGCCTCGAATTGTGAATTAATTTTAAAATCTTGGAGTTTAATTTTGCGTAAAATTAATTGTTAAGAATCATGATTGATTTGGTTTCTTTTCGTTAAGCAAAAAAAAACAAGTTACTGAATTTAAACTAATTGCAAGTCTTATTATACGATTAAATTGCGCTAATTATCAATTGTAATAGACGCTTTTTCGTTTTCTGTTACAATTAATTGAAATGTATTTTCTATGGGACAACAATTAATCTATTAGAGTAATTATTGTTTTGTATTGTGTTCATTTTCAGTGAGAAAACGAAAGTAATTTACTTTAAATGTATTGTAATTTGATACAATAAACAGAAAAATAATAAAATGTTGATTTTCATTGTAAAATCAACTGAATGGCTATTCAAATGATTGAACAATTTTCCATGTGATTATTTATCAAGATGCTTACAAGACTAATTATAGTATTATTATACATAAGAATTAACAGTTTCTAGAACAATTTTATCAATTTATAAAGCAGCGGATCGGAAAACTTTCTGTGAATTCAAGGCTGTGTCTAGAGATTCCAATCTTTCTCGATATTGTTTTGTGGTCTCTTCGAATGATCCATCTCGAGTGTAGGAATCATATGTTATCGGCGGAAAAGCTAACCTTTCATATTGTTGTTCAATCCATTTTTCCTTTTGCTCACCAGTGTAAAACATTTCCGGAAGAAAATATCGATCGAAAATTCCTAAGCTAACCTTGGGTTGAATATAAGCCGTTGCACCCATCAGAAAAGCAGAAAAAGCACCAAACCCTAGGATCATTTTCCAATAAATCTTAGTGACCGGAGTTCCATAGATTTGCCAGAAAGGTGGTTTTTTCGGCCATTCTTTGTCGAATCGAGGTTCGGGTGGTTGTATAAGAGTTAAAGCTACATTGAATATTTTCCTAGAACGACTTGGATTATTGCCAGTATCAGACATTACGATTAACTAATTACTGACTTTTACAAGTCAAACTGAGATGAGAACAAAAAAAAACAGAGAACAAAAAGATTTAATGAAATTAGAGTTTTGATCGACTTTAAAAATCAAAATACTTACATTAAATTAGTAAAGGTAAATGTTCACCGGTTAAATTAATAGTAAATTGTGTTAAAAACGAAATAAAATTACAATTAACTGATTGTTGGAAAACAAATTCTCACATTTTTGAACCAAAACAAAGTCTATTTGAATAGCGACTTTTGTGAAAATAACATTTGCTTATTTTCACTGATAATTTTTTCTGCTCTTGATGTTGTTTAACTTTCTTTGGGTTGATTGTTAATTATTTTAATTTGTTTCTATTTTTATGGCGGTGACAATTCACACCGATTTGGGTGATTTAAAGATCGAACTGTTCTGTGACCTTTGCCCGAAAACATGTGAGGTAATTTTGAAATGGTTTCTTTGTTTTCTTTTTGTTTTTAGAATCAATGATTTCTGATGTTATTGTTTTTCTGTTGATTCGGTTTGTTTACTTTTCTTAAATAACATTAATTGTTTTTGTTTTTTTTTTCGTTGTTCTTTTTCAGAATTTTTTGGCCCTTTGTGCTTCTGATTATTACAATAATTGTCTTTTCCATAGAAATATCAAAGGTTTCATGGTTCAAACTGGTGACCCAACGAATTCTGGTAAAGGAGGAACATCTATTTGGGGAGGAAAATTTGAAGATGAATTAGTTGATTCACTTACTCATAATGTTCGTGGAATCGTTTCCATGGCCAATAGTGGACCGAATTCAAATGCATCTCAATTCTTTATCACTTATGATAAACAATCACATCTCGATATGAAGTACACAATATTTGGAAAGTGAGTATTACCCTTTACCATATCAGTAAATGTCACGCAACACTAACAAACAATTTACTAATCATTTTGATGATCTCTTTCAGAGTAATTGATGGATTTGATACTTTAGATGCATTGGAAAAGATTCCTGTTAATAATACGAAAAAATATCGACCCACAATCGAGATCAAGATTAAAAGTGTCACAATTCATGCAAATCCATTAGCAGGTTAACAATAACAATTTTCCATATGAACAAAGTACAAATCAAACTAATTAAACATCCATATCGTTCACATGCAAATATCGGACAATCAAATTGAACAATCAAACAGTTTCTTCAATTAATCTATTCGCACATTCAAATTGAAATGAACAAAGGTCCAATGATCAGCTGTAACTTTTTCCTCTTCTCAATCATCAATATAAACAAGTTCTTAATCGTTAATCATCAACATGATAATCCTGAACTTAATTGAATCTCTTTTCATGAATAATTGCCTATTGAATTAAATGAGGAGGTTAATTCATAGTCTTTAACATGAAATCATCTCGAGGATTAAGAAATTACTCAAATTTGATTAATTTGATTGTTTTGAAATGAAAACTTTCAATTCAATTTGGTCAAGAACAAATATTTAATTATTTAAATTATCATCATGTTGATTTGAATAAGTTGTTAATATTTTTTTTTTATTCATATGACAAATTACTTGTTATAAAGTAAATTTCTTGTTTCTGTTAATTGTTATAAACAATTTAATCGCTCTTCATATAAAATTTATATTATCGTCGTTGTTTTTTTTTCTCAATCGACCTTCATTTAGTGTTTACAATTAAGAGAAACAAAAAATTAACCATATATATGAATGAACGATAAAAAAATTAATAATAATAAAACGATGATGATCTTGCAATCAAGTTCAATTGATTAGGTCTTCAAGGAAGTAGCAAAAGATAATCAAAGTAATCAAATAGTTAACAAGGTAGGAAGAATAAAGTAATTAAAAGATTAAATTGATTACATCAGTTATATGACGATAATATCGTATAAGAATATAAATATAGTTCGATTAGAAGCAATTGATTAATTGTTAATTCCAATGGCAATGAATTGAAACACGAAACGAACGAGAAAAAAAAATCAAATTTTCGAAAAAGTGAAAATTTTAACAATTTGTTAACTTTTCATTTCTTCTTCCAATCAATTGTTAATTTCGGATAAATCAACTAATCTTTGATTAATCATTAACAAGATAATATATTGTTCGTTATTTGATTTTAGTTAATTTGATTGGTCCAGACAAGTTAATTATCATCAAAATAACAACAATTGAATCAGCAAAAGTGAAGGTGAGTTTTTAGCATCAACCTTGGCCGAAATTGTTTACTTTCACTTTTCAGATGAAACTTTAAATTGTAAAGAAAAATACAAATTGAGTGGTCATAATTAGTGGTCATTTTGTTGTTACTAATCGAAATTAACAGAAAATTTAAGTTAATAACAATCAAAAAAGAGAAAAGAATATTTCTCCTTAATTGTAACACTATTGTTTATCATTTTAATCTTCTCTCTCTTTCCTTTTCATCTTGATTAGTTAATTGTAGTTTAATTTAGTTTCTATTTCAAGGGTTGACCAATTTAAGGAATAGTTTTCCTGTCCAAGGTTTTAACTCTCGCTAATTGTTGTTGTTGTAATTATCTTGATTTATAATCTTTGTATCTTTTTTTTGTATTAATGAATTTCAATCTAAGAAAGTAACAATTATTATATTACCTGATTGTCCTTTGATTGTTTTGATTACTTTGGGTTAATGATGTTGATTATAACATAACAATCGTCTTCTATTTGTAGTTAAATCATTAGCATCGTTTTATTCAATGGTAAAACTTTGATGAGGCCACTTTTTTTCCCGATCAAATCAACATTAATTGTCTTTATAATAATGAAAGAAAAAACTTTCACTAAGTTTGACATGGAAAACAAAACAAATGGTCAAAAGTTTACTGAAAGAGAAACTGACCATCCAAATCAATGTCGATTAAAATTCAATTAAATTGCCGATAATAATGAATGTAAAGGTCAGTTGAAAATTTTCGATTCGATTATTAATCATTTCCAATTGTTGACCAAATGAAAAGAAGCTATTTAAAGGTAGCAATAGGTAAATAAATAGTCGAATGTCATTGAAATTAAGTTAATGTTGTAAGAAGGCGAAAGAAATGATAACTAAAATCATCTTGAAAGCTTAATTGCTGATTAATTGTTGATTAAGGACTATTGAAGAATATCTTGATTTGACCTTGGACAGTTCGAGAGATGATCGTCATTATTTTCCATTGTTAATTTGATTCTCTCAACTGGTCAAGTAACGGCGTTGGTGTTGTTGGGATGTAGGCGAAGTTTGTTAATCGAAGGACCGATGAAATCGAAAAAATCGAAGATGATTAGATATTCCATAGAACAATTAACTCTAATGAGTTTTGGACAACAAATAGTCAATTGAGATGAAGATTTAAATGTGAACACAAAGATTTGGAGGCCTAATTTGTTATCGAAGTGTAAATATGAAGTTACCTTTTTCGATGATGATGATTAAAGGGCTTGAGGATAATTAAAAATAAATCATCACGATTTAAAAGTATTGCGAAAAATTACCTTGTCCGATTTATCGTAATTGAATTTAATAAGAAGCAATCAACTGACCAAGGAAGAAATTAAGAGAGAGAGAGAGAGAGAGAGAGAGAGAGAGAGAGAGAGAGAGAGAGAGAGAGAGAGAGAGAGGTAAAACCAGAAAAGAAGATATTAAGAAGAAAAAAGTTCTAAAGAGAAAAAGAAAAAAAATGAATTAATCAACAATAGAAAACAAATATAAGTTATTGGTAAAATTAGTAAACAGGTTTAATGGTTCAAGACAATTAGTTAATTATTGATGATTAACTCTCTTAAAAATGTTTCCTTGTTTCTTTAGTTCTCAAGCTAATCAGTGATTCTCACCAATGTTAATATATGATAATTACAGCAACGAAAAATTAATTCAATGAACAATCAAAAGGATGAGAATGATGAAGATAAGAGGAAGGGAGAACTGGAATAAGGTGAAATTGGAAGAAAAGAAAGAGAATTAGAAAGAGAGGACAAATAGGCGGGAGTTAATTAGGATGAATCAGGGTCGCAATTCAATTCTAATTGTTGATTTCGTTCATTTTTATCTCCAATGGTGCGAAGGGGAGAGAGAGAGAGTGTGAGTGAGTGAGTGAGAGAGAATTGATGACGAGGGTGAGAAAAGATTAATAGACTTTGGATTTAGTATAAAAAGAGATTGAAATTCAGTTGAAATTCATCAGATTCAATTCTAACCATCAACAGTTAACTTGAACAATTTAATTCTATTCTTAATTTTGAGAAATCAATTTCTATTCCTAATCAACCATGAAGACTTTTATCATCGCCTGTGCTCTTATCGTCATGTTAACCGTCGCCTCAGTTTACGGTGAAGAGGATACTCTTCAAGCCGCTGAGTCTCGATGTAAGTGATTAGTTAATTGTTCTAAATTGTTTCCATTTAAATTTTAATTTTCTCTTTGTTTTAATCTTTTTTTTTACTTAGCTTATGGTGGCTCACGAGGTGGATATGGTGGCGGACACGGTGGTGGATCTAGAGGAGGTTATGGTGGTGGACACCGAGGTGGTTCTCGAGGTGGATACGGAGGTGGATCTCGAGGTGGTTACGGTGGTGGACACGGTGGTGGATCCAGAGGTGGATACGGTGGAGGTTCTCGAGGAGGTTACGGTGGTGGTCATGGTGGATCACGAGGAGGTTATGGTGGTGGTTCACGATCAGGTGGATACCATGGATAAACTTATTGACCATTTGATAAAAACTCTTGATTCTCACTCATAATACTCAGGTTTTAATTCATCTTGTCTAATTATCTGTTTCCTGTTTACTTCCTCACCTTCTCACTCTTCCGGTTTTCTTTATCTCTTTCAACACTCAGAACTTTTTTTTTCATTAAAAAGAAGACGGAAAAAGATCTCGTCGACAATCAAATTATCCTAATTAAATATTTTCCTTCTCTGTTCGTTACAATTAATGTACTCTTTTGGAAAAATTAAAAGAATAAAAGAACTATTTTGATTGTAATCTAATCGAATTGAACAATTAACAGTCGATACAAAAAACTTGAACAGTTTTCGCAAGTTAATAGATCGAAAAACTTACTAAGGATTCGAAGACACTCAAATTTCGTTTTCGATTCGATTCCTTAAGGATCTAAGAATTTCATTTAGTGAATCAGCCAAATTACTCATGAGAAAAATTTCAATAGTAATTCAGTTAATTATCATATTCGATTTGTATTTAATTAGCAGGTTTAAAGACTAATCCAAGTCCAAAATCAAGGTGAAAGTTCAAGATTGAAAGTGCCACACTTGATGCGTATCATTAACAGTTACAAATAATAAAAATTTTCCAATAGAAAATTAAACAAACTAAACTAATTAAACATCCACATTGTTCACATGTAAATATCGGATAATCAAGTTGAACAATTAAACAGTTTCTTCAATTAATCTATTCTCACATTCAGATTGAAATGAACAAAGGTCTTGATCAGCTGTAACTTTTTCCTCTTCTCAACCATCAATGTAAACAAGTTCTCGATTGTCTATCATCAATTTACGTTGTTTTGTGTTACTTATTTTCCATGTGATTTAATTAATGGACAGTTAACAATTTCCTCAGGTGTAATTCCCACTCTCATCGACTGGTGACCCTTAGAAGTGCCTCTAATTACCTCTGATTGGGTTGATTCATCTAAATTATTTTCCTCTGTTTCCTATCTCACTGTGTCTCCATATTGAAATAATCATAATGAGTAAGAAAAGATCAAAGATCTTACTGGCAATGTCCATTCTCGTGATAACAATATTCATCTTGATTCAATTCATCTTCCAACGGACAAATCTTATTCCCCAATTACCTGCATCTCTCATTTCCGAACCATTAGAATTGAAAAGCAGTGAAAATCCAATGGTAGTTGAAGATGTTGTTGATGATCAAAATAATAACAATAACATGAAAGAAATAAGCAAAGGAGAACCAGTTATACCCGATGAACCCATTCAGAGTCAAATGGAAGAGGATTTAGTTGTCCATGATGAGGATAAATCATTAATCCACCAATCTGATCAATCTTCAATTGTAATTGATCAACTAAATGTTTCCCAAATTTTACAAGATGGTTTCATTGATGAAAAGAAATCTGAATCCAAGGAAACCAATGAGAAACCAGTAGAGTTACCTAAGGTAAACCTCCAGGAAAACAAACCAGATATTAAACCAGAAATTGAACCAGAAATTGGACCAGAAAGTAAACCACAAATTAGACTAGAAAATGAGCTCGAAATTGGTGAAAAAGCTAAATTGGCTTCCAAATCAAAGGAATTTACGATAATTCTTTGGACTGATTTCTTCCAAACCAAGGATTACATCCAAAACTGGCAGTCTAATTGTGATTACACTAATTGCCAATTCACATCTAATCGTGATTCTTATCATGAAGCTGATGCTCTGATGTTTCATTCAGCAGATATAAAAACCTCTGATTTACCAACAGGAACCAGAGATCCTCAACAGCGATGGATTTATCTTAATCACGAATCACCGTCTCACACCGTCTTCCAACCAGTAGCCGCTCTCAATGGGTTGATTAACTGGACTGTTACCTATCGCCTCGATTCGGACTTTTCGTTATCTCCAGTTTTCCTTCCGCTCGAATCGGTGAAACCCGAGTTATCCATTAACCATTATCGACCTGGAAAGGTCGCCTGGTTTGTCTCAAATTGTAAAACACCTTCAAATCGCGAATCTTATGTAGATGAGCTTAAGAAATACATACGCGTTGATATCTTTGGAACCTGTGGTAACCTTACCTGTTTGCCGAAAATGTCCGATCAATGTTACGATACTTTGAGCCAAAAATATTATTTCTACCTTTCCTTTGAGAATTCATTGTGTCCCGATTATGTAACAGAGAAATTTTTCTCAATCTTGAACTATCCAATTGTACCAATTGTTTTCGGTGGTGCTGATTACTCTCGAATAGCACCACCTAATTCTTATATTGATGCTCTTTCTTACGATTCCCCAGCCAAATTGGCTGATTATCTGGTCCATTTGATTCAAACTCCAGAGGAATATGATGTTTACTTTAATTGGAAACGATATCATTATCAAACATACTCTCATTATGGTTGTAAAATTTGTTCAGCTCTCAATCAACCCAAACAATCAACTAAAACGTGGGATCATTTATCTGAATGGTGGTTTGAAGAGGCACCATGTAAACGCTGGATGGACGGCAAATTAGTCCCATGGAAATCACCCTGAACAATTAACATCTCCCTCTAATCATTTCCCATTAATTTAATTGATAAATTTATTCCCATCTGAACAAAGATGCTCCTGTTGAATATATTATCCAAATGATTTATTGTATTAGTTAAAAACACCATCAAAACTTTTAATTTTCATCACCTCATCACAATCACAATCACACCAATAACCAGCTATCGAGTTGATCGTAATCAAATTTGATTGAATCTCCCTCATCATCAATCACAACCCAAGACCAATCTTTAACCACTCATCTAACTTATTAACTAATTGTCTACAATTGAGTCAATAAAATTTGTGTACAATTTAAACTTCCAATTTTGATAAAACATATATACTTCCTGTAATTCATATAAATCCTAAATTAACTGAAAACAACAACCAAATCTAATCAATGTTAACATCCAAACAATCATAATTAATTTGTTCCTATTAATGTTGGATTAAAGCAATTACTTGTCAATATTTTTGATCAAAAAGCAAGTATATTGTTAATATTTAAAATGTGCTCTGTATCTAAATTGTTGGCCAACAAATTGGATCAATTTAAATAAAAGGTAAAATCTTTCATATCGATTGATAATATTTTTTTTATTCTAATCATTATTATTACGAATAAATTATTACGATAAAATAATATTTTCTCCTTCCGAGAAAAATGTCCACAGAATTGATTAACTGAGAGTGAGAAAGAAATATAAGAAGTTAACTGAATAGATTATCAACAATCAAATGTATATTATATTTCCATTGATAAATAATATCAATTGATGATGAAGAGAGAGAAAAAAAAATCGATTGTTAATGTTAATCATTAGATGAGAAATCAATCAAAAGTCTTGTTAGTAACTTAAATTGTTCCCCAACGCTATTGTCCGATTGTTACCTTTTTCCATCTCAATCAATCCCTTTAACTGTGATTACTTTTTCTGATCAATTGATCATTTGGTTAGTTATTCTAATTAGTAGGAAATGGTGACCAATTTCATTGAGAAAATTAACCAATGATTAAATTTGATTTCTCACTAATCAATGAGCGAGTGAGAGAGAAACAAAAACCTTAATGATTTAAGTTCTTGGAAAAAAAAATGGAAAACAAACAAAGAGAATCGAATTTTTTTCTCTCGATTATTGATTGTGATTAACTGTAAGAAGACATTTAAATTGTCAATGGATTGCTTAATTATCTGTGAGTAATTGATTGTCTAGAAAAAGAGTTAATTCTTTTGTGGAAAAAAAAGAAATGATTATTTTAATAGGACAAGAATGGAAAAAATTTTCAGTATGAGATTACAAAGGGAGTTTTATTTTCGTTTAATTGTTACGATTAAATTTGATTTTTTTTCGCTTGAAATTCGTTGATTGTTGTCATCAATTTTGTCTCGTTTATGGTTATCATAAACATCATCATTAATGTTGATGATATTTGTCTCACGCACATTCAAGAGACATTATTGTCTAATTATAATAAAAGTTTATCCTGATTCCTGGGAGTTCATAGTTATCAACATGATATTTTAAATTACTTGGAAGTTTAAAAATGTCGTAATTATTATAATTAATTAGTAGTTGGGGTTAATGTTCAAAAGGAGGCAATTGACTTGGTTAGGAGATGAAAAAAACTGTTCAAATACTGTACACAATGAAAATGATTGATCAATTTAAGGTATTAATAATATTGATAATAATAATTGTAATAATCCTTGATTAAGTATATTAGTTGATTGAAATTGTTTGTCCGAGAGCTCAAGAATCAATTGATTGTTTTTGATTTCTCTTCAAGAATCGACTTTATCCTTAATTGATGTTGCTTCTTTTGATGAACTGTCATTAGATTTATCATCACTTTTAGAATCGTTGCTTTTGGTTTCCACTTTATCCTTACCATTGGTGCTGTTTTTATCAACTGAATTTGAATTGTTACTGTTAATTGTGTCATTATTATTGGTATCATTAGTATTTCCATCACTTTCTTTGGCTTTGTCTTTTGATTCATCAGTAGTTTTTTTGTCCTCACTCTTATTACTATTGGAACCTGTTGTATCATCACTACTGCTACTTTTTTGACTAGACTGTAAGATGGAAACAATTAGTTAATTAAATTACAAATTTCATCAATATATTATAATTTCGGTCATTTACCTTTTCTCCTTGAGCTTTGGCCTGAACAGCTCGAGCTTTAGCAACTTTTTCCTCTATTATTTCTTGTCTCCTTTCTTCCGCTTTCGCTATTTTTTCTTTAATATCATCAACTGTCGGAATCGAAGCCCTTTGCTCCTCTAATCGTGCCAATCGTTTTGGTGGATGTTTCTTAACAATTGATTCTTCATCTCCGCCGCCATCGGTCACCGATGGATCGATTGGTATCTCGAATGCAACTGGTTTGGGCACTAGAACAAAACAAAAGACAATACAATCAAAAACGGACCAAATCTAATTCGATAGAAAAGTTGAAAAATTTAACTCACTGTTACCTGGAGTTGGTGGTCGATCGGATACTTTATTATTATTGTCTTCTTGGGCTATTGAGTCCAGAATTTTGTTCTTTTCATTGATACTATTTTGAGGTCCTTCTGATGTTTGAGTGGCTTTTGCTGCTCCACAACCCATTTGTGTGATTAAATCCGAGTAGCAAACAATGAATCAAAATTAAAAGTTAAATCAAGAACAAAAAGTTTCACTTTAAGAATATTGAGAAAGTTTCACCAATTCTTTGTAACTGATTAATCCGCTTGGTGAACGATGCACAAAAAAAAAGGAAATTGATTAAATTAAGTAATTACCACGCGAATTACAAAATAAATCAACTAAAAAACTTTGATTGAGACCAGAATTGGTTGAACAATAAGAGAGAAACAAAATCCACCGATCAAGAGGTAATCAAATCTGGTAAAGGAAAATAAGACGAATTGAATTATTGAATTGAGTTAGATAAAATATCTATAAACAAAAGGTAATATATTTTGTGAGAGTGAGCAACACGAAAGAGAGAGAGAGAGGGAGAGAAAGAGATGAAAAAAATATTGAAAGAGTAGAAAAAAGAAAAGGGAGAAAAAGAAAAAAAAAATCTCTATTCTTTTCCACCTTTGGCTCGTATTTGTGAGTGTGCATGTAGATGATATATCAATAGATGAATATATTATTCTGATGTTTATGATGATAATGATGAAAGAAGAAAAAAAAATAATCACTTGAAGAATATAAGAAAACGATAAGGGTTATTCACATTTAGAATGGACTATCAGGTAAATTACAGGTAAATCAGTTTTCTTTTTTCTCCCTATTTATTGCCACCAATTCTGTTATTTCTTCCTTGTCCACCTCCAATTTCTTTCTTTTCTCTCTCTCTCTCTCTCTTTCTATTTTCTCTGTGTTCCTGTTATTAGAATGATTATTTTAATAATCCCACCTTTGGCTATTCTCTGTATTACTTCCGAGTCTATCGACTCCTCTCTCTGTCTCTTTCCTCCTCCTCCTCCTTTGAAGGTGGTGATATGTTGACATTTCCCGGTCACTCAGTTACCATGGTTAAAATGAGGGAAACAAACAGGTAACCTGAGCGATAAGTTTTGTAAGTCCAACTTGAAGTAACAGTTAAACTGTTACAGTTTGTAGATTGTCGATTGGATGCTAAAGAGATGAATAGAGAGAAAAACAATTAGCAAAGAAATTTTTTGAGTCATTAATTAGTAATTTTAAGATGCATGCAAATTAGAATTGATTTGCAAATCCTCTATTTCTGATTAGAAGATGAACAAATTGTGAGCGAATTTGTTTGATAGAAAATTTAATTTCATACCTTGATTGTCTTTAAATTATCTTTTTTCTTCGTATTTAATTTTCTTCTGACGAAATGGTACTTTGAAAGAATTTTTTCTATGCTTTAGATTTTTCGGTTTACTGACTAACATTTGATAAACTTTTTCTTTCCATTCTAATAACTCAGATGATTCTCGAGATTCAAGTGATTTCCAATGATATTCAGGCCAATAACTCGAATAAATTGATTTGTAAGACTCTTTGATTGTATCCCATTCCAAAATGTCCAATCTTTCAAGGTGAATACACAACTTTTTCCATGCTTCAAGATTTTCTTTGTTATGAAAGAAATCAACAAATTCCATGAGGATAGTACAAGTATAACGAGAACCAACTTTACAGTAATCCAACATTTCAATGATTAAAGGTGAACAAGGTGAAAGTTGAGCAACTTTATGAAAACAATCCTCAATAATTTTCTCTGATTTTGGATCGGCTTTTTTATATTTTACTGTAAATGGAAGAAATAAGAAAAGACAAGATGAATTAGAAACATTTCGAGAAGAGAAAAACAGGAAAAAAAAACAAATACAAACCTAAGAACTTGAATATGTAAATATAAGCGTTTAAATTGTCACTGTTAAGATCTTTGTAGGCAATTAGACATTCGAGAGCTTCATCAATCTCATTATTATGAATATAAATGTCAAGAATACGAGGAATTAAAAAATCTAAAGGACCGGGTTTGTTTTTTAGAATTGTTTTCCAAATGTTAACAACTTGATCCAAAATCATGTAATTTTGTTGTGATGGTTGATATGAAGAGCTTAATTCATCAACACAAACCATATAATCACAAAGAGCCACACAAGAGTTGGCAATTTGTTCAAAAATGTCTTCGGTTACATAAGTCATGGTCCTTTTTGCCCAAACTGAATTGTATTCACTTTTGGCCTCCTTGTAGAAACCATTGCCAATAAGGTTGGTCATGAAATCGGCTAGAATTTCATATTTAATACAACAGGATTGGAAAAAATTTTTCAATAGAAAAGACCAAATGTCATTTAGTTTAAATAGATTGTAACTCATTTCGGTTGACATAAGGCAACAGATTATATGGAAAACGTGATCCTGACTCATCCTCGGATGCCGGGTAAGGGTGGGTAATAGTGTTTCCACCTTCCAGATAAGGTGAGAGCCACATAGAGAGGCGATTAAATGGTGTAAAGGTTGTACATGGATTAGTAAATTATATTCAGTATCAACGATCTCAGCACTTTTCAAATAGGCATGACGATAAACCCTAATTGCATCAGAAGCCATTACAATGAGGTTTCAACACAACGTTAAAAAGATTAACACAACAACCAAACAGAAACAAGTCCAAGTGCAACAAGAATAAAAGCAAAATGCAGAAAACAAACAATTAGAGAAAACAATTAACAAAATGAATAAATAATTAAAAAAAACAATCAACAATTAACAAGCAAAAAAAAAGACAATCAAAAAAAAGCAAACACGTTGAGATTATTTTAAAGATTATCAGCTGATTATTGGAGTGAAAGAAGAGAAAATAATCTAAATGATTGGGTGGTCACAATTAAGAAGAAGAGAATTTCAATATTTGTCAATTAATTAAAGAATTACAAGATTAGAGATGACAAATTGTTTGAGAATTAATTGGATTTGAGGACAAAAAAGAAAAGAAAAATTATCAATAGAATTTGAATTTTATTCTCTTCTCTCAATTCGAAAAAGGCGCTTCCATATTATGATGAATTCTAATTGGCTGATGACGTATTTTTCTCAAAGAGAAAATTATTTCTTCTAAATAAAATTTGTATTCTAAAAGTGGAAAGAAAATTTTTATCATTTTTTATTACTCATTAATTGTATTGATCTATTTTAAATTTTATCCTGACAATATGAACAATTTACTCATTATCAATGATCATTGGACAATTAATTTCTTTTCGTCTGTTAGCAGTTTAAAGAATCAAAGAGTTTTATCCAAAAAATAAAAGGATTTATTGTTTGTGTTTCTCTGTCTCTCTTTCTCTCTTTCTTTTTACTTTCCTTTTACCTTTCATTTAATTCATTTGCTCTCTTTCTCTATCTTTCTTTTTTTACATTTTTCTTTCTTCTCTCATGTTTTTTTTGTTTGTCGGCAGAATAAATTCACAGTTTTTTCTTTTACATTGTGAATTATTCAAGTGTCTCTAGAGTTACCACCGAGAATTTGGCTTTTTTTGGCGACTAAAAGAAAACCCGTCACCTTGTGTATATAAAATTTTCTCCAAGGGGCAAAGAAAAAGATCTCGCAATTTATTTATCAATACCAACCCCTGACCCAGAGATTAAAGAAAACAAGAGAAAGAGAGAGAGAGAGAGAGAGAGAGGTGATAAAGTGAATTTTTTCAAGTTAACCCTGTGTTCATGATCATCACCATCATTTTAATTTAATTAGCTGTCATCTTTCATCTGTCAATTGTAAATCTTATTTTTTATTTTTCGTTAAACAATCATGGCTTGTGTTGATGTAGACATGAATTCTCCTGTCAAATTGGAACAAGTGGAGAGTAAACTTGATACCACTGAGATACCAATCTGTGAAAGTGATCCTAATTTTGCAGTTATTTGTTCATTCATTGAACAATTTGGTTCATCTCTTGATCTACATTTGGACATAGCCCAATTAAAATCTATGTTAGAAACCAATGAGAAAAGTAAGTTAATAACTCTTGATGCATTTCTCATTCTCTTGTGTGTTTATTATTACATATTCTCTGGGACTTATACATGTTGTTTATTTCTTCAAATTATTTTCTCCTGTCATTTTTCTTTCAATACATGGAAAGTATCATTACGTTATTTATTAATTATTCTCTTTTTTTTATCATCTCTTTACAGCTCCAGAAGAATTAGTCGAGTTACACATTAAACTTCTCAGAAAAAGACGTAAATATATTCAACGGGACAAATGGGAAAGAGCATTAGTTAAATTTATCTCAGAATATTCTAATGTCGATGCTTGGGAACTCGAAAGATATGGATACAAAAATGTCAATCTCGGTATCAGACTCGCTGCTTTCAAGGTGAGATTTTAAGCCTTTTTTCGTCTCTTTAATTTGGTTATCTGACAATTTATGTGACAAAATTTTTATACCTACTGTTTCACTGTTACTCGTTATTTTAGAATCTCCTTGAAGCTCAATTTGATTACAATGCCAAATTTAAAACCGGTATCAATGCTATGGAAGCTCAATCTCTCCGTTTGGCTCCCATAGGAAGGGATATTCATGGTAACCAATATTGGTTTCAACTTGATTCTGAATTTTGTTTAAGACTTTACCGCGAAGAGCCGGATGATGAAAAGTCTTGGATTCTTATTTGCAAGTAAGTTTGAATAGCTTTTGATGTTTAATTGGAACCATTAATTTATTTTTCTTTTCTTTTCTTTTTTTTCTTCAGAAATAAAGTTGATCTCGAGTTTTTAATCTCAAGCCTACAAACACAAACTCTTGACCAACTTAAAGATTCTACACCAACGAGCGAGCATACAAGAGAAAATGATGATAGCAATTTAATTTTTCCAATCAACAGTATAAAAGATGAACAATATGAAAAAGAAAGGTCCACTTTCTCATTCGACCAAAAGCTTATTCCCACTGAAGAATTGAAAAGTGAAAACTCTAGTGAATTAACTGATTACATTAAAGATGAAGTGACATTATCTCATGATAATCATCATCCCACCCAGTGCATCGTGAAAAGTGAATCAGAAAATGATAATCTTTCTAAAATTGATTTAAAATCAATCGGTCAAGATTGTAAACAGCAAAGTCATCAACTTCCTAAACTTTTCTTACCAGACATTAACTTCCAAAAATCAAGTGCCCCCGCTGAAATCGACTCCGAAGTTCATACAGTTCTCAATAACCTTTTAGACAAAATATCAACTAAAGATCAATTCTCATCACAAAAAAAGCATTTGGAAGTGAACCTTCAAGATATAACAGATTTATGCAATCAACTCTTAGATCAAGTTTGTTCGAGCTTCCAACAACCTATCTCATCAAAATATACAAATGAAGATCTTGATGAACAAAAGCCAATCAATTTACTCGAGTCTTCGCCATCCACAAATTTAATTGAAGCATCTAATGGACAAGAATCAGGAAACAAGGAGCAAAGTGAAGATGAAGATTTAACACCATCAAGATCGACATTTTCTAGTAAAAAAAGAGGAAGAAAATCAAGAAGAGGAGGAAGAAAAACACAAAACCAAAATAATCGAAGTTTTGACGAAAAATCTGAATCAGAGAGTCAAAATGCAACCGAAGTACAAGTTCCAATTGAAGCAAAACCTCAAAGTGGTAGAGGGAGGGGAGGAGCTGGTAGGGGTAGAGGTCGTAGGGTCTCAATTCCAGAGCTTCAAATTATCGAAAATGCCGAAAGATCTCCATCGCCACAACCAATCAAACGTCAAAGTCGTAGGATACAAGCGCTTCAGGAGAAGAAAAATGCTGAACTCGCTGAGAAAGTGAAGCGGGAACAACAACATCTAGAAGAAATGGCAAAGAAAATGCAAGCAAATAAAGTTAAATCTCAGGAAAATAGCTGTGATAGCTTCAAAAGTAAAGACTCTCGAAAAAGCAGTTACAATACTGAAGAAAGTTCGAGTGAAAGTGATCAAGTTTCCGAAAAAAATCGATCTAAGAAAAAAAGAAAAAAGAAGAAGAAAGGAATCCCCGGAAAGAAAGGCTGTCCATGGGATAGTGCCGACTCTTCGAGTGAGCCGAGTGAAGAGGAAGAGGAAGAAGAGATAGAAGAAGAAGAAGACGAAATACTCCAATTTGATGAAAATGAAGACGAATTCGCTTGCGAAGAACCTGAGCCTGATGCTGAACCAATTATTCTCAAAAGAGCAAGAACAGCTAAAAAAGGTAAATCTAAACCCAAGAGATGGATTTTCTATTTAAAATTTTAATGGTCTAGCTTTTTAATCAAGACTTTATTTTAATCGTAATGTTTGTTTACCTTTTTTACAGTCAAAGAAAAAGCTCCCGACCAAGAGTCAAGTAGTGAATCAGAAGAGATTAATGATGATACACCTTGTCAACGTTGTGGCAAATATGACCATCCAGATTGGGTTAGTTATCGTATTTTTGACCAAATCACTATTTCAGCTATTTAATTACATTAAGACTTACCTTTGTAATGATCTCGTTTTTATAGATTCTTCTTTGTGACAAATGTGACGTCGGTTTCCATACTGCATGCCTTAGGCCTCCACTAATGTCAATTCCTGAAGGGGATTGGTTTTGTCCACCATGTGAAAATGTAAGTGACCAAAATTTATATCAATTTTTGTATTTTCTAACGTTTTTTTTTCATCATTTAATTTTAACAGAAACTATTAATTGAAAAACTACAAGAGCGCTTTGAAGTTTTATCAAAGGCTCTCGAAAAGAAGGAACTTGAAGAGATGCGTAAACAACGATTGAAACAAGTAGAACTTAGTCTGAACCAACTTTTCAAACCCAAGCCCGTTGAAAACCACAGGAAATCGACTGAAGAAAGAGAATACGAAGAAAAACCGGTTAAAAAATATTCTAAACGATTTTCTGATGAAGAATCTGATATGGAAAGAAGTGATAATGAGTCAGATGGAGAAAGTGACGAAAGTGAATATTTATTATTACGATCAGCTAGAAGTCGTAAAAAGATCAGTTATCAATTTACTGAGTACGATGCAATGATTAATTCAGCTATCCAAGATGAAGGTTACGATGAAGTGCCACAAGATGTACCTTTCGGTCAATCAAGAGGTAAAGATATGGCTACGATCGAACAAGCCTTGAAACAACAAGAAGCTGAAGAAAAGGAGAACGAAATGGAACCAGAACAATTTAATATCGAAAATGAAGTAGACTCAAAATCAGAAGATCTCGTGCAACCTGAAGTGGATGAGAAAGCAGAACCAGTTAACAATGAAGAAGAAAAGGAAGAAGAGGTGGTTGATGAAGATTCTGACTTTGAGCCTCAGAAGCGAAAAAAAGTAAGAAGACAAGCGAAAAAACGACGTTTAAACGACCTGGAAGCTCCTTCAGAGGACGATTCGGACGAATCTTTCAAAGGTGGATCTGATACCGAAGTAGAAGATGCGTCGGAAGAAACTTTGGAAGAATCTTTAGACGAAGAAGAAGAAGAAAGTAACGGCTCTTGGAAAAAGTTTAGAATATCAAAAAAATCTAAAGGTAGACGTGTCAGAGGAAGTAAAAAAGGAGGATATCGACGAGACGATTTTGTCGTTGATTCTGATGACAGTGAATATGAAGCTGGTGGACGATCTCGAACTAGAACCGCAGCTAGAAAACGTGTCAGTTACAAGGAGTTTACATCAGACGAAGAGGAGGAAGAATATGAAACAAGTAAAAAACGTAAACTGAGCGGTTCAGATACAAGTGATGAAGAATGGACTGAAAATGATGACGATGACGATGTCTAATTAAAACACCAACGCGTGTGTGAGGAACATCAAAGTAGCTCTGTACAGGATTTAAGGAAGTGCATGCGATAAAGTTAACAACCCACTCGATAAGTAAAGTTAAATGAAATCTATTTGTTTACACGATGAGACTTATTTTAATTCATTCATGTAATCACATTTAACTGCTCATCGATTTTTATATAACACAATCTACTATTCCTTTACTCGCACAAACTTTCCACTTGAAATCATCATCTCTCAGGCCGAGCCTAAATTGATCATACGGGCAAATTTAACTCGAAAGCAAAATAATAAAATTTGTATAATGAACTATTATTATTAATATTGATAATGAAATCCAAATCTAATCGAGTTTATAAAATTAATTGATCAAAGAATATTTTACAACAATCCAAGGCAACATTTAAACAAATTGTTTGTTTAAACTTAAAGAAAAAGCTCAAAACTCAATCTCGAGGTCAAAGAATTGACTTGAAAGAATAAAAGAAAAATTTATAAAGGAAACTTGAGTCCAATTCTATGCCGATTTAAATAATCAATAAATTCTTTTCGAATATGATATTTAATCAATCACATTGTTTCTATTTAATTTTTGTGATTGAAATTCTCAGATCATGAACATTTCATCAATTAAATGACTCTGGTGGTGATGGAAACGATTGAAGTGACAGTTCATCTGAATGTAATTCGAGTAAGAACCAACGATGATAATTCATCTCTCGGAAAATCAAAATGAGACAGATCGAAATCCACAAGGAGATGATGACATTTCCTCTTTAGCATTTTACTTAATCTCTTCAACCGACCGATTGCAGGCCAAGGAAATGCCGCTGCTTGAGGCCACCGCATCTTTCAAATGCTCCCTAATCATCCACACGAGCTGAACGTTTGTCCATATCAGACAAGAGATGGTCCATAAGTACTTCGTCCAACTAAAAAGGGGAGACCGACAATTCATTGGTCAGTTTATTTATTGGGAACAAATTCTAATTGCAGATCATCTTCACCTTCGTCCTAATTTTAGATCATTGGATCGCCAGGTCAAAGAAGCGCCTTGAAAGAATCAAAATCATTTTTGAAATTTATGTCAAATTCTGTTCCGATGTAATTATCAATAAACATAAAGCTTTTCTAATCACAAATTGAATCAATTATAATTTTTTCAATTAATTATAGTCAATAGATTGTAACAATTAGCAATTCCAATCAAATGAGTTGCGATTAAAGCCAATTAAGAGATGACGTACCAAAGGAAAAAGAAACAATCTCTATTTGATAAGAAAATATTTGACAATAGAGTCGCTTTTTAAGCTCAAGTACAATTAAATTAAGCAGAAAAAAACAGAAACTATTAATAATTAAATTCTTTAATCACTTGATAATTAAGCGAAAATGTTTATCATTAGTTTTAATTAGAAACATGAGATGGCAGTAAAGTTCTTTCGAGTAGCGACATCTATTGGATTAACAGTGGAATTAGAATTTATGAGATTTTGGTTTTTTTCTGGTGTTGATTTTTTACCCGAGTGACTTTTAATTTTCCCATTAATTGATTGTTGATTATTAGTTTGTTTTGCGTTAATTAATAACCTAGTTGATTGTTTCTTTATCAATATGGCTGCCCAAATGTTTTCTCGTCAATTGCGATCCCTGATGAGTCAAATGAGTCGAGATGTGATTAGACCAACATTGAGACGTCCTCTAAACACTTCTATATTCCAAGCAAGTCAAAGGTTGAATATTGATTGTTTTAAACCATCCGACAGGATTAACCGATTATCTTATCGACTTCATATGGGTTTGTCCGAAAGAAATAGACCTAAATTGGAACCAGCAGTGATTGAGCAAAGAGTAATGAAAATTTGCAAGGCCCATGATCGCATTGATGGTACCAAGGTAACTAACCACAAATGCACACACACACAATATATTGATAAGCGAATCATGGAAACAGATTAACCAACCAGATCATCTAATTTTTCCAATTCTATTCTATTGATCAAGTTTATCGTCTCAATACCAATATTCCATTTAATCTGTTTCTAATTGACTCTGGATGTATGGATATTCTGTTTGTTGACAAAAGTCCATTGATTATGTGACTGAACATGCTTTCAATTATCTCTATTCTGTGTGTCCTCCCTGGTTCAGTCTCGATATTCATGTTTCCTCTTGAGCAATTTTATCAGTTATCTCTTTGATTAGCACATTCATTTTCCTTTATTCCACTCTTATATTTAGATAATTGTTCATGGTTGTTTTTGAGAGATTAAAAAACTGGATATCGAGATTGAGATTTCCTTTTTTTTCTTAATTATCTAACAACAGAGATATCTGATAAAATTGACTTTTTCTATTATTTTTCCTCCTTATTCAGTTACTTAGAGTGGATTCAGTGTTGAAAACAGTTTCTAGACATTATGGACACAAACCTCCTCTTACTTACGATTTCATTCGTGAACGAGTTCTTCTTGTCCTCAGATTATACGACAAAATTGACCCAACCAAGGTATCAACTGAATCTATTCCCTTTCTCCATTAACAATTGAATATCGTTACTGTTTCTCAGGGAATCAAAAGTTAACACCTCATCTGATAATTTCTTGTATAATTTTCTCCTAATTAACTTGTGATCTTTTTCTTGCCAATCTTTTTGTTGGTTTATCTCTTTAGCTTACACTGGAAGCACATTTTATGAACGATTTGGGATTGGATTCATTAGATCATGTAGAGGTTATTATGGCCATGGAAGATGAATTCCAATTTGAAATTCCTGACAGAGATGCTGAAAAGTTACTCAGACCGATCGATATTGTTAAATATGTGGCTGATAAAGATGAAGCATATTTTGAATTACAAGATACCCATGAATACCCTAAATAACAAGTTAAACATTTAATGGCCAGTTTTGTGTACAAAACAAAGATCCTTACAGAATTCTGGTTCTAAACGTTATCAATTGTTTAATTTAAACAAAAGTGGATGGAAAACAAAATCCAAAAGCCAAAAGTACTAATAATAAGATCCAACATTTGTGTTTTCTTTGTAAAAAAACAACAACACCAACAACAACATGGAATATAGAATGGAATTTGGAAACAATGATTTAAATATGTAGTCTAAATGTTTCAATCAATTAAATAAAAAACATAACAATAAATAGAAATATTAATTAACTACAATTAAAATTTTGACAATTTTTTCACTTCACAAAAACAAACAAACAAACAAACAAATTAACAGAACAGATTAAAGAACAAGAGAAATGATTAGAGAGCACAATTAATAAGCTTCTAGACAATTCAAAGGATATTTAAAGAACAATTAACTGTTGAAAAATAATTAATCCAAAGAGAAATGGAAAGTCTTTAATTACAATTACAATTAGAATTCAAAATAAGTGGTTAACCATTTTCTCCTTTGAGATCACATGATAAACGGTCACGTGACTTTGGACTTGACAAGAGAAGAAGAGAATTGGTCTTTCTTTTTCTCTTTCTTTTCCTCTTTCTATCCTCTTATATTTTGTTTCTAAATTGTTTTTATATTTTTATTCTTGATCATCTTTCATCTAATTTAATTGTTGTTATTTATTTTAATCAATTCACAACATAATCTTCTTCTTTTCGTTATCAATTATATCGGAATGGAATTAAATTAGTTTACCTTTTGTCTTTCAATTCGAAACCTTTTTCTCTGTTTTTCTTTTCCTTCTTTTCTTCATTTATTTTGTTCTTTCTTTTTTTTTGCTTCTTTTTTCTTATTCTCTTTCTCTCTTTCTTTCTATTTGTGTTTCGTTTTTTATTTTCTCTTTCTCTTTTATCTCTTTCTTCTTCTTCTTCTCTGGTTGTAGATTATTATATCTTGAATACAAATGGTTAATATGCCTTCGAGAAAGAGGCGAAAGTCAAGAACCAGCTCGGAATCATCTGGTCTTGGTCAGTGTTTAATTTGTTTGAGACAAGATTCAAACGAATCCTTGATCACTTGTCAATTGTGTGCCAATCAATTTCATTCAGTGAAATGTCTCCATATGTTACCCAAAACGGTTAATCGAATTCCCTTAAGCTCTTGGTCTTGCCCTAAATGTAAATCTTGTGAAATATGTGGACGTAAGACAAGAGCATTAAGATCTGCTGCAGAAAATAATCTACTACTTTGTAAAGGATGTGATCGTGGTTTCCATCGTAATTGTATACATCATCATACTGCAGATGATGGACTGGATCTAATCAATGAATCTACCTGGTTATGTTTAAATTGTGAAGATAAAATGGCTTCTCAAGGAGATACAGCTGATGAATCGGAGGAAGAAGAAGAGCAAGAAGAAGATCAAGAAGAAAATGAGGTAAAAAGTCAAGTTCACTTTTTAATGGTCGGTAAAACTTGTACATTGTACAATTTTTCCCGCACTCTCTCAGCCAGAAATCGCGCCGATAACTGGTTTTCTGCTCTTCATCATATATTTAATGTTTTTTTTTTGTTTATTTCTTGTTTGTTTTTCATACTTTGTTTTCAATGATTTCGTTCTGAACTTTTTTTTGGTAAATATTTTATTCTAATGTTTTTATTTCGCTTTATTTTCTCACAGGAAGATGAAGAAGCCAATGACAGTTCAGAGGAAGAGGGCGAAGAAGAAGAGGAAGAAGATGAAGACGATGATATCAACATTGAGACTTGTGAAAAAAGTGATCAAAGTGGTGATGAAAGTGAGGAAAATGAAGTAGATGAAGATGAAGACGATGAAGAAAAGGAAGATGTGAATGAAGAAGATGAGGAAGACGAAGATGAAGAGGATGAAAGTGATGAAGAAAGAAGTGATATTGATAGACCTCAACCACGACTTACCCGCTCTAAAGCAGCTGCAGGTCGATCCATTTGTGAGCCGATTTCCGATGCTCAAAGTAAGTTTTTCACCGATTTGAATATCATTTTGTTTAATTTATTTTTCTCCTTCTGTAAAACTTTTATCTATCTCTTTTTCTTTCAAGGTTCAAGTCAAAACGAGTCAATGGAACTTGAAGCCAATGAATCAGATGTTAGTGAAAAGCCATCAAAAACAGCTAAATCAAAAACGAAGAGAGGAAGAAAACGTAAAAATGGAATAAGTCAACAAAATAACAATAATATCCTTGTACCAAAGAAAGTTAAAAGTGAAGATGAAAATAGTCGTGACGATGAGGAAGAAGCTCGTTGTAGAGTTCCTGGATGTGATTCTAAAGGACATCTTAGTGGAAAATATTCAACTCATTTTACATCATCAACTTGTCCAGTTTTTCACAATTTAACACAAGAAGAATGTGTCGATAGATATCAGAATCGTTTACGACGTAAAGATATTCGTGAAACCAATCAAAAGATATCAACTCGTAAATCACCTTACAAGGAGGAGAAAATAAATTGCCTGATAGAACAAAGAAAAAAGGAATGCAATCAAATTGCAAATGGACCAAGTGTCAAGAAAAACAATTCTTCCTCTACAAATACAACCCATTCAATAACATCTCGAGAGCCTAAATTAAAATCTCTTGCTCCCATTTTCGATTATGAAATGTTTAGAGAAGCTCAAAGCCGTGCAGCTGAACTTATGCAAGAACAAATGAAAGAAAATCCTCCCCGAAAAACGGGCATCAGAACAATCGAAATGGGAAAATATGAAATGGACGTTTGGTATTCAGCACCTTACCCGCCCGATTATGCTTGTCTACCCAAGCTTTATATTTGTGAATTTTGTCTCAAATATTTCAATTCCTCCCTCACCATGAAGCGACATGCACTTAAATGTCCACTCCACTGTCCCCCAGGCAATGAGATCTATCGTAAAGCAAATATATCAGTTTTCGAAATTGATGGTGAAAAAAACAAACTTTATTGCCAAAATCTTTGTCTTCTGGCTAAACTATTTCTCGATCATAAAACTCTCTATTACGACGTTGAACCTTTCAGATTTTATATCATGACTGAATCAGATAATGATGGTTTTCACATTATTGGTTATTTTTCCAAAGAGAAAAACTCATTCCTCAATTATAACGTCTCATGTATATTAACCTTACCACCCTACCAGAAACAAGGTTATGGTCGTATGTTGATTGATTTTAGTAAGTAATCCAAATGTATAATTAATTGCAAATGTAAAACTTGCCCACTAGCACTATCATAGAACTAGATATTTTAATATAACTTTTCTCTTTTTTTTCCCTTCAGGCTATTTATTAACTCGTGTGGAGGGTAAAGTTGGCTCACCGGAAAAACCGTTATCCGATCTTGGTCTAATCTCATATCGAAGTTATTGGAAAAATGTGATTCTAGAATATCTTTGTAATTACCAGGGAAGTGAAATATCAATTAAAGATTTAAGCCACGAAACAGCAATTAACGCTTACGATATTGTCAGTACTCTTCAAGCACTTGGAATGTTAAAGTACTGGAAAGGAAAACATTTGGTTCTCACTCGAAAGGACATTCTCGATGAATATAAAGCTAAAAACAAGAAGAGGAAAAATTTTAAATCAATTGATTCGACTTGTTTAAAATGGACTCCACCCAATAACAATGTTCCTTCAATTAAATAATTAAATCAGCTCATTTAATGAGGAAAACTGGTTAAATTCAATTGGAGAGCCAATACAAGCTTATAAATCCGATGAGAGAGTCTTTTGTTTTCTGGTAAATCAAAATCAAATGATTATACAGCCACGGACATTAAGTTTCGTACACTTTCAATCAAAGTTGCGCATAGAGTTGCTTTTCTAATGTAAATTGATTGAAGAATCAACTCTATGCGCAACAATTATTGAAAGTGTACGAAACTTAATGTCCGTGGCTGTATATATTTCATCAAAAGTCATTTCATTGATTCATCCTCATCCTCATCATCATCATTTGCATCATTACTCCAATAAAGTTGGAAACTTTCATTGTAAAACCTTAAATCATTTCATTGATTATCATGTTAAATTAATTCAAAGCCAACCGACTTAACTCATTGAAGAGTTGAAATCTAATTACTTTTTTTTCCTTCATACCCCCCGTTTGTAATTCAACTTAATTGTTAATCATCTTGGTTTACATGAGAGTAAAGAAATTTGATTGCAATAATTGGAAACAAAGGAAAGCTTTATTTTCATATTATTAATTATAATTACAATTCTGATGATTACACAAATGAGTATATAAGTTTGTTGAAAGAAAAAGAGTAATTAAAAAAGAGATCAAATGAAGTTGATTCATTAAATACACAATTAAGAGTTAGTATCAACATTGAATGATGAATTAAAAATAAAATAATATCCCAACAGTTGAAATTCAATTGAAAATGATTAACCGTACAATTAGTAAATCAAATCAAATCAAAGGTAAACCCAAAAGTATTGGTAAAATAAATTAAGAAATTAGTTATTAGATTTACCCGAAGTGAGAAAAACATAATCAAAATTAATTCCCGCAAATTAAAAGCAGTTGTAATTGTGTAGCTGGTTGTAAATTGTTTGCAATTAAGCAAAAAAAACCCAAAAAAGATCAATCTTTCAATAGAAAGTAGTTAACAATCAATAGATTGAATCTTTTTACTTTGGCACCATGTGAATTCAAACGGTGATTGATTGTTGGTTGATTAAAGCCTTGATTAAAGCTCAGCTTATTATTTTGGCACATAGAGAGTGGGATAAATTTGACAACAATCAATTTGATTGTTGACATTAAGAGTATGATGAGTTTGGATTTAAATATAAATACACTTGATGATGAAGATGATGATTTAGTTTTAAGGATTTCAAGCTCTTTTCAGTGATGAACCGGCGATTTCATTTTGAGAATAATAATTTCGACATTCGGGAACCGAATCAGGCCAAATACAGATTTGCGTTTCCGAATCGAAAACAGTCTCGGTGGGACAAACGTAATCGTACTTATAGAATCGACTTCCCATTTCGACGCATCGGTAAAACTTTTTACAATCTCTTGGATTTCTGAACATTCCCGATGATTTGCAAATCATTTCATCTGAATTGTCAGTTGCTTCATTTTCCTTGTCAGATGGAGATGAGGTTAATGATTTAGTTGATTTGGTTGAGGTAATCGGTTTAATTGTTGTCGTTGTCGTTGTTGTTGTTGACGATGATGGTGAAAATGAAGAGGTGGATTTTACTGTTGTTGTTGATGATGATGAACTTGGAGTGACCTTTTCTCGAGTTGGTTCATCTCTGGCAACCTTTGGATCAGGAATATGACAATTTCCTGACACAAGTTCACCTTTAATCGCTTTGATCAACGGGAATTTTGTTGGGCCACAATTACCAAGAAAATCATCAGTCTCAAGTGACCAAACCATAGCACCGGCCAAACCCATTTGGTTGACCAATCGAGTTTTCAACACAATAGATTCAACATCATCATAACCAACCCATTGGCGACCAGAAAAAGCATAAGGTGCCGCTATATGGGGATCACGAACTATTGTCCAGGTCGTTTTTAATTGTGATTCACAAATCTACAAAACAAATTAACAAATGATTAGAAAACAAATTCAAATAAGATGAGATGAATTTCCAATAATCAAAAACTAATCATTGAAATGATGCTCATCATCATCAGCATGAGAGTGAAGATTAACAAGTAAATGAGAGGAGGGAAAAAAAGATATTGATGATAAAAAAAAAGATGAAGATGATGAGAAGATGATATTTTCTAACCTCGTTATATCCTAAAGAACCGGCTTCTCTAGTGTAAGGTCCAGCTTGACCTTTTTGTGGGGCAGGTTCCCCTAAACCGTTATCCTGTTCCCGTGCTAAGGTGAATGATCGTCCGTACGTTGCCATACCCACGACCAGTTTTGATCTGGATGCTCCTTGAGAAAGCCAATAATTAACTGAAAAATTCTGATCATTGAAGAGGAAGAGAGAGAGAGAGAGAGAGAAGATCAAGTTTTAATCATCATTATCATTAGTATATCATTAACTGTTTTCCAATAAATTAGTTACATTTATTGTAATAACAATTTAACGCGATCAAATCATTAAGGTAAAACTTTATCATCGGTATCAATGTTTATCCTTATTCTGGTTAACGTATCAAGATTATTTTGGAAACAATTGTGATAATTAGATTGTAAAAGTTTAACAATCTAAACAAATTAATTGTCAATCAAGTAAATCTAATTTTGTTTTGGTTAAAATTGATTAAGTGATGTTCAGGTTGATTTGATAAACTTGATTAAGTTGTAGGGATTTTTTTTTCTGTTGACATTCAATGGTAAATGGTTGATTTGATTTAGATCTAATTGTGATTAGGGAAATTATTTTAACTTTGATTAATTGATTGACTACTTACAACGTTGTTTAGCCTTTCGTTGGCGACCTCGACGGGCCTTGCATATAACGGAGCATTGTGACCTGTTTTATCCTCCCAACCACCGTGATAATCATAACACATCACATTGATATAGTCGAGGTACCTAATAGATTGTAATTTGGTTGTTAATTTGATTGTTGGCCAATTGATTTAGTTGATTTACTTACTCTGATACTTTCGGTACATCATAGGCTGGATCGATGTTCCATTTTCCGGCCGAAACGGCTGCGGTCAATAGGTAACCTTTGGGTTTGAAAGCTGAACTTAAATCTTTGAGGAGAAGAGCAAAGTTTGACCTGTCTTCGGGTTTTCCTCCTCTCGAAGCGGGATATTCCCAGTCTACATCGAGACCGTCGAAATTGTACTTTTCAAGAAAGGCCATGACAGAAGAGACAAAAGTGGCCCGAGCCGAAGGGTCACCGGCCATGTTAGAGTATTTAATTGAACCCTCATTCCAACCACCGATGGCAATCAGTGTTTTCAGTCGAGGATTAACTTTTTTTAGATCAACGAATCGGATGTAAGCACCTTTACCATAATTATCGGGAAGATCATTCCAAGGGTCAAGCGCTTTGATTGTGTTATCATAACCAAGTCCAGCAAATGAGTAGATAACATGAGTACAAAGATGAGGGTCAATATTTTCAACGGCAAATTTACCAGAACCAGGTCGATAAACGGCCCATGTACCATAATAACAGATCAAAACTTTATCTAAGATTCAATCAACAATCAATTGAGAAAAAAGTTAATCAAAATCACAAATAATCAGAAAAAAAAATTATTATTTACCTGAGGTTTTGCCGGAATCGGGAGTTACTTCAGCTGGACGTTCAGTCGTTGAAGTCGAAGTCGTTGAAGCTGAGGTTGGTTTCGGTGTTGTCGTCGTCGTTGTCGTTGTAGTCGGGGCTGTGGTTGTGGTTGTGGTTGATGTTGTTGTCGATGAAGTGGTTGATGAAGGAATCTCTTCCCGTTCATGAGATCCTTTTGGCTTTTGACTGTTACTTTCATCAGCTATTGATTTAGTTACTGAAGTGTTATTATTAACATGATGATTTGGTTGATTGTTATTGTGATTACATGCTTGGCAACTTGAAACAATTACAATCACTAGTAAGTAAAAGGTAAACAATAAACGATCTCGATTAACACTTGATAATTTCATTTTGATGATTTAATTGAGAAAATGATACAGATCAATAAACAACAATCAAATAAACATCAAAACCATGTAATCAAATTCAATTGTTCAATAAAGCTAATGATGATTCCAGTTGATTGTAATCAAAACTGATTAAAAATATTTTTTTCAAAATTTTTCAATGGCAACTTTTAATCTTGATCAATCAAACACTGATTATGTTGATAGTTAATGAAATTAACAGTTATTCAATGTTTTTATCAGCTTAAATAGTTTTTTATCATCATCATTTAATGATGAGAGAGAGAGAGAGAGAGAGAGAGAGAGAGAGAGAGAGAGATGATCACTTGACCGCTGAATAGACTTTCTCTCTCACTCGATGAAAAATTTCATCTTCTTTATCTTCATCATCCCCATGAAGTTGATAAGGATAAAATGACTTTCTCTTCCGTCTCATGATCATGATCATAATAATCATCTTCATCTTCTTCCTCATCATCATGTTCATTTTCATCTATCTCATCACCTTTTTACCTCTGGATGTTTGGGCGAGTGTGAGGGCAATAGGAAGACAGGAAGAAGAAGCTTAAGAATTATCATCCTGATCATCATCTTACTTTTATCTCTTTCTCTCTCTCTCTCACTTATTCATCATCATGTAGACAGGTATCACAACCTTTACTTTCTTTTTGTTCATGAGGCTATTCAACTTTGGGCGATACATTTTTTTGTCTTATTATATAAACAATTTTTTACCTTCTTGTTTGTATATTTACAAGTAACGGTGAAAATAACTGATCATATTATCATTTACAATTCATTAATTGCCTCAGGCGTTACCTTCCACTTCATTTGCTTCCTACTATTACCTTGAAATTCAATTACAATTAACTTTTTTTTTTGCATTTCTTTGTCAGTTTTGTGATTCATTTTTAACCAGAAATAACAATTTATTTATTAATTGTTAGTCCATAAACTTGAGTTCAAAGTTGATTAACCAAGTTTTGTGGTTAATTGTTTATAGATAATTTATTTATAAACTTTGCATTTATTGTCTAGATTATAAATTACTTTGATTTAGCGTAAGTGTTACTTGATTATTTTGAAAAGACAACTTAGAAAAATTAATTCATCTTTGTTGTTATTTATTCAAATGAGATGAAAATTATTTTCTGATTCATGTTAATCAAATTAAGTCAAAGTTGAAAAAACTTTTTTATTTACAATTAAAATGATCATAGTGGCATCTCTTGGGCGAGTCTTGAACAATTCAAATTCATTTTGTCGCAACAATTGATTTCTAATAATTATTTGAATTACAATTGGTCCATATCGTTTTAAATTGTTTTGGATGGTTTGATTATTGCTGAGTTGATTGTTTATACTATTATTATTCGTTCTAGCAACAGTCGTGGCGCGAAACGGATCGATATACGAGCAATGGGTCATTCTTGGTCACTTCTGCCTTCCGTTTGTATACTGCTTTCCCTTCAATGGATAAGGATTCTCATTCTGAGGCCACAATTTTTGATACTTCTCCGAAAGAAGCTGATCTATTTTCCTTTTTAATTCGAGCGCTGTTTATCTCTGAAAAAAATGCGTATCAAGCCTAGACCGATTTCTTATTATTCGATGGCTCTTTTTTACGATTCATTTTCCTCTTCCATTTAGTCTCAACAACTTTATCGACAAGAGAGAAAGAAAGAAAAAAAGGTAAAAATAGAAAAAAAATCAGACAGAGGAACAGGTAAGACCCAAACCACCCTGATACCACATTGATATAGTCGTGGTGCCTAATAGATTGTCATTTGGCTGTTAATTTGATTGCTGGTGAATTAGTTTAGTGCATAGGCTGGATTCATGTTCCACTTTCTGGCCGAAACGGCAGCGGTCAATAAGTCTTAGGTAACCTTTGGGCTTGAAAGGTGAACTTAAATCTTTGAGGAAAAGGGCAAAGTTTGACCTGTCTTCGGGTCTTAAATCTCAGAAAAATTAATTTATCTTAGCCGTTATTTATTCAAATGAGATGAAAATCATTATCTGATTCGTGTTAATCAAATTAAGTCGAAGTTGAAAAACTTTTTATTCATTTACAATTAAAATGGCCATAGTGACATCTCTTGAGTGAGTCTTAAACAACTTGATATGCGATTCAACAAAAGTTTGATAATTGTAACAAATGATTACTAATTAACTAATTGGTAACAATTATAATTTAAATTGGAAATTGTGAAAATTTCAAGTTTATGTTATAATTATGAAATTGTCAGATGTGAGATCATTGTGAAACTTTGATGAAGTATTATCATATCTGTAAATTGTCATTAGTAAATTGAAATAGTCAAAAATGTCTCAACTATTGATGGTCAATAGTTAATAAGTTAATCTGTTACAATCAACGATAAACAATCTTATTGGTCAGCAAATATTTACCAGTAAAAGCTTTGAAACAAAAGTAGTGGTCAGTTGGGGTCATTGGGAACAAGAAAAAGGTAAGAAAAACAGAAAAAGCCTCCAGGCAATAGAGAGAAAAATTTCTCTACAATTTTGTTGAAACTAAACTTAAAATGATCAAATAATATTTAGATGGCATCAGAATTGAATTACAATTAAATAGAATCAATAAAAAGAAATTAAAGTATTAGAATAATTTTTGATTAAATTGTCTATTATAAATTGAAATACGATTTAATTGTTTGTTTGTCTGTTCCTACTAAACTAAATTTACAGATTCTAGAAATGTTACCAGGAGTCTGAGAGGATTAGTCAGGTTTTGGACTTGTTTATGTGCCGTCTCTGGTTTTAAGGAAAAGTGACCTTGAAATGGGCTTGTACTGGTTAAGATTGTACCTGAATTGAGGTACACAAGAACCTAGGGCAGAAAAAGAAAGAGAAAAAGAAAGAAGCAAGATGATAGGAAGACAAAATCTTCAAGGATTTTACGATTCTGTAAACTGGTCTTATGAACATTTGCCTTGTTACTTTCTTTCGTCTTATTATTACTCTGGTCCACCTTTCATCTTTGTTTTTCATCATCCTCATCATCTTCATCATCTTCATCATCATCTTCTCTCTCTCTCTCTCTTTATCTCTCTATCTCTCTTTCTCTTACAATCGTCCATTTTTCTTTCAGTTCAATCCACTGGAATCTTTGTCAGTTCAACTGATTTTGTACCTTTGGTCTTGACGCTTTTATCGTAACAGGAAAACTTTTTGATTTTTTTTTGTTCTCATTTTGATAGTTTTAATCTTTTCACAATAATGATGCGTGTAATTTTATTAGCGTGTTTGATTGTCACACAAGGTGAGTGCTCATCCATAGATCTCACGTAATTCTGATGCTTAGTTTGCTCGTGCGAGTTGGTGAAATACTAAAAGAGGTTACTAATCAAATTTTTTCTTATCGTTTGTAATTGTGAACAGTTTCATGTTACCCACGACATGAGGACGACGAAGCCAGAGTTTTATCTGAGGTCTGGGAAGCCATGGATAAGCATCGAGGTGATGATATCATTGTAATTCCTCGACACGATGGACCTGGAAGTGGACCTGAACATCATGATAGTAGTGATCATGGTTCAAGTGATCATCATGATTCATCAAGCAGCCATGATGGACCATCAAGTCACGAAGACTCCTCAAGCCGAGGTGAATCAAGTGACCGATCAGAATCAGAGCGAAAATCAAGTGAAACTGAATCTACAAGTGAATCTTCAGGAAAATCTGAATCTTCCGATGTTTCTGCCTCCGAATCTTCATCATCTTCTTCTGAATCATCTGAGCGTTCATCAGATAATTCACCAAGACGTGGTCGATCTCATGAGGAATCAGAAAGTTCATATGATCAAATTTGGAATAAATTCAATCGAATCGGTGACATGATGAACCGAGCAGTTGAAAGACTTCGAAAAGACGATCGAGAAATCGAGGAATTAGAAAATGGATCATCCTCATCGTAAGTAAATCCAAATAATTAAAAACTAATCAACCAAACAAACAGAAAAAGAGAAAATCTAATCACAATTAAATCTTCCCAATCAACAGAAGTGGACTTACAGTTTTCATCTTTGAAATCGTCGGTGCAGTTGTGGTTGGCCTAATTCTCGTCGGACTTTTGATCTTTGGTTTCGTCAAAGGACTCAAGGGATTCAAGGTTTGGAAAGCAAGACGACAATCGGAGAGACTAGTTGGTAATGATTATATCTAATTAATTTCTAACGATTAACTAAACCTCTTCAAGAATCAATCTTCTTAAATTACTGAACGTGACACGAAAACGAAACCAAATTGTTGCCATACCTTTTTTTTCATACATTTGAAATAAAATCAATAAATAGTTTAGTTTTCAACAATTAACATCACCATTGATACAATTAACTAATTTACCCCTTGAGGAATCAAATTATTTCTCCTAATGGTTGGAAGATAAAGCAAATCAACCAAATGTCATCAAATTGTTAGCAGTTATTGTTTGGTTAAATTATTTTAAAATTCATCTCATCAAACAATTTTCTTGATTATCTAATTATCAATGAAGATGGGAAAAAAATCAAATTAAATTACACACACAAATTAACCTTGAGATTAACTAGTTTAGGTAATCAAACAACTTTTTCAAGGAATCAGGTTTTTGCCTTACAGTTAAATTGACCGGTAACTTGTTTCATCTCATATTAGATGAAAGTTAATACAATTAAATTGATTGTTTGCTTTTCTTTTGTTGGCTAATTAACAGAGTCAATTGTAATCTAATCGATTTCAATTGTTTACCAATAATCTAATCATGTTTCTATTTGTTTCTCTGTTCATTTCTCAGACCAAGAAGCTCCCAACATGGATGGAACTGGTTACCAAAGTGGTTACAATCCGTGAATTGAATCAGTTGATTTCATTATCGATGAGATGACAATTTATCATAATCGTAACATCATTAGCTGCCAACATAGTCTCATTTCAGCAAAATTCATTCATTTCTATGAACATGAGTATTGTAACAACAATCATAATTTGCTAACTTAAAAAAACCATCACTTTACAATTAAAATGTCTGCTTATGGATAAATTTCAACTAATATCAGTGTGGATTTTTTTTCCTTTGATTTAATTGTTGTTTATTAACAAGGTCGGATATTCATCAGTAGAGGCAACATGAATGTATTTGTACTAATTAATAGCAAGTATAAAAGTATGTAGTTAAAATATTCAAAGTAACTGGTCAGGAGAATTGGTCAAGCAGGTAAATAAAATTTGGAATTGAATTGAAGTTAAAATGAAAAAATTTCATGATCAGTTGTTGTTGATGCTTATGGAGTTGAAATTTTTGCTCAGTTGTTCATCTGATTCGGAACCATCGGTGGTGGTGGTGTGGACATTCACTGGCCAGACTAGTCTTTCGACATGGTCGATTTTCCTTGGATGAGCTCGTAAAAGTCCTAAATATTCTAGATCCATGATGGAATTGATGAATCGAGCAAGAATCTGTTTCTCGTCCTCTTTTTTTGGCTCTTTTCTGGCTCTTTTTCTTGGTGATGCACGAGTGGTTTCTGGTTGTGCGATTAATTGTTTAAAAATATCATAACACTTTTTAAGATTAATTACTCGAAGACTGTCACAATAGATTGAATAGGTAATCGATATATCAGGAGTGTTTGGACCAATTCCATCTTTGCAACATTTACAATTTAAAATTTTCTCTGGACTTGCAAGAGCGTCAAGAATATCGGTTCGGACTGCTGGTAAACTGAATTGTTTAACAAGAGAAACGTCGTCAAAGAAAAATATCTCATGAAATGGTGCATATAAAGGGTTCGCAATTTTGTCCAATTGTTTTTTTAGAGTATCGAGAAAACCCTGTTGCCATTTTTTCAGTTTATCGATTTTCGTAGTTTGCTCTGCAGCCTTTTGTTTTAACGCATTCGCGAGTGCAAAACGATCCAGGGTCGGAGGTTTTCGAGGTGAGTTTATTCCGTGGCTGGCTCGGGTTCGCTTTTGGGGATCAGTGGCCTTGTTTTCAGTTGACTCCAAGATTGCCAATGGTTCGGTCTTAATTTTACTGTCGAAATCTTTGAAATGTTCATTCAGAGCCTTGTAGATATCAGAATAACCACTTTCCTCAAACTTTGATAGTCGACCCATTAGATTAATTATTTGGTCACTTTCAAGTTTAAGAAATGTATCACCAAGGAAGTAACAATCTTCAGATTCTGATAATTTTTCTGAACTAAGGAAAGTTATCCAAGTGCTCATGAGGTAAGTAAAGGTTTCCTTTGGATATAACAGCTCTTTAAGATGGTGGTAGAATTTCAATTCATGTTGTATTCCAACAAAAAGGTCAGAAAATTTGATCAACTCTTCGCGTAGCATTGATTTGAAGGCATTGTCTTCCTTGGGTAGGTCGATTTTCTCTAGAGAAGGTAAATTTCTAATTGAGATCAAATCCTCGTCGGTTAAATTGGCAATGACATTGTCAAGTTCATCTGTAGGACAGCAAAGTTTGGCATATCTCTTGTTATAGAAATGTTCAAATACACAAAATTTTACACGTCGAAAGGCACCAATAAGCGAGGTATCCCAAAGTTTGTAGACATCGGTTAGATGAGAGATTGTTTTTGGTCCTAATTTAAAAGATGAATCATTGTCCCAGCAAATGTCTTCAATTAATTTGGTGAAAAAATCATGGGTCGATTGAAATGAAAAGGAGGAAACGGCTAAATGATTTGTGGCCTTAGAGGGAAGGCGTAAGTTGAGAGGTAAAATGTCAGTTGATTGGCAACAGATCAAAAGACACGGCATTTTCTCGAGATTCTCGTGGATTAAAATCAACAGGTCACTTAATAGGTTTAGATTAAAACAGTCAAAATCTTCAAAAACAATGACCAAAGGAAGTTTCGAATTGAGATTATCTAGAAGAATAAACAAAAAACCAAGAGAAAAAGAGAAATCGATTAGTATTGAATTTTCATCCATAACAATTAAAAGAGAAGGGAAAATAATTACTATGATAGAAATCGGCAGTTAAACTATATAAACAGCAAGGGATTTCGCATTCAGGTAAGTCCAGGTATTGGAATAGATTTTCTTGTAGGATTTTGACAAAATCGGAGACACATTTAACTCTATCAGAGTTGATGATTAGTCTCATTGTTATAAAATCTTCAATCTCCTTGAACAACATTTCATAGAGACAATCTAATCCTTTTATATTAATCGACATGGTAACGATGGCACATTGAATATCCTGAAAAGCAGTTTCACTTGCCGAGGTATAAATCTCATTGACCTGGAAAACATATTCCTTTAATTGTTCAGCAAGGTCATAAAATAAATCTCTCTCATTTTTGGCATAGGTTTCATTCAATTTTCTAATATATTGTTCATAAATATCATCACCAATTATATTGGAAACAATTTGGTTACTTTTAGTTGCCTTCTTTGGTTTATATACTTTGTATGTATGAGCTGCAGATGAGGACAACCAACCAAGATCAACAATATCAGCCATTCCGATTCACCAGGGAGAGAAAGAAAAACCTTACCCAATAGGCCTAAAATCAAATTAAGAAAAAATTAAATCACAAACCAAATTAAAATTAAAATACAACAATAAACAGAAACAATAAATAGACCAACAAAGTGACCGACAAGATGAAACCAACAAAGACAAAGGTTGAATTTAGATTGAATTACAACCGAACACAACTTACCTTGTTATTTTTACCAATCAACTTAATTTAGATTAAAAGAACAATTAAAAATACATAAAATCGCAATTAAAAAGCTTTTCTATCAACTGAAATGAAATTAAACTCGCTGACACATGTTGAGTTCACTTGACAACAAAATTTTCTTTTCTTTTCTTTTCTCAAATTTTCGCGCCTCAAATAAAAAAAGAAAATTTTTCCAACTGTTAATTGTAATTTCTCGATTGATTTTTCATTCAATTTGGTTCGTTTAATTTTCGGTTGATTGTTTTTTATTCAATTCAGGTGACAAATTGACTTGGTTTTGTGTCCTTTAAAGAAAAAGAATTGCAATTTAATTGTTTTTCGTCTCGTGCATTTACATCAACAAAGAAATGAAAATGTTTTCAATTGATTTTCATATTGATTGTCATAATGATTGGAATTAATTACAACTCTGATAGTTGTTGTTCTTGGCAAATTATTGGCAAGTCTTTGGTTAGGTTGAATCTGTACAATTGGCCTTTTGTCTTGCTTGTTCTTTCCTCGCTTGATTCGCTCTCCATTTGATCAAAGATCTTTTCCATGCCGATAGATTTCCCAGTAATGTTTTGGAAATTGCATGACTCCAACAAGAAACACTGTCTCTGGTTTTAACTCCTTGAGCGATCACAGGCCAGAACATTTTCCGTTGCTTGATTATTTGAGCGGACAAATCTTTAGGATCCAATTCCAAAAATCGACAGATAGAATCGAGTAATCTAATGTTTTCATTGATTGAGAATTTTCCAGAATTGTAGGGCATCATTTTTTTAAAATCAAATTTAGATGTCACATTAGCCCTAATACCTTGTGGATCACAATTAAATTTATTTGCCATATGTGCCCATAAATGTTTTAATTGTCCATAAACACGTTTAGCATATTCGAGCATTTCCTCTTTGGTTTTTGAATCAACTTCTCCAATTCTCCTGAATGGACAGAATAATTTTCGAGTTCTTGAATAGATCGATGAAATTGTCCGATTTGGCAGTTTATAAGCTAAACGAAAATAAAGTCCACAAGGTTGAACCAATTGTTTAATTAACGAAATAGTTTCCTGGGCATCCGGATTCTCTAAAGCAAAACCAAGTAACGCACATCGTGTGACAACGTCATCAACTAGATCACAAGTTTTGATGAATTTATTATAATTACGGATAATTCTTTTATCCTCTTTCTCCGAGAATTTACCAGATCTAATTACAATTTGATATTCTTCTTCAAACATTTTCCGTTTCTCCAATGATGGAGCTCTAACCCCAGGGAAAACCCGATGAAGTATTGGAGCTTCATCATGATCAAAAAACAGCTTTTCACCTATATCCATAGTAAAAAATCTTTAACATTACACAAACCAAAATCAACCAAATTAATTAAAAAAACATTAAATAGAAACAAAAAAGTTTAAATAGAAAAACAAAATATAAAACAAAAATCTCTTTTCTCCTTACAATTAACATTCAATGAGAAAAACAATTCAAAGATTTTGTTTACATTAAAATCTCACATTTTTCGCTGGCGGGACATTCAAAAGGCGAAGAAAACCTGGTAACCATGGCAACACCGGTTTCGTTTAAAGGTAACGTTACTTTCTTGTTACCAACCAACTCTCATTGGATTGTAATTAAATTTTAATTGTTCTGCTTCATGTGGTGTCGCTCTGTGACAATTAAATTAACAATCTATGTTACGATCATGTGATAACACGTTCAAACAAACCGTTACGATGAATGTTGAGTAAATTATTTCATTTCAATCTCCAAAGGAGCTTCATCTCTTTTTCTATTTCCATCTCTCTCTCTCTCTCTGTAAGAGACACTTATTGTTTCCTCCTTTGTAATTAATTTCTCTCATTTTTTTTCTACATTTAAACTTGATTGTTCTTCTCTTTTTTTTCTTCTTCTTACTGGATGTCTTATAATTTATTCTTCTCTTTCTCTTTATAGACTAATTAATCATTCCAATCATTGATTATTTAATGGACATGCCGGGTGGATTAACTAGTGATGGTTCTAGTGTTTTCGGTTTCACCCAATATCATCTTCTCCCCGAAAATGACCCTGACTTAGATGATGACATATGGTTGGACAGTATGATTGAAGATAGAAGGTAATTGGTTGATTTTATTTCATTAAATGCTTGATTGTCATGTTTTCTGTTCTTCTCGCACATTTTTTTCCCCTCAGAGGAATGAAGGTAACCAGCGGAACTGTAACATTGGAAAAAGACTCTCGTAATATGATTGGCGTCAGCATCGGCGGTGGAGCACCAAATTGTCCCTGCATTTACATAGTCCAAGTAAATTGTTTCGCTTAAGATTAAACTATGTTAACATTTATAGTTAATAATTAGTTACTATTCTATTATTATTTGTTACTTTCAATCAGATATTTGACAATACACCGGTGGCTTGTGAGGGAACTCTTGAGTCTGGTGATGAAATTGTTGGTGTTAACGGAGTCAGTGTTAAGGGTAAAACAAAGATTGAAGTGGCTCAAATGATTAAAGAATCGACTGGATCTGTAACATTTAACTATAATAAGCTACACGCTGATCCTAAGCAAGGTAAAACTTTGGATATTATCCTTAAAAAGGTTAAACATCGTATCTGTGAAAAGATGAGTTCAGATACTGCTGATGCATTAGGACTTAGCCGAGCTATGCTTTGTAACGGTGAGCAAAAGAAAAACATGAAAATTAATTGTCATGGAAAATTTGTCACTCTTACTGATTCTAAATTGTACTTTTGTTTTACAGATAGTTTGATACGGAAACTTGAAGAACTCGAATTGATGGAGCTTATGTACAAAGGTATAATTGAGCGAACTCGAGATCTTCTAAAAGCTCATCTTGAAGTGTGCTATGTTTACAAGGGTATGTACTGATTAGATTTGATTAAAGTCTACGTATTCAATTTATTCATTCATATTTATTCAATTTATCGTTTTTGTTTCTCTCCTGATTTCCTTTGGCAGCGTTTGGTGATTTATTCACTGAGATCGGAGTGAAAGATATTAATCCAGAATCAAGTCGAGCTTTCATCCAATTTGGTGAAGTCCATCGATCATTAGAGAAACAAGGAACAACAATGATTCGTCAAATGAAACCAGTAAGCCAACCAATTAATTGATAATTACTATCATTGATTATCATTCTCGACAGCTGAACCCTCTCTCTCTCTCTCTATCTCTATATAAAAGATAATTAATTGACGATAAACTTTAATTGCATTTCAGTTGGTTGAAGATTTGAATACTTTCCTAAACAAAGCTGTGCCCGATACTCGTTTAACCATAAAAAAGTATGGAGATGTTAAAATGGAATACTTGGTAAGAAGAATTAAATTATTGTTAATTGTTGGGATGTAACATTAATTGTTCTTTTCAGTCATATTGTTTAAAAGTAAAGGAAATGGACGACGAAGAGGTTGATTGTACAACGGTACATTATCCATTGTATCGAGTTGAAACGGGAAATTATGATTATCGATTAGTTTTACGATGCAGACAAGAGGCTCGGAAAAGATTTGCTTCATTAAGATCTGATGTTCTGGTAAAACTTGAACTACTCGATTCTCGCCATGTTCAGGATATCGTCTCAGCATTACAAAGACTCAATCTATTAATGTCAAACCTTCACATGGAATATCATAGACTTTTTGAAGATCATCGATCTTTCCCTGTTGAACTTGCTCTAAGTGCAAATTGTTCATTCAATCTACCAGAAGATATAAGTTCAGATTCTAATGAAGAATCTGAATATTGTGAGGATAATTTTCATCAACAAAATCAACAAAACATAGATCTGCTCACCGAAACATCATCTAATTTTGTTCAGTAATCATTACACTTTAAATTTATCCAAATTGGATGATACTTTTCTATTTTTCTCTCATTCTTTTCTCTCTCTCTCTCTCATTCTCTCTCTCTCTTATCTGGGTGATAAATATTCAGGGCCAAATCATGTTTCCAAAATATTATTGATCTAATTTATATTAATAACCAATAAAACAATTTAGCTAATAATTGCATTTCAACCATTCATCTCAACTGTTAATTCAATCAATAAGATGTATAATTTGTACATGATGATCTTCGTGTCTTTCAAAAAGTGAAAAAGTTCTATCGCTCTTTTGATATTCTAAGAGAAACAAATTAACAATTGATAAATCTAATTCATTTAATAGCGATTGTTAGTTGTGAAGTTCTTAAAACGAGATTTGAGTGTTTTTTGATATCAAGATCTTAGCAATTAATTCAACAACAATTTTCAAGAATTGAAGTTGATCTCCGTCAACAATCAGCACCAAATATCTGATAATTAGTTCAACTATTTAAGGAAGATATTCCATTGGTCGAAAGGGATGTTAATTGAATTATATTTTATTTGATGAGCTTAAATTCAGTTAAAGTATTTGACTAATTTAATCAAGAGTAACAAAACTCACATTTTAAAAGTTTGCAAAAATCCAGACAAAATTAGTAAATCAGTAAATTGTTTCTGCATAACTTTCATCGGTTTTTCATGGAATCAGATTCAATTCAGCTCTGAATTCATACTAAAACTCCCATATTTGTATATTTAATTCGGGATATGATCAAGTTCCATAAATAATTTCAATGTTTCAAAGCAAAAAAAGTTTGAAAAACTTGAAGAATTTGCAAAAAATATGAAAAAATGAATAAAAATGTTGTGAATCAATTTTAATTGTTCCTTTGGTTTCTGGTCGTTGGCCTTCCAGTTTTACGGACACTATTCCCAATCAAGCCTTATGTAGGGTATTGATAGACTCAATCAGAAAATTCTTCTCGAAATGGACTCAGCGAGTTAGCCTTATTTGATCTGTCCAATATCGAGACTGTTTCACTTTCACCAAGATTTTCAGTCCCAATTTAAAGTTCACTTCGTGAATTTAATCCTTCAAGACTAATTACTCCAACGAATTCATATACACTTAATATGAGCCCCAATAAGATAGTCATTAGATTGAAACCGTTCACAACTTATCAATTTCGTATTCAGGGGCATTAAACTTTATCCGAAATCTGAAACTCGTGAAGATAATTTTCACCAACAAAAATCAGACGAGACTGAAAAAGGTTAGAATTTGATTTAGTTCAAAACTGAACACGATTAGTTTCTGCTCGAGCGAAAAAAATCCATGAATTCAGTGGAAAAGTTATACAATCTGAGTTTGTGATACTGAATTTCTACATGGAATCAACAGAAAACTCAATTTCGCTTCGAGTTTTCACTTTTTGCTTTTTTCTATTTTCTTTCAAATTTTGCGCCATAAACAGAAAAAAAAATTTCTTCTCTTTTAATAACATAAACATGGAAAAGTAAATGTTTCCAATTGTATAAGATTAATTGTCTTTTTCTAATTTAATTCTAATTGTTATTGTTGTTGTTTAATTAACATGTCGTTCGTTAATTCTACTCGGATTGTTATCGATTGTGATTATTCTAAACAATTTTGTGAATTATTCTTTAAACAATTTGATAAATCTCGACACACAATTGACCGATTTTTTCACTCACAAGCAACTCTACTTTGGGATGGAAACACTTTCAATGGATGTGAATCAATTGCTAGTTTTTTGAAGAAATTACCAACAACCAATTCATCGTTTACTTCAATTGATGGTCAACCTATTGCAGATTTACCTTTTTTCAATGGACAACAAATGATTCTGATTAATTGTATGGGAAAGATCACGTTTAGTGAAAGGAAACATGTCAACTTTACATCTTCGTTCACTTTGATTGCTGAAGATGCTGGTGGAGAAAAGAAATGGAAAATATTACAACAAACATTGAGAACATTTTAAACCAATAATTATCCAAATCAAATGCATCGTACATAATTAAAGACCTTTTCATTTCTTATTTTCCACAACTTGGAGACAATTGACAACAGTCCAACAAAAACAGAATCGACCAAAATTAAATCGATTCCTTGATGCGTCTCTTTGTATTTTGTACAATCTCAACAAAAATCATGTAAATTTCCCAAATAGAACCCAAATAACAATTTCTCTTACAATTGTAATAAACGAAATTTCAAATTTTCTACTCATCACAAAAATCGGTTCATCGATACAATTAAACCAACGCCATCTACTTGACCTGAACTCGAATTGGATTTAACTTTGAAAACAAAAATCGAACTTGTAATTAACCAAAAAAACACCGAAAATGAAACGAGAGAAAACCTGAGATCGAAAAAAAGTCTAACCAATTAATTGAGTTGAAAGTGTCACCCGAATCAAAGACTAATCGAAATACAGAAAAAGAGACTAAAGGCTAAAAGAGAGAAAAGAAAGAAACGAGGTGACAAATAAAAGAAAGAAAAGAAAGAGAATTCAGGCTTGGTCTTATTACCTTTAGAATCCAAATTGAGGCAACTCATCGTCTTCATCTTCATCTTCATGTAGAACAAGAGAGTTGATGTTGTTTATGTTTTTCCAAATTCCATGAAAACTGAAAATTTACTTCAATTGGCGATAATTATGTTTCCATGAATAAGATAAAACTCTAATCAATTAAAGGATGGAAAATACTCTCACCAAGTAAGAATGTTTTTTAATTATTCTACCCAATTTTTCATCTCTTTCTCTCTAAATTCTGGTTTATCTTTTTCTCTCCCTTTTCTATGTTTTTTTCTCTCTCTTTCTCCTCTCCCTTTGCGTCTCTCTCTCTCTCTCCATTTTCCTCTCTTTCTCTTTCTCTTTTTCTTCATCTCTCTCTCTCTCTCTCTCTCCATTTTTACCTTACATTGATTGTTGTTGATTCTAAATTTCTCCTTTCAATTTTCTATTAATTGTGTACAATCCTTTGTCTCTTTCTCTTTGCTCATACTAATCAACAATTACTCATTTTCTCCCATTTTTGTTGAACATTGAAAGAGATTTAAGTTTCCTTTATCAATAGAATAGAATATTACTTGTGTTCTTTTCTGTTTCTTTGAAATTCTTTTTTTTTCTTTTCTCTTATGGTTCATAATTACTACTAAGTTATAATGTGTTTTCTTTTGGTCTCACGTTGCACAGATTTTAAGGTGAAAAACGCCCTAAAATTGATTGGGGTTTACCATGGACATTGCCAATGATAATTGCGGAACTGTGATAGATAAGGAACATCGAAACCACCGATCCCATAGTGGTAATCGACCAGCCCAATATAGTAGCCATTATCGCAGCCATTTAATTGGGCCTTTTGGTTCTTACGCTCATCCTTATCCCTCGCCAACTTATCCGTGTACCTCATCTTATTCACATTCAACTGGTCATACTGTTGGTGTTGGTCCTGGTGTCGGTGGTGGTGGTGATGGTATAAGTGGTATCGGTGCATGTGTTAATCAAGTAGCCGGTGGTGGGCATCATCATTCACACCATCATTCGTCTTCTCATTCATCTTCAATTAATCCCGGTGGTGGACCAGCTACCGTTTTTTTTGCATTAAATTCATTAAGAGATCCACATAAATCATCTTCTTCATACAATTATCCTCATCAATTACATTACCTTCATCCACAAGAATTTCATCATCAACTTTCTAATCCGGGACAAATTCCAACTCATTCCTCTTATGGTCCGAACAGGTATCAGCAATCATCAACCTCACAACAGTCAACAAATCAACAACAATCCTCTCATCACCATAATCATTCACATAATTATTCATCTCGGGTTTGCTCAGGTGGAGGTGGAAGTGGTAGCGGTGTAAGAGATACAACAACCAATTATCCAACCATTTCATCAGGTTCCATTGGACTTCATTCAGCACAATTTTCTCGTGACTACGAAGATCGTAAAATGAGAGAGAGTATTTCTAGTTATGATAAGAAAAGTGGACATAAAAGGAAAAAAAGATGGCAGATATTTCCAGGACGTAATAGATTTTTCTGTGATGGTAAAATTATGATGGCCAAAGAGATGGGAATCTTTTTTTTTACCATTTTAGTTCTCGTGTCAACATGTACTCTTTTCTTTGTCTTCGAGTGAGTTTCCCATAGAATTTGAGTGAAAAACAATTACCACTCAAAAGCAAAACACCAAAACATCATCATCATCATCTTAATCTAATATAATATTTTATTTCTCTCTCCCTTATACCTTTAGCTGCCCTTTTTTAGCACGAGAAGTTAGTCCAGTCATTCCAGTAGTTGGTGGATTATTATTTATATTTGTCTTATCAACTTTATTAAGAACCAGTTTCTCCGATCCTGGTGTTATTCCCAGAGCCTCACCTGAAGAAGCTGCTTACATAGAGAAACAAATAGGTAACAATTTAAAGATAATCAATATTCATCGTAAATCAATTACCCCAATTTAACCTATTTACCAATATCACTTTTATCAGATTCTTCATATAAATATATACCCTAAATCTTATGTATTTACAATATATGCTAATGTTTTATTAATACTTTTTCTTTTGTCCATTTCCAGAGCAACCCAATCGTCCACCTCCTCGGACAAAAGAAGTCAGTATAAATAATCAAATCATCAAGCTGAAATATTGTTTCACTTGTAAGATTTTTCGACCGCCTAGAGCATCTCATTGTAGTTTATGTGACAATTGTGTTGGTAAGTGTTTCTCAACTTTCAAATAATTTAATATTGATTATTAATTGGCAATTTGTTTAATTCTTTTAACAGAACGTTTTGATCACCACTGTCCATGGGTCGGTAATTGTGTTGGTAAAAGAAATTATCGATATTTTTACATGTTCATAGTATCTCTGGCATCTCTTATAGTTTTTGTTTTCGCTTGTGTCATAGTCCATATCATTTTATGTAAGTATCTTTATCCTAAATAGATTGTCTAATTCAATAGAAAACTAAACTTAAGTGACAAAATGATCAACTAATTGTTAACTTTTTTCCCTTCTCTTATAATCAGTGGCTAAGAATGACAATTTCTTGGAAGCTGTGAAAAAATCTCCATTTAGTGTCTATGAAGGTGTAGTTTGCTTCCTGTCGGTTTGGTCGATTCTTGGTCTTGCCGGTTTCCATACTTATCTGGCCAGTTCCAATCAAACGACAAATGAAGATATTAAAGGCTCGTTTTCATACAAAAAAGGTTCTGGTATCAAAAACCCTTACTCAAAAGGCGGAATTATCGCTAATTGTTGTGATGTGATTTGTGGGCCTGTTATGCCCAGGTGAGTTTATCGAAGACAAAAATGAAGGAAAAATAATAGTTAACTTGATAAATTGAACAACAACAACAAAAAGATGATGATGATGACAATATATTACTTGTTTTTCATTCATCAGGTTGATGACCATTTTGTTGATATTAAAACTTGTTGTTTTAATAGATCAACTTTTTATCCCAATTTGATACAATATCATTAACCAGATAATAGAAGCCAAATTTTTTCTCTCTCTCTCTCCGTATCAATGATAACTGTACATTGATAATGAATCTTATTGGTAAACATGACACATCAATCTTGTTTATTTGATTGTTTCTCTCTATCATTTAAGCATCAATAATCAGTTTCACCTCTTAACTAACTTGTCTGCGGTCTGTTGAGTTCAATTAAATAGCATTTGTGTTGTACACTCGAAAAGAAAGAAACAAGTTGAAAAGTTATCCAGAACTTTTGAAGAAAAAAAAAAGAGAGAAAGAGCCAAAAAAAGATAATTCAAATGTGCGACTTTAATTTTGTTACAATTTTCCATCTTATATGAATAATTTGACTTCTATTATCTGATATTCTATTATTAATAGCCATGTTTATTTAGATAGAAACAATTTAATTATTCTTTGTCATTTTAAATTGTCAAATTTGTTCCAAAAGTAATCAGCAAATTTACAGTTGAAAGAAATTGATTATCGGTTTGGCGTTTTGGCTGTTAAACACATTCACTAAATAGAGCGAGCGAATTGTATTGAAAAGTGTTTTCACTAATTCTTGTTACTTTACATCCTTTTTCATCCTTACATGTCATCCTCCTCATCATCATCATCCTTCTTATCTTTATTATTATCATGATTCTCTTTCTTTCTCTCTCTCAAAAAGATGATATTCCACAATAATTATCATCTCTTTTTGGTACATCATCATCATCTTTTTATTTGTATTTCTTTTTCAATCAAGTTTCTCATGTTTACCCGAAGCATAAATTAACTTGCGACTTTAATTTTAATATATTATTAATTTATTTTCTTCCTTCTTTCTTTTTCTCATTATTTAGCCTTATTGCTCGTCGAGCCTATTTAGATGAATACGATGAATCGGGAGATAAAAACACATCACCACCTCCACTGCCTCAGTCTGAGACCACGAAAAGTAAAAGCTCGAATGTATAAAATTTGTTGGAATGATTATCGTTCTTATTAAGGAAATATCATCACTTTTTTCATTAATTATCTACTTCTCATTATCATCATCATCATCATCTTCATAAATCTTCACTTTTTTTTGCTCTCCTTTCGTTATATCGAAAAAAATTTTTTGTCTAAAACAAATCAACATTTTAGCTTGAAATTTGTGTTTGATACAATATTGAAGATGAATTTAGAAAAATGAGAAATCAATTTATATATATTATAAATATTAACTAACACAAGCAATCAACTCTTTCTACATTGATAGTAACCAATATTTCAATGAGCAATTAAAATCTTCATAATTGTATTTAACACAAATTCACGCTGATTATTATTACATTGTATGTTATCATAATCATGGACAAATTGATTGGTCATTACATTGTGAAAATTGTTTCACAATTTAAGGCATAAAAGTTATTGCAATTATTAGAAAAAGTGATTTCGCACAAAAATTAAGGTGAAAAAGAGAGTAATCAATAAGTTATATTGGTTAATTGTTAAATTGGACGCTCCGGCGATTCGGCATCTTAATTGATCCATTCGGCTTGGTTTACCTCGATCCACATTCTCATATTCTGATTCTAAATTTTGTCCGTCGACATAAGTAACCGGGTCGCTATATGGATACTCGTATCCTTGTCGACATTCACACTTGTATCCACCGGATTCGTATTTACGTCCAAACATTGGGACACATCGAGTTGATTCTCGGTCACATTTATGTGTTCCCTCGAAGGCATTTGCCGGATTACCGGTACTATCACATTGATTTATGTCTAATTGTAGGAGATCCATGTGAACCGAGACGATTCCTTTAAAGATTAATTTGTTTCTTAAATTGTTCCAACCAAAAAAAGGTGAACTGTAAGTGATTAGCCAACGCTTATGGAAACCATTACAATCGTAATAAGGTGTAGACCAGTATCCGTGATTCAATTCGGCTGCTTGATAATTTAATGGATATTGATCGTACTTGATTGTATTTAATCCAGATGAATTGTAACGAATGTTAATTTTTGTTGTATAAGTTTGAAGTTGATCAGTTATTCCGGTCCAACGTTTCTGAAGATAAGTAAATGCTTCACTTTTAACATAATCTGGTTCTGGTCCTGAGGAACGAGTCTTTTTACTCGCCAAATCGGCTACATAAAAGGTACGTTGTTCACGTCGAGGTCGCCAAGCATAAGGTGCGAAATAAGTGTGATTACTGTTGAATTGATTACGATCAAAAAATACACCAGCTCCAAGTAGTTTAAGATCACCGGTCACCAAGCTTAGTACTTCACCGACAATTTGATCAACGGTTAAAGATTTATCGGGAACTCGGAATTCGGCATAGGAAACTGTTGGATCGACGACTTGTAAGAAAGCGGAGATGAAATTTGCCAATCGAAGGGCCATTCGAGCTTGATTTTCAAATTGTATCTCTTTACCATGAGCAACATCTCCAGGTAATTGTAATCGATAAGGTGCCGTTCGTTGGTAAAATTCACAGTTTTCTGGTGTCACATTATGTCGGACAAATTTGGTGAAAGAGTTTGGATCCAAACGTTCAGTTGAATTTTTACCGAGACCAGTTAGAGTTTTCAATGTTCCAAGTAAAATTTTAGCATAAAAAGAGTCCATAACCTCAGCGTTTTGAGTTCGAACCGCCATGTAACCAATTTTATCGCATGAAAATCCTTTCTTATATTCTGTATTGGTCGCTCTTTCGATAATCTCCCCTAGATATGGTGTTCGAACATTTTTTGGCAATCTAAACCCGGACCGGCATCGACATTGATATCCACCTCGACGAAAACCATAACCATGAATTGGCTCACATTCGGTTGTTTCATTTCTACAACGAGATGTACCAGCGAAAGCATTTGGCCTTGGATTACCTTCACCAATCGGGCATTGATTAATATCTAATCGTTCAAAATCAATTTCCATCACTGAAACAGCAACATATCTGAGAGCGAAAACAAAGACCGATTAGTTTAATTGATTACTAACATTAAGGAAAAAATTATTCTTACCTTGCATATTCAATGTGCCTCCAACCGGTGTGTCTTGGGTTTAGATCAACGATTGGAGATGTGGCCGATGCGACCCATTTATTTGATCGTTCACAATCAAAATAGGGTTGAGCCCAAGCAACGGGACCAGGATTATCAGAGGCATGAGGTGGCCCATGGAAGGTGAAAGTTTCATTGAATCCATTGGCATGAAAGATTTTAACAATATATGTTGTCTTAGAGTCATGATGTTCAGTATTATCAGGTAACCAAAGATTGTACCATTTGTTAATTTTGTAATGTTCGTGAGTATAATTGTTACTTTGAGAGTTTATTTTAATTGCACCCAAATCACTTGCTTCAACTGTATTGAGAGTTGAGGTTCCTGAAAGGTGATAAGGATCATTGAAATCGTCAACACGAAACGCGCGAGGACCAAAAAGTGGCATTGTCTTATTAAAGAATCCTTTATAAGACGGAGTAAAGGCTCGATCAGGAGCATAATAAACGGAACTGGCATTAATGAATCGATTGGCAGCAACATCGGCGATTGATGATAAAAAATAGTACATAAAACCAGGTTCAACATCATCATTGGCTTTTTGAAGGATGAAACTAAAAAGAAACGGAAAAATAAAGCCAAGAGAAATTCAATTTGTTATTATTAGAAATTGACCATTGAAAATGTATCGATTGGCCAACATTTAACAATATGTTGGTTGTGATTAACTGTTTTGATTGTTTTAATTGTCTTACCTGTAAAAGAAAGCGCGGCTTAAGGCCATATTATGAACATGTAAGAGATTAGTGCGATTGGGGAAAACTGGATCAGTTCCGAGCCATTTAATGTTAGGCACATGGGTGACAGTTGAATTTGGCAGGAACAGGTCATTAATATCGACTATTTTACAATTATCTTTATTTACTCTAGTAATTTGTTCATTGATAACATCAAAATAATCACGAGATTGCCAATCAAATTGACAGTTTACCAAAACGATGGAGATCAACAGATAAGATAGAACAACATAAGATAAATTGTTCATCTTCACGAATTTACGATAACTTAATGAAAACAAATGAATTATGATGATGGCAACAATTAGACGAACAAATAAAATCTTAATCAAACGAGATAAACTATCGGTAATTAAGCAATTTGTTTACATTTTAAGAAACCAACACCCATGGAAATAAACAAAACTTCAATGAAAACTTTCAAAACATTTTGGTTAACCTAACAACCCAAAAGAGCGCGAAATTCAAACTTGAATTTTTTTTCGATTTCAAGTTGAAAAAAACAAGAATTTATCATGATCGTGATGAATTTAGAGCTGAGAGGAGAGAGAAAAGTTATTTATTTGTATCTTCTCCTCCTTTCGATTACAAATTAATATTAATTAACTTGTTCAATCAATATTTAGGATGGAAAGTTAATCAGAAATATTTACAACCATTGAGAGAAATCAGTTGATTATTCTGTTAGTATTTCTTTTTAAATTGTAATAGTTTCATTTTCTCTTAATCAAAATTGAATTTTAAATTGAAAAGTGATTCAACGAAGGATATTAATGGTCTATAGAATAAATTGGGTTTTTCCCCTATTTTTTTCCTCACCAATTCGTTGGACAATTGGGACAATATTATGATCGATTTGTTCGAGGCAAATGCTCAGAAATTTTGAACGATTTACCAATGAATTTATTTCGCATTTAAGATTAAGATGAAGTTAAAAGGGTTATCACCTTGGAGAATATAAATCTAAATGAAGGATTAAAGCAAATAGTTTAATATCTTCAAGGTAAATGGTCAATTCGAAGAGACCAAATCAAGTTTGGCCGAAGATCATTTAGATCGTTTAAATAGTGTTTTTCTAAACTTAGTGGTCAGTTTGTTTCTTTACTCAAATCGACTGATTGTTTTTCTTAATTTCCGTCCAAAGATTTGATCGTTTCAACCAAATATCTGGACAATTTATTGATTGTTTTCGGTGTAATTATGTTGGTTTATATCAGAAAACGAGGAATCGTCAATCTAATCCTTATCATCTCATTGTTAATTCAGTGTCTCTGTCAACCAGGTATGTATATATTTATTTATTTCTCTTTGATTGTTAAAATCTAATTGTAAATTTCTTATTTTCTTGTTAGCAATTAAATCAAATAAAACTAAACGAAGGGGTAACAAACGTAAATCAAACGAAAAGGTAACAATTAGCTCAACTTTCGAGCTGAATATGAAGAAAGCTTCACTCACAGGTAAGTTAAGACAACGAAATAGTTTGTTTTGATTTATTGTGACAGTTAATTTCTTTTATTAGATTTTATTCATTTCGCAAACGATATAATTAGTGGTGCAATTGTTCCCGAAACTAGTGATGTGAATGGTAAAACATATGATCTTAATTGGTCATCTGATCAAATCGGAACATCGATGAAAAAATCTGATGGTCAAGAAATATCACTTAATCTTGTCGTTCTCGATAAATATGCTTCATTAATCCGTTCATTTGGTGGACCTAAACACAAATTTCCAGGTAATTATCTCATTTCTCTCTCACTCTCTCATATTCACTATTATTACTAAACTATCAATTTCTCTCTCTCTTTCTCTATCATCTTGTTAATTCTCAAAAGTGAAATCACAAGTTCTTAAATCCACCAGACACACCCAACGCCCAGTCCTTCAAACAATTATCGATTTCATTGAAGAGCAAACCACTCAACATTATTCTCGTGACATCGGTCAATTTATGGTCAACCAAGCGGCTAAATTTACAGAGCTCTACGTCTCATCCAGTGCTAAGATGCTTTCATCTGGACTCTTGACCATTGCATCTTGGCTTGAAAAGAAAGAATCTAAAGAAACAAAAGAATCAAAAATCAAATTTAAACCATCAAAAAGACCAAAACAATTAATTTAACAAATTCTATCAATAAATAATCTTCAACATCTTCCACTTTTCATTCATCATTTTCAACAAACTTTCAAAGATTTATCAATGAATCTAATTGACTATATTTCTCTTCGTGTTCAAAATTAAGATGAAGTTAAAAGGATTATCAACTTGGAAGACCATTAATCTAAATTAAGGATTAAATCAAAAAGTTTAAGATCTTAAAGGTAAATGGTCAGTTCGAAGAGATCAAATCAATTTTTCTCCAACAATCTAGACCATTAAAATAGTATTTTTCCAGAGTTATTGGTCAGTTTATATTTTCCGTAATTTCAGTCCGTTGATTTGACCTATTCAATTACTCATCTCGACGATTGATTGATTATCGATCTAGTAATGAATCAATATTTTTTTCTCGACTTTTCTTTTCAATTTACGCGCCAAAAATGGAAAGAAATTAATTTAACTTTGAAACAAAGATTTGAGATAATAAATCAATTATTTTATTCAATATTCTACTTATTATCGAAGTAGAGACCAACAGAATTTTAATACAAATCTCTTGTAGTGAGAATTAAATTTCTTTAGAGATTAAATTAATAAAAGAAAAGAAAAAGAATGAAAAAGCAACACTTCTAATCGCTAGATGGAGTCACCATATCGATAAATTAACAATTTAGGTTAATAATTAAAAGAAAATAGTATCTCATTAATCTCAATGTAAAACCTAATTGTAAAGCAGAAGAAATTAAAAACCTAACAATTAACACGAGTTCTAAAGTCTTTGACTGGCAACAAGATTGGAATAAAAAAGTTTCTCTGTGAAAATCAAATCTCAAACTGAGATTCTCTTAATGACTGATACAATATCTTTTCCAACTAATCTTCAATCAACAATTGTCAAGTTTAATCACTCGAGTTACACAATCAGATATGAAGACAACATCTTCACAATGATTGAATCAATTTCTCAGTCTGAATCATCATCTTTTCCTCCTTATCCCCACCGCCGATATGTGAATAAGATTGATAGACACAAGGAGAAGGAAAAAAAAAACTTAGATGAAAATGTTTGATTTCTTTTTATCTTCTCTTAATTAATCCTAATCAATTTACCTGTTAAATCATTTATTTGATCAACTAATGGTCTCAATAAACTCTTGATAACTATCAAGTTTAATATTCAAGTTTTCAGGTTATTCAAGAAAACTGAACAACGTCCATCATCATGAAAACGATGACAAAGTCAGAATATAAAAAAGAAACCACTTTCCAAGTCGTATTGATCACCAGTCTCAATTAAATTGAGTGAAATTAAGTTAATCACATGAAAAGAAACGGCTAAATTGTAAAATTAAGCCCGCAAGGTGAAAGCTTATAATTGAAATTGAATCAGGAAAAGACAAAATAATATTACCACTAATCACAATGATAGAATCATGATTATTATCAAGACTTATTGTTAAATATTAAAGTGAAAACTTAAATTGTTTCACTTAATCACGATGTCTTCATTTTCTTGGTTGATTTTGTTTAACTATTTGATTAACTTTTCTTCCCGTTTCTGTGTCACTCGATTTTCACTTCACTCTGATTAATCAAGGTTTCCATCGTTATATAATCATCATCATCATCATCATAATCATGAATGATTACAATCAAATCAAAGCAAACAAGTAGCTAAGTATTAAGAAAGTTAGTTAACTAAATTAATATTAATTGAATGTGAATTCGTAACTTTTAGTTTTCGTTGTTTGTTAATCAAGTGAAAAGAAGCTGAGAAGATGAAAATTAAAATTAAATGACAGATCAATGTAATCGTTGATTGCTAATCAAACTGTAAACAACAATTTATATTAAAAGTTAAACCAGTTAAACGAGTTTAATTGACAGTGAAAATGTTGATCATGTTAATCAAAAATTGATCATTTTAAATGAATCAATTTTCTCAATCAAATCTCTGATTCCTTCACTTTTCTTGTTAATCAATTGTCTTTAATGGTAATGTTTAGTTTTAATCTTGATCATCATGTCTAATTGTGTTTAACCAGTTAATTGTTGCTTCTCAATTGTTGCTAATCATCATCAACTCTAACCCAATGGTTAGTAAACCTTGAAAATAGAAAGTTTTTCTTTTCTGATAATTGATTAATTGTTAACCAGAATAATACGAACTAAATTAAAAGTGCAAGGAACACAAATGAAAATCTCCTTAAGGCAACAATTAATAAAACACAACAACAATTTAAAATGAAAATCAAATTGTTTAACATTATTAAGATATTTAATTCTTACATCATTCTCGTGTAATGATAATAATCACAATTTAGAATCATAATCATCATAATCAACGTCAATGAATGTTAAATAAATTCAAGGTTCTAACTGAATTTAATCAACAATCAACTACTTGAGAGAATGAGAAATCTTAATCAAGAAGCTTGAAGAAAAAAACTTTTTCAACTAATCAAAAATGAACCTCGAAAAATTAAACACAATCAACTAATTACAGTTTAACTGTGATTTATTAAATTGTTTGACAGTCACAATTGTCGATAACCTAAATCCAATCACGATAATCACAATCAAGAAAAATTTTCATACACAATTTATTAATTACATTCAATTTTTCCCTATCATCTTTAACAATCAACTAACACAAACAACACAAGTAAATTGATTGATTTAACCAGCAATTTAAATGGTAAAAGTTTTAACCAACAATTAACCTTGAATCAATCAATTCAGAGAGAGAGAGAAAAGTTTTTACAATCAAATTGAATAATCAAAAAAGGTAATTTTTAAATGAATTGTAACAAAACAACAATTTATCGTTGAAACAATTAAGACAAATCATTGATTTTAAATTGATTAGCAAAACAAAATCACTTTTACAGATTCAACAATTTGATTAACAATCAAATTAAAGTAGACAAAAAAAAGTTAACAAAACTTTCAACACCAATTAAAAAACTTTGAAAACAATTGAAACAATTTAATTGTAGTAAATTTATCTTGACTGATCAATGGATATTTAGTTAATGAGTTTAATTACAAGTTAATTATGATTCGGGAACAATTAAAAAGATTAACTTAATTGTCGTGTTATTGATTAACAAAGATGGAAAGTTTTTCCAACTTTTTATCTGTCAAATTGATCTTCATTTAATATTACGTATCAATTGTAATCAGTTACAATTTAACAGTTAATCAAATTTAATCATCAACAATTAAGTTAATGTGAGAAAAAAACAAAAATCTCCCACAAAAAGAAACCTAAATGATTAATAAAAAGAAAGTGAAAACAAATGGAAACAATTAAATTAAATTAAATTAAAAGAAGAAAAGAAATTAAAATCTAATGAAAACCCGAAATTGATTAAACTTTTATGAAACTTTTTTTCGTAAATTAATCAATCGAGATTCTGAAAATATGGAAGCAATTTGATTCAGATAATTAATGAAGCCAACAATCAGTTAATTGTTGGAAATTGTCGTTGGTTAATAAACTTTAACCACTTTGGAAATGGTAACAAACCTTAAGACAGAAAAAGTCAATGAATTGGCTTTGTGTCTTTTCCTAATCAAGATAAACATTGGAAAATGAGGTCAACATCCAGTGTCAAAGGTCGCGAAGACGATGATTGTCATCATCTTCATCCTAAACTCCATTGATTTAGTGTTCAAATTTTTACTTGATTGTGGAAGAAAAAAAAAATATAAATATCAAAACAAAGACACAGTCAGAGCCACAAATTAATGTCGCCTTCCCAGGAAATGAGCCTTTGACCTCTTAGGGTCAAGTTGACATATTTTTTTGTTAACTTTAAAATGTTGATCGTTTTTTTTTAGCCTATGGTAATTTACTGGCTATTAAATATTCACAGCTTATGTCCTGTGTCTGGTTTTCATTTGAATAGTTAATTAAAATCAATTAACTTGATTGTTGAGAATAAAAAATAAAAGCTAACCATGGATTTGTAGTAATTAATATATAATAAATTGTAGTAAGTTAATCCTTCAAATTAACTGGATTAGCGATTAAGATTTTCATTGGATATTCAATTTATCATCTGAATTGACTTACATACAACTTGTCAATCAATTGGACAAAACTACCAATTAACTTACTATCATGATACTGACCATTGATGTTGACCATCAGTAGTGACCATTGTTTTTAATCAGTTGTGTATGTTGGTTGATTGTTATTCTGGGAAACAAAAAAATCCTTTCAACAATTAAATCGTATAATGAAACAATCATGTAAACAAAGACCAACAGTTGGGTTACCTGAGAGGCTGAAAAAAACAAAGACTTGAGGTTAACCAACCAACTAACTGACCACTGGTCAAGTTTTATTTGTTGTATGGACAAAGAAACCATTTTTGTTTATATGATTGTAGTTTTGAAAAAAAAAGGTTTGGTCAAACTTTTCAAGGGCAAGGTCACAATCAAGTCCAATTGGTAACAATCAAATCTTTTATTGTTATTAACCAACTATTGGGACACAAGTTGATCAGATTGTTAATCAAATCAACTGATTGAAAAGTAATCAACAGAAAATGAGCAAAAAAAGTTCTTATAATCATTTCCTTTTGGAAATCTTGTTTTCTAATCAACAGAAAGTTAAGAAAAAATTTTTTCCATAGGAAAAGTAAACCAATATGGCGACTCAAGATGCTTATTTTTCATCAATAAACTGACCAATGGTGTGGCCCATGTGTTATTCATTACTATTAGTTGTAGTTGTAGTTTTGACCATTGAAAAAAAAGAAACTGGTTTAGTTTAAATTGTTGGAGGAAAACAGAGATGACCAATAACAATCAAGTGTCCAGCCGTCAGTTACAATAACAGAAACTTGTTTATCAAGTTGACCATTCAAATATTGACCATTATTGATTCATCAGCTATTAAGCTGAGATACGTTTCTTGATTAAATTGTTACCTAATCATTTGGCTTTTAAATTGTTGTTAACTTTGGTTATTAACAATTTTCTGGTCAAGAGTTAAAACTTTTTGTTTGTTACCAATTTTTTTCAGGTTAAGGTTTTGAAACCATTTCTGTTGATTATTATTATTGTTACAATTTAATTCCAATAAAAGTTACAATCAACAATATTCACTTTGATAATAATTATTATCGTAGTGTTGATTTTCAATTAAACTAGATTGCAATGAATTAACTAACAATCAACAATGATCACTGTTAATGTTATGGGATAAAAGGTCAACAGGAAAAATTATCAACTTTTTTTTGTGTAACCAAGTTGTTGGTACTTCTTACAATTAACTTAATTTTCTTGTTGCCTCTTTTGATTATTACTATTTTTTCATATATATATGATGATTATTGAAATTGCAATTGAATAATAGTATTAATAAATAGGCTCTTTGATTGGTAACAATCAATGGATTTCATTGTGTGAATGTGAGTTGATTACAATTTAAATCAACATTGAAAGGAAGGAGGGAAAATAAATTTTCTGAGAAATCGTTACAATAGCAAATACAATAAAAATAAATTGACCCTGGTCCGAGTTGATTGTTGATTACAATCAACTGATGATGATGATGATGATGATAATGGAAACAGTTTAAAGCTATTAGATTTATAATATCATGGTGATAACTGAATTTCCTGATTCTCTCATTTTCAACTGGACTTTTTTTTTGTTTATTATTTTTAATCTTAGCTGATTGTTGTTGTTTTTGTTGTTTGTTGATTGTTAATCTTAAATCAACTCATCTTAACACCATAAAAATATAATAATATCACTTGATTGATATTTAACCAGTGTAATTACGAGATAATTTAAAGGTAGATAAGGTAATCAACGAACCAAATCAATAATAACAAATTATTTCCTTACAACAATCAACAACAAAATGACAACAGGTTAAGATAATTAAAGACAAGGGTTAAAAAGTGATGATTTTGATGATGATGATAAAGGATGATAATGATATAGTTAAAACAAATAGAAGGATAAATAATACAATGGGAAGAGAATTTCAATCTTTTGAAAGAGAGAAAAAATTCTGATTCTATTTCTTATTGGTGATGAGTGAAATCGTTTCATGGTGATTGAATTCATGGATAATAACATGAAGATCTGGAAAATTAAATGAACCAAGTAAATGAGCATCTTGTTGATTTTTGTCACAATGAGTCTGAATTCATTGAACGAAAGGTAGAGAGAGAGAGAGAGAGAAATTACAAATTTTCACCCTGATTGTAACCAATGGAAAGGAACTGAGTTTATTTTTGGAATAAAAAGCAAGTTCAACATATTCAGGTGGAGGTGGAGGAGGTGGTGTTAGTGGTGAAGGTAATGAAAGGAGGGAAATCGTTGATGGTAATGATGATGATGTTGGTGGTGGGGGTCGGGCTCAGATGATGGAATAGGGAGAATAACAATTCCAACCTCCCTGAACTTGTCAGACTGGACGATTTACTTGTTGATCACGGAGGCAAAAAAGTAGAGAGAGAGAGAGAGAGAGAGATGAGTAAAGAAAGAGAAAATTTCAAGAATCAAGGTGAGATGATGATGATGATGATTATAAGACGAGAGAAGATAAAAAAGCGACTTTATGTTGACCGGTCATTTACCTTGTGTATAAATAAGGAAGTTTAGTTTACGCTATTGACGATTATAATTTAACTGATGATGAAGAGGAAGATGAAGATGATGATAAAGATGATCTTCAACTAACCTGTCAGCTTAGTTTTTTTCTTGAAATAAACTCACTGGTGTAACTTGAATCTTATTGTTCATTTCATTTACTCTCATTTGATATTTTACCTTCCATGATATAATCTGGTTACTTGTTAAGATCTTAAAGTTTACCTGAGAGATAAAAAGAGTGAATTAGAAAAAAAAGTAAAAAAAAGACACTAGTTAACTAATTGTCTTTGTAATTGTTGTTTTTTACCTTTAATTAGTTTGTTATTTTCTCATTTATTTCAACAATCAGTGTCAATCACAATTTAAGAATGAGATTTTTATCTCTAAATTGTCTTCTTATTTTCTTATGTTCCATTGCTGTTTGTAATGGTGGTAAATCTAATCCAACCAATGGAACCTCATCAACCACAACAACCACAACATCGACCACAGTTAAATCAACATATACAACTCGAGATTTAATTCGTGACCTTATAACATCTTTGACCTCCGATGGCTCATCAAACTCAACAACATCCAATTCCAGTTCACTTAAACCCTTTCAACGGGACGTTAAAGCATCAACTTCAACCGTCTCATTGTTAAGCTATGGTAAGTGTTTAATTGTCTCTGTTGATCTTTCAAATTAAATCGATAAGATCATTGGACTAATCCAAGAATATGACCTTGTTATTGTCCAGGTAACTTGGCGATTTTAGGTGCCGTTGTATTGGGTGGCCTTGCTTACGTTGCACCAACATTTATTCCTGAATATCGTCGACGTGCTGGTCCAATGCCTCCCATGCATCCAGTTTATCCTCATCGTTTCTTTGACAGTTTATCAGATTTTTCTGCAGACATGATACCTTATATTGAGAATGAAATTCAACAGCAAGGTCACTTTTACAAGCGCAATAAACGAGCCATTTCAACCTCCTCCTCCTCTCCTTCAAATACTGGAATAATGGGAATCACCGGCGGTGGAGAGGAAACCAAAGAGCGACTCGATTTACTCAACATATTATCTAAACGATTCACGGCCGTTTCGGAATCGGTAATGGTCTGGGTTGAACGAACCCTCGATAATCTGCCCAACCTACCGCGACTCGAGGCTCAATCCTGTATGAAAAGATGTATCTGTGAGGCTCATAGTCAGCCCAAAAAATATGGACTCACTGGCCTGGTATTACAATTATTTTTCCCGTAAGTATTTATATCAACCTGAAACAATCAACTCACAAAGTAATTACAATGTTTTTGTTTGAGTGTGAGAAAATTTTTTAATCAATTGAGTTACAACATTTACATTTACTTACACACATTCAGATTGAAAAAAGGCAACAATTTAACAATTGGTTAACTTAACAATCAAAAGTAATCAAAGTTAAACAGGTTACTCAGACCATTTCCGATTATCATGATTAGAGCTCAATGTTGTTACAAGGTTTTTTTTTCTTGTGTTGTAGTTGAAAAACTTTGGTTGATTATCATGAGAAAAAAAGTTCTGAAGGAAAAAAAAATTCCCGCTGAGCTGAAATTTACTTTTCCATGATGATGATAATCATGGTGATAAGATAACAACAACAACAACAACAACAACAATACTTAAGAATGAAAAGTTTTGTATCTTACCCAATTCAAAGTTGAAATCATCATCATGATGATAGAGATTTTCGGTTCTGATATCTCATGAATCTCAATCTCTGAATCATAAAAATCAAACTCGAAACTTTATCTCTAACCCTGAACACGAATCGACCCTGAAATTTGAATTGAATTCATTTTCTCCCATTTTCTTAAGTCTTACAAGGTGAAAATTAGAAGAGAAAAAAAAAAAAAGTATTCTAAAAGTTTCTCTCCATCCTCATCATCATCATCCTAGTCTTCATCATCTTCATCATCAATGATTAATAATCATCAAGTTTAATTCTGATTCTGAAAAAAAGGTTATTGCCATGATGATGAATCGATTATAATTTTTGAAATATCATTTCAATTTGTTAAAACACCAAAATACCCTGAGGATATTTATCTCATGAAAAAAAAGGGAAACTTGATTCAGAATGATGATCATGATAAACAGGTAAGATTCCTGAGTCTCTTTGATTTACCAGGTAAAAGAGAAGATGAAAAAAAAAATAAAAGTTCTAAGTTCAACTTCCTGGAGAAATGAATTTGGCCCGGAGAAAAGTGATCAAGATAAACTAATATTATCACCGCATAGCAATTAACATTTCATGAAAAGTGATTAACTGATAAACTGTAAAACCGAAACACTAATCATTTTAATCAACAATCAAGTGACATTTCAAATCACATTTCCGATTCATGTGTAACAATTTAATAATAAATATACCAAAGGTCAGTTCGTTGGGGGTCAAGCTCAGAGGTTTAATTAATACAAATAATCATATATATCATTTCCGCTTTTTGTTTATATCTGGTCAACCAATTAGATCACAATTAAGATTATCAATCAATAAATTTATCCGAATGTTGATCAGTTGATATTGACAATTACAAGCAGCTCTTGAGTCTACGAGACTCGAGAGCCTGATTATCTCAAACGCAATCAATTTCTGTAATTTACTAATTGTTGACCTGTTTCTCTCTCGATCTTTTAATTGTAGACCTTATGTTGAAAGCGATACTCCCTCCAAGATCATTTCGAAATATCAACTGGCCGCTCGTTATGGACGCACCGAGAACGCAAATTGTGGACAACAATATGACGATTGTATAATTAATTTCCTCGATATTGTTAAATCTGTAACCAATTTGCTTCTGTAAATCAATTAATCATTTACTTAGGTGCCAATATTTTTGTATTATCTTTGAAATCCAACCCACCAAAATCAACAATTAACACAAAAATCAAATGTAGATTATCACAATTAATTAACTTATGATAACAATTTAAATTCTCATTCAAATCTCATGTACCCTTGATATCATTTTTTTGGTTTTCATGTAACTTTTTCATTACCACAATAATTTAATTTAATTGTAATACTTTTTTTTTTAATTCAAAAATTCATTTGTTCAATCAACACACTTTCAAATTGCTGATTTAACTTTCTTGTCAATTAACAAATTATTTGGCAGGTAAATTATTAATAATACACACAAATATAATTAACTTGCTCTTTTTTTGTTTTCTATCATTGGAGACAATTTATTAATCAAAAGAGAGAGAGAGATAGCGTCAGAGAGATAGAGATAGAGAGTAAGAGATGGAAAAAGGGAGAGGGAAAAAATAGAGTGGGAAAGATAGAGAAAGAGAGAGAGAGAGGGAGGGAGAATTAGAGAAAAAAATTGATGATGATGATGAAGTTGATGTGTTTGATGATGTTGATGGTGGCATGTTGATCAGAACTAATCCCAATTCTCATGGAGTGGCTCAGAACTTCCTGTATTCATTTGATTTCCAGCATTCATTATATTGTTATATGCTGATGGCCAGTCCACTGATTGACCGTAGGGTGGATCCCTTGTTGTGCCAACAGTGAATCCAGGTAAAGGTGGATTGGTAAAGCCAACTTCTATTCCCTTCTTGTGACTTGATTTGTGTTTACTGTGCTTGGTTGCAGCAGGTTGGCTATTTTGTGCAGCATTTTGGGCTGCTTGGACCCCGTTGTACATTTTAGAGATGGCCGAGATGTAAATGGGTTTACCATTGGTGTCAAAATGTTGTTTCATCACTTCATCAATGAGATCACGGAAATGAGATGGTTTCATGTTATTGGCCACAAAATTAAGGATAAACCAGTTACCACATCGAGAGGTTAGTCTTTCCAAAAATTTTGTATCAGTAGATGGGGCAATAGCCCTTAGCCGCCATAACCTAAGCCTGGGGCATACAATTAAAAGTAACCGGTATACCAGGTAAAGTCCGGTCATGATGAGAAGGAAAAGAAACCAGAACCAAAGGATTACGTAGATCTTTTCGTTGACAATGTTTAGAGGAAGGAAACAGAGAACATCATGAACTTCAATGGTACCCGAGTAACCATACTTGTGGAATGAGCATTTGGTTAAACGAGGAAAAGTTCGGACCAGTGGATCATGACGATTATCCTCTTCCATATGGGAATAGGCCATCCACTCGATGCCCAATGAAAAGAAGTATCCACCAAGAAATAAATTGGTGAACCATATTTGGAAAATAAGATGAATAAAATAAATAATTTCACAGAAAATGAAAAAATAGAAATACTCATTGCTAATAAGCAGAGTGTCAGCTAGATCTTGAGCTAATCGGAGTCGATCATATTCTGACATTTCTTTTATATGGCGAATTCGAAGTTCAGTGATAAGTGCACGAAGGCGTTTAGCTTCTTTAGCTTTCCACAAATATTTGGGAACGTAAAACATAATCGCTTGTAACATTAGCACAAAATAAACCCATTGGTAGTATTTGTGGTAGTTTTTCTTCTCCCCTTGGCTTGAGATTAAAGGCTTAACTCCAGGATAAGCTGAGTCCGTAGAGGATGAAGGTGAGGTAACAGAGAAAGTTGATTCAAGCCAACAATAATGTTGTAAAAGTGCTGGTGTGATGTCCGATTTACCACCCATACACTCAATGGGATCACCAAAATATTGTCTCATTGTAACAAACATGGTTCCCACCATAAGTATATAAACAGTCACCATTGAGTGAAGGCGAAATATGATGTTGTCAACCTTGACTGCATCCGATTTGAAATCAAAAAGGGATGAGAAGGCAGTTAAGGCACGTATTTGTTTTAAATATTCCATGGCCGATGATGATGATGCTCGTGAATAATTTGCTTTCATCATTTAACGTCACATATTGAAATAAAGTAGGAAAAACAAAACACTAGAACGGTGGATGAACACATTGGAATCAAGAATAAGATAAAACGGAGAAGAGAAGAGATAAAAAGAAGAAAAAAGAGAATAGAAGGAAAAATAAAAAGATAAAAGAAGAAAACTCAGGTAAATGTTTTTCTTTTCTTTGTGTGTTCACTTAGGTTGGAAATTGATTAAAACCAAAAGGAATAAAAAATAATATAACATATACAAAAAAAATAGAAAATAATAAAAGAAAATAAAATAAAATAGTAAAAAAATGTAAATTAATTTAACTCTACATCTAGAGAGAAATGAGGACAACGATGACGGAGACCAAAAAAATAATCAACTTGTAACTGATGTTCACCACACTTACAACTAAACTATTCAACTACTCAAGTAACTTGCATCCAAATAACTCTAACCCAAAGAAGAGAAGTTGAAATGAGAGCCATCTCTTGGTGGAAAGAGTAACTCGGGTGAAAGAGACCAAAAGAAAACAAAGAAACAAAGGAAAAGAAGAGAGAGAGAGAGAGAAAGAGAGAGAATGAGGACAAAAGAAAGAAAAGAGAGAGAGAGAGAGAGAGAGATGAAGATGAAGATGAGAAATAAGATGTTTAGATGTAAGAAGAAGGTAAAAGAAACATGAATAACCTGTTTGACTGGTTCGTCAGGTAAGAAAGTATGAAGATGGAGATGAAGATGAGGAAAAAAAAGAGTAACTTTGGTAGAAAAAAAAAGAAAGAGAAAAAAAGTTCGACAGAAAAAAAGACACAGGAAAAGAAAGAGAGAAAGAAAAGTAAAATATGTTGCCTTGTTTGACTGGTTTGCTTTTTCACTAAAACAGGAAAGAGAGAGAGAGAGAGAGAGAGAGAGTTTCTCTCTCTCTTACTACCTGGCGCACCAGGTAGCCTGTTGGAGAGAGAGATTGAAATTCTTCCCTACCTACAAGGAAGCGCCTTTCCAGCGGTCTATATGAGAGAGAGCGAGAGATGCAAAAAGACAGAGAATCGAGTGCGAAAAGCGAAAGAAAAGAAAGAGAAGAAGAAAAATGTTTGAAAGTCTTTGATTCTTTGTCAGTTGATTTCTTTTTTTTTCTTCTTCATCAGTTTCCAAAGCTAAGAGACTTGAGTTCTTTCATCATCTTCACCAGGTAAGGTAAGAAGTGGGAGGAGTGTTAAAGGCCAATAAGATGTAAAGAGAAAGAGAAGATAAAAAAATTCAAAAAAGAGAGAGAAAGAGAAAGAGAAGATGAAAAGTAAGACATTTTCTTCAAGATAATTTATTTGAGGCTCAGGTAAGAAAGAGAAAAAGAAAGAGAAGATAAGAAAAAAGAGAGAGAAAAAATAACCAAACAAAACGAAATAAACGAAATGCATAAAAAAAGCAAAGTATTTTCTCTTACCTGTTTTGTAGAAAATTGTAATTACTTTTCAATTGCAAGTCTCTCTCTCTCTCTCTCTTTCTCTCATCTTCTCTTTCTTTTCCTCTTATTTACCTGTAGATTTGAAGAAAGAATCTTTTGGAAAAAAGAAGAAAAAAAAATTCTTATTCTATGAAAGGTAAAAAAAAACGTTCCTTTTAACATGAACATGATGATCCACCAGAACCGCCTCAAGATAAACCCTAGAGATGATTAAGATCATCTTCTTAAAGCTTAAAGATTCATGGTCATCATCAGAATTATAGATGATTAAAATCAATCCAATTCCAAGGGTAAACAATTAACAGTTGATTAGTTTAATTTTCTCATTGAAAAGTAAATCACAATTAACTTTAATTTCCAATGGCTTGAAACAGATAAACTTATTATATATTTAACTTCACCTTAATTCTTGATTGCTACTGTTTAATTATCATGATAATCTAATTATTATATTAGTTAATTGTTGCCTTGATTAACTATGAAACTATTACCAGGATTTAGATTTTAGTTAAAACTTGTCTTTTTTTATCATTATCATTATCATCCGATTTACCTGAACAAGTTATTTAAGTTGATTTACCTTGATTGCTATTCATTTGATTAAATTGCTTCTAATAACTTGTTTGATTAGTTAGTTGATTAGTTGGTTAAATATCTCAATTCAATTATTACACTTAACTGTCAATTGGATAAATTGTTTTCCTTTTTTTTCCTTCTTTTTTTTTTAAATTGTCTAATTGTAATTGTAATTGTAATCGTAATTGTAATTACAATTTGTTTCCTTTCTTACCGTTAATTGTGTTTAGTGGTAACATTATTTTTCCTTAATCGTTGATACACCAATTAACCATTTTAATTGTAATTATAATGATAATGATGATGATGATGATGATGATTACCAATTATCAATCAATTTAGGTTACTCTAAATTGTTAATTGTATTGCTATTTCTGGTCACATCTTTGGTAATAATAATAATGATAATGATAATGATAATTAGTTGATCGTATTTACCTGTTAATTGTTGACAACTTGTTGATTGTTAATTGTCAAACTGTTTATATATATTATAACCTACCACCTTATCCCCCCTCCCTGTGCTAATCAACATCATCAATTTGTCTTCCTTGTCTTCAATCAACTTTTAATATGAAAATATTGTAAACTAATTACAACTAAATTGTAATCTCATATATGTAGTGGGTGTTGATTAATGTTGATTACATTCATAGAGCATTCAACTCATTAAATTAACCTTGAAGAATTGATTTAAATCTCTTCCCCTATCATCATAATCATAATCATCATCACCATCGTCATCGTCATCATCATCATCATCATCTCTCTCTCTCTCATCATTTCCTTAATCAAATAATTACAATCAATTTAAGTTCTAATCATGATGATGACGATAAGAAAAAAAAGATGATGCAAAAATGACTAAGCATTACAATTGAATTGGTTAAATTCAAGTTGATTTAGTTGATTGTTAAGGGTTAAAGGGAAGGATTTACCTGTTACCTGGACTTTTCCCCCAATTTGATGACTCACTTTGTTTTCTATCATTTTCAACCTGATTCCTTAACTACTACTACTACAACTATATATTGCATTGATCAACAGGTAATCATGATGATAATAATAAATAGCAACAATTATAATAATCAGGTAAACAAAGGTTCATATAAATGTAAGATTCAGTGAGAGTACAAACTTGTTGATATCACAACAGGTAACTTGATTTACTTTAAGTACAATCATCATTATGATTAACGTCAAGTTGAGTAATAAATGTAAATTGGAAAAGGTAAAAAAAAAGTTTACAATTTGAAGATGAAGATGAGGATGAGGATGAAGATGAAGATGATGGAGACTACCTGTAAGAAAAAAGGTATAACAATCAATTCAGTTATTATTTGCAAAGGAAACAATAAAATCTAATCAACAGAGAGGTTGAGAAACATTTAACAAGTAAATAAACAATCAACCGGATCTAAGGCTATTTAAATAGTCTGATGATTAAGATGATGATGATGATGATGATGATAAGCTATCATCTTTACGGTATGATAATTATGATAGGAAAATATAATAAGACTAATAATTTATGAAGAAGAGAAAAAAAAAGTTTCTTTCCAAGGTAAATATTCATATTGATCAGGTAGAGAGAAAAGTTTATTATAAACAATCAGTGAAATGGTGAAAACAATTAAATCAACCATGAACAATTTATTACTTCATCAATCGATTTACAACAATCAAGAGAGAGAGAGAGAGAGAGAGGAAAAATTGATTGGTTAAATCTTAAGGGTTAATTGTAATTAATAGGAAATCAAACCTCTTACTGTGATTTACCAATCTATTTAAATTGTTGATATTAAATCATGATAATCAGAAATTATTATCCCGGAAATTGAAGGTGTATCTTGGTTAAAACCCTTTTCCCGCCTCCATCTTAACGTCACTATTATTAATTTAATCACCTCATGTTGATTACTATGAATTAAATTTCATTGATTGTGATTAAATTTCAATTTTCAACTGTTAACGTATTTTTCCCAATCAGTTTAATTGTATTAATGTCAATTAATTGATGATGAGAAAGTTTCAAAAAACTTTCCTGTTTCACGTTCCCAATCTGAACAACAATTAAGAGGTAATATAGTAATCACAATTATTACAATTGACTAAACAATTTAACACTAGTTGATTGTTGAATGTGTTAATTTTGTCTGATTATATTGATTGTTAATAATAATAACAAACGTTTCGTATCTTTTAAGGTAATGGGAATTGTAACAATTAACTAATTTTCTATTAATTTCTCACAATATCTTCTTCTTGATTAATAATAATACAAAAAGTACAATGTGAATATTAGATTACAATTTTAATTCACTATTAAACTGTTAATTGTTAATCATTAACCTTAAATGGAAATTCCCATGGATGATAAATATCAAATTGAAGACGGAAATTAAGAAAGAGACTTGAGATGATAAAGAAAGAAAAGAAAGAGAAAAAGAAAGAGATTAATCAAATATATTTAGCAGAGAGAGAGAGAAAAATAAATTGTAACATTAATAACAAGTTGATTAGTTAATCATGACACTCTATTATCTTATCATCCCGTTAATAAAAAACAATCAGTGATAACAATTAACTAGTTAACAAACCAATTAATGGATTAATGAAACGCCATCTTGTGTTACAATTAACTAATTAGGATAACAATTAATGATGATGATGTAATCTAATCAATGGTAAACTACACAATTGAATTTCTAATTCAATTGTAAAGTAAAAGTGAAAAATTAAATTAATATAATTTATATAAATCGAAATGATTATCATCTGAATAAGAAACGTTTTCTACAATTATCATTATCATTATCATCCTGATGATGAGGATGATGAGGATGATGATGATCATCATCATTACTCACTCCAAGGTCAATATTAAGATCCGCTCCTTATGACGGTCAAATTAAATTACTCGCCATAACCGTGAGGTTCAAGTCGATATCTTAATTGGATCCGTGTTTTAATATACTAAACATATAACATCCTGGTTACACGTCCATCGGTAGCCTGAGTTTAGGTCGGATCGCTGATGATGATGATGATGGCCGGAAGAGAGAGACGGAAAATTTCACTCTCAATTCTCTTTCTTTTTGCTTTTTATCATCTTCCAATACATTTTATCTCTTTCTTTTCTTTTTATGCCCTGGAGCAATCAATCTCTGAGTATTACATTGAACACACCCTGTAACTTGTAGCATCTCAATTTGCTTATTACATATGAAAACTGGACCGGAACTTGTTGATAAGAATGATAATGATAATTACCATTGGATTAGAGGGATTCGTTTACCTGGTTAACGATGAGAGAGAAAGAGAGAGAGAGAGATGAATTATAATGATAATAATTTACTAGTAATTCTAGTGGAAAGGTAACAATTTAGGTTACAAAGTTTTGACAATTTTCAACTAAATTGTTGCGACAATTTAAATGAAACTTTATCCGGATGTTGTTTATATGAGTGTCTTTGGGTTGGACTTTTAATTTTTGTCTTCCAACAATTAAACATTTATATTCATCATTATTATCACCTCTCTCTCTCTCTCTCTCTCTCTCTCTCTCTCTCTCTCTTCATTTCTTTTCTCTTTCTCTTTCATGTTTACCTTTAGAATTGAAATGATCATTTGAAAAAAAGACGATTCTTTCCAGAAATTGACAATTAAACCCACTCAAGTAAATCATCATTTAATTGTTTCCACTTTATTCAATCTACTTTCAACAGTAAAACAATTGATCAGTTAGGATTAGTATCAATGGGGTTTAAAAAAAAGTGATTAATTCAGTTAACAGTTTTAATTATAATCAAGATTTCAATAACAAAGTTGGATTTTTTTTAGAGTATTGATTTTCCATAGGTAATTTTAATGAATAATCAGAATAATGAAAAAAAATATTTGATTGATAATCGAAGACAATCAATTGGCTTTGATTTCCTCTTTATTTTCATTTTTCTTTTTCGTTGAAAACCACTGACCAGTTCGCGCCTTTCGAGAGTTAACCACATTTCGAGGTGTCGTCTTAAGATCATAAGCTTGACCAAGCCAGGCCATTAGCTCGATAAACATGGCGGCCGTGTTGACTTGACCAATCCAACCCCATTCGGATGCTTTATAATCTTGGGGAAAAGTGTGATGGAAATTATGATAAAATTCACCAGTCCAAACCCAGAGTTTCCAGAAATTTTGCTCAACTGGACCAATCGTTTTATCGTAAGGTTTGGTTCCCCAAAGATGAGCCGCTGAATTGACCAACCATGTACCATGAAGGACAAGAAGTAAACGAATACCTGAAGCATAGAAACAATGCCAGAAAGGGATTCCCCAATAATAGTAGGGAAATGCTATCGGAATACCAGCAATCGTTGCCATTGCGATCCAGAAATAGTATTTCCTTTGCCAAACGACTACTGGATCAGCGTAAAGATCTGACAGGTCAACGGTTTTACCTTTCTCCTTGACCGCTGGATGTTTCTTGACAAGAAGCCAACCTTGGTGTGAGAAGAAAAATCCTCGATTCGCATTATGTGGATCAGCATCAGTCTCAGAATATTTATGATGAACTCGATGATCTCGAGCCCATGTTAGAATATCATCTTGTCCACATGACGCAAATGCGATCGCAAGAAAAACTCGTAATGGTGTTTTCGCTTTATACGATTTGTGAGACCACAAACGATGAGCACCAGCAGTCACTCCCATCGAACTGAAAAACACTGTATATATTGTCCCTACATTTAGAAAAAGTAAAACAAGCAATCAATCAATCGAGTTTGAACATTCGAATCAAAAGAAACTCTAACTAATAAATTCTATTTACATTTACACCTCCGTTCGAGTCAAAATCGAATCAACTACTTACCGAATTTCATCAATTTCCCAAAGTTACTTCGTTCCTCTGGATAACGGTAAAGGTACCAAATCTCGAGAAAAATGATCGAATGTAATAAACTTTGAAGTAGAACATTTCTCCAAACAATCTGAGGCTCATAATCAGGTGAAGTTTCACCTTTCTCATGTTCCAATGGCAAATCATCTGGATCAATTTCTTTTGGTTTTTCACTTATCGAATTCATTTTGTCCATAAAACAACAATGAAGTCTTCACAAAAGTTCAGAACAATTCAGACAAAACTTATTGAAACTTATCGATGACCAGAACTATCGTTGTGATACAATGATTAATTTTCACCGTTATTTACATATAAATACTTTGTTACTATTGATTGTTTGATTTACTTAAACTACTGACAATTGGTAACTGATTTTACATTGACAATATTTCCAATTAATTTTGATTATTTACCCAATTCTCTCATATCCACCTCCCTTTTTAATTGTTTATCATTACCTTTTGCTCACCTACGCATCTCCACCGATTGTCAACCAATTGTTTTTCCTCCTAAGTCGATCAGGATTTTGATTGTAATAACAATTAACGTAAGTTAAGGAGATTTAATTTTCTTGTAAATTGTCAAATTTAATTCTAATCACTTTAGAAATGGTGGGATTCACTTATTGATTGTCATATTGATCAAACGCCATAAACTAAGATGATTAGATTGTTACTATTGCGAAGTACAATAATAGTAATAGATTTATATCATATTAATTGTTCTAACATCAAATATGTTAACAATTAAGGCCAAAATTCTGAGCTAATACAAAGACTATCGCTTTCGCAATGATTGGTTAGCTTATTGACTATTGAAATACTCAAATAATCAATTGCGTTAATAAGTACATTTGATTAATGTTTTTCTGCGTAAGATTAAATTGTTACTTCTATTTCCTTTTAATTGTCAAACTTTTTCGTCTAAATTAATCGTCATATTTGAGATGACAAATAATAGAAATTGATTGTTGACCACCCGCAGACTAATTAAACAATTAACGAATTAGATTCGTTGATAAACTTTCATCTTTTCGTTAGGAGATCGAAAGTTATTGTTAACAATTGAGAAAGTTTTCTGAACTTGATGAAGATTCAATATGAAAACTGGAACAGAATTTGCTGATAATTACAATTGGATTAGAAATTAATTCACTTGATTAACTTTGAGAGAGAAATGAACGATAATTATGATTTACTCGTAATTCTAGTGAAAAGGTAACGATTTGGGTTACAAATTGTGACAATAATTAAATGAAACTCTATCCGGACGTTGTTTATTTGATTGTCTTTGGGTTGGACTTTTAATTTTTACCTTCCAACAATTAAACATTTATATTCATCATCATGATTGTCATCATTCATCTTTCTCGTGTGTTTATTATGATGTTTACCTTTAGAATTGAAATAATCTTTTTGACTCAAAAATGACAGTTTTTTTAACAATTAAATCCATTCAAGTAAATCATCATTTAATTGTTTCCATTTTATCCAATAAATCAATCCACTTTCAAGAGAAAAACAATTGATCAGATTGGATTTGAAGAGGTTCGGATTAACATTGAATGGAGTTTGAAAGTGATTATTGATTGGGTTTGGTTGAGAATTAAAATTCATTAGTTAGTTAGGATTTAGAAACAACATTTTAGCCTTAATCCTTTTCTTGGTAAAAATGTTTAAACGAAAGACTCACAACTCTTTACACAAAAGATGAAAGTGTGCGACAATTGTGAAAATGGTGCAGATTCTTACCTGGAATGAGGGTTGGGGAATGATGGTCATCACTTTGGTGGTCAGTGGGTGGAAAAAGAAATACCTTACTTAATGTTAATCTGTTAATCTTGAGCCAAAAATATAATTAAGCCTCAAGTTGTTGTGTCAATAAGCTCACAATCAAAACTAATGATGGTGATAATTCAAAAAATTGGTAAAAGCAACAAACATCAACAATACATGCGGCCATTGGTCAAGAAAGTGCAAACTCTTAGAAAAACCGCCTCAGGGCAAAAATAGAAACAATTTCTCTCTCTTTTTCTCCTTCTTTTCCTTGCTTACCTCTCGTTTTATCATCTATCTATCATCATCACAGGTAAAGATGAAGATGATCACCTTTCAACTAAGTTTTTTCTTTTCTCTTTTTATTTGTTGTTGGTCATTTCGTTAACTACTTTTCTCTCTCTCTCTCTCTCTCTTACCTTATCCATCGTCCATTGTTATTAGCATTCCAAGAGCAATTGTTAACATCTATTGTTAACTATCAACTCTTTTTACCCTAAACACAATTAATCTTTATCAATTAGTAAATTGTTTACAATTAAGGAAGAGGAAAGAGAGATCGAGAGAGAGAGAGAGAGAGAGGGAAAACTTTTTCGAAACTTTTTTTTTATCAACGAAATTGTTTATTATCATCTCTCAAAATGATTAACTAATGAAATAATTTGATGACACTTTCAAGATGATAATTGATTTACTAATATTATCATTAATTAAATCTAAATTATCATTTGATTCATTCCAATAGTCAGCTAGAAATGAATGCTTATTGAATTAGAAATTGGAAAAAAATTTCAAACGAAATTATTAATATTTCTGAATATAATTATTCAAACGCTACCGGTGATGATTATGATGCTCGATGGTAAATGAATTTACTGATTGTTTTGTTTTCAACTTAATTAAATTTATGATTAAAAAATCGTGCTTATTATCATTAGCTTCTTATCTGAGGTTGAATTTTTTTCCTAAAAAAAGTTCCTCAGAAATTCAAGATCATTGGCCTCATCCTCTTCATCATCAGCATCATGAAGTGATAGAGAGAGAGATTCATAAACTAACCTTGGTTGTGTTCAATTAATTGTTATTATTTATTAGTATGATTAATTCAATTATTTGAACAAGTTCTGAAACTGGTAAATTACATAAGCTTGAAACAATCAATTTCCAATAAAGAAAACTAATCAACTGATTACGATTTCAAGTTATCTTTTTAATTTGATAACAAGAAGCTAATCATATATAGATATTGATGATAATAATGATGAAGATGGAGATGAAGATGATGATACAAATGATTTAGTTGCGATTTAAAGTTTGATTGTTGGTGATCGCTATCAATCAGAATTAACATGAACTTTGAATGACTTTTTTTCTCTCTCCTTTTCATGAAATGAATTTTTTGTTTTCATCTTCTCCATGCATAATATAAGGGATATCATGTAATTTCGGTTATTATCAACAGGTAGTGAGAGAGAAAGAGAAAGATATATAATATTTAATATCAATTGGAAACATGGGATTTAAGGTGAAGATGGATGAGGTGGTCAAGGTTGAATTAAGCTCTTCTGTTGTTGAATAATCATGTTGATGATGAGGAGGATGAGAAACTACCTGTGGTGAAGGATTGGTCAGCAAAGAGATGGAATCATTTTCTCTCTCTCTCTCTCTCTCTCTCTGCAATGATTCAAATTAAATGGAAACTGAACTGACCGTGAAAATGGACTGATAGAGATTCCGATGATTTAGCATCAATCAATTGGTCTATTAAATAATCACGAATCTCATCATGTTAATCTTAATCTTAATCTTTAAAAATTTGTATCTTTTTCTGTTGTTAACTTGAAACAATTTATATACCTTCAGTTTTTCAGTTAATCCCAATCAATAAGTGATTACCTGGTTAAAGGAAAAGTGATTTAAACTTTATAATTGAATTTTAATTGAATTGATTAGTTATACTCGATTAAGTATTATCATTATCATTATTAAATTGATTGGTTAACTTATGAAAAAATCTAATCAAACAACTAAATCTTATTGAATGTCTTGAAAACTTTTTTTTTGTTCAAAAGTTTTACGATTTTATCTGATTAACTTTTAACTTGTTTCCCTTTTAGTTAATTGTTAATTACTTTTAATTGATCACTGATAGAGATGATGATTAACTAAAAATGAAGTTAATAAAATTATAAACTTAACTTAAATTGCTCCTGGTAATTAATGTGATTAATACAAAGGTAATTAAAGTTTTACCATTAGCCAACTTGTATTTATTGTCATGGGTTAGTGATAATTAATTGTTTTGTAATCAACGTTTTTTTTTTAATTTTAATTGTAATAATACATGGGATTTATATTTTGGCTAAATTAACAAATGAAAAAGCTAAAATGTTAATCGTTAAGTTATTAAATCAATGATCAAGTTAATTCACCAAGAGGTTAAATTGATGATCCGGACAATTTAACTGTTCCCATAGCTTTTCATTCATAGGATTTAGTTGAAACTTTCAATGCAATTAACATGAAATGATGCATACCTGTTGCAAGTTAATTACAATTAAAATTAGTAAACCAACACACTGTACTTTGTACAGTCTTTATCATCATTATCATCATCATCATCATCTAAGGTCAATAACGTTGGTGAAAAAAAAATAAAGTTCTGAACGTGATTCAAGTTATTCTGATTTTTTTTCCTTCTTTTTGTTCATGGAAAACAAAAAATTCATTCAGATTCATTTTCAAAGTCATCATCATAATATAATCTTTCATTTATTATTTATCATCATCATCATCATCTTCATCCGTAATCATCATCATTACAGTTTAAGATGATGATGATAATTGATTGGAAACAATTAGCTAATAAAACTCACAGTGTGTAATAGCAAAGTGATCAGTTAATTGTTTCATCATCAATTGGTTCATCGACTGATGATCATGATGATGATTCTGTTTTCATGATTATCATTGAAATAATAATAATAATTTTCTATATGTTGAAGAAAAATCTTCTTCCTTATTATTTGTTGATTGTTGTTGCTGGTTAATAATCACAATTAAAAATGTCTGATGGATGATTTAGCGTGGGATTGACACTGGAGGAACAATTAAACAAAAACAAGATGATGATAATCCAATAAACATCATCCTTATCATCCTTATCATCCCATTATATTTAATAATTTCTCTAACTAATTGTTGATTGTTGATTGTTGATTGATGAAATGAACAACAATCATCATCATCAACATTAATCCACACAAATTATTATAAAAAAAAGGTGTACTAATGAAAACATTGATTTAACTTGTTAATCTACTTTGCATAAAGATTATCATTATCCTAATCTTTGTAAATCTAATATTATCATTAACTTGTATACATAATTATCATCATCTTCATCATCATTATCATCATCATTGTAAATTGTTGTCTCTCTGCGTTAATGCTAACGGCTAATGTGGTTTCTGTACTTAATTGTCAGATAATTTAAAACTAAATTTACAATTTGAAGGTAACAATTTGTGGCTTCTTATTTCACAAACTATCATCATCATCTTTATCATCATGATCAATTTCATGATCATTAACGATTTTACAATGATAACAATTACAATTGATTCAAGTTAATTATTCATCCTTAAGGCGTTCGGAGTTGAATATCAAAAGCAAGAGAAGAAAAAAAAAGGTAAACAATTAACTAATCGTTACCAAAAGTAATTACAATTTACTAATGAATGATAATAGTAAATCAATTATCATCTTGAAAGTGTCATCAAATTATTTCATTAGTTAATCATTTTGAGAGATGATAATAAACAATTTCGTTGATAAAAAAAAAGTTTCGAAAAAGTTTTCCCTCTCTCTCTCTCTCTCTCGATCTCTCTTTCCTCTTCCTTAATTGTAAACAATTTACTAATTGATAAAGATTAATTGTGTTTAGGGTAAAAAGAGTTGATAGTTAACAATAGATGTTAACAATTGCTCTTGGAATGCTAATAACAATGGACGATGGATAAGGTAAGAGAGAGAGAGAGAGAGAGAGAGAAAAGTAGTTAACGAAATGACCAACAACAAATAAAAGAGAAAAGAAAAAACTTAGTTGAAAGGTCATCATCTTCATCTCTTACCTGTGATGATGATGATGATAGATAGATAGATAGATGATAGAAAGAGAGAAAAGAAAGAGGACAAACAGGTAGGTAAAACATTTCACAAATTCATTTACATTCCATTGAACAAAATGTCTCGAAAAGTGAAAAGTAAAGAAAAAAGAAAGAGAGAGAAAAAAATTGTTTCTATTTTTTGCCCTGAGGCGGTTTTTCTAAGAGTTTGCACTTTCTTGACCAATGGCCGCATGTATTGTTGATGTTTGTTGCTTTTACCAATTTTTTGAATTATCACCATCATTAGTTTTGATTGTGAGCTTATTGACACAACAACTTGAGGCTTAATTATATTTTGGGCTCAAGATTAACTGATTGACAATAAGATTTTTTCTTCTTCTTCTTTAGCAACTGACCACCTCAAGGTAATGACCATCATTCCCTCACCCCTGTTAGGACTTAGTGGTAATTAAGTTGATTGTATGAATTAGTTAATAGCATTGGTTAGTGTTTCTATGTGATCATATTAATATGATAATCATAATGATTAAGATAAACAGGTAATACAATCAGTTTCTCAATGTTGACAACTTTAAGAGGACATAAATCAATTAATTACTTTGAAAGTTTAATTGTTGTCATTCAAAATTTCAATTGAAAAATATGACAGCTAATTAACTTGCGATTGTATTGAATATTAATTTCTTTACAATTAATACTTTAGATAATAGTAGTTGAGTTGTTGTGTGAGATTCTAGTGGATTATTGTTATTACCTGTTTAAAGGAACCGGAAATGATGCTGAAGATGAAGATACTATTAATACATCATTGGGTTTACCAATTTTTTTTTCTTACATAGGATTTTTTTTATGATAATTAGAGGATGATGAAGATGGTGTTGATTGTCAAGTTGATTTTCACAAGGTTTTTCAATCAATTGTGTTGAAGGTCAGTGGTCGATATATGTGATGGGAAGATGAGAGATGAAAAGAAAGAGCAAGTGAGAGAGAGAGGTGAAGATGAGGAGGATGATTACGATTGAAGAAGGTTAAAAATTGAAAGAAATATACTTATCCTATGTAACTTTGTTATTATTACCTGTTTACCTTATATTAATTTTCCTCTCTCTCTCTTAAAAAACCAGTCAAGAAGAAGATGATGATGATGATGATGGAGAATAAAGAAAGAGGGGCAAGTGAGAGAGAGAGAGAGAGAGAGAGAGAGAGAGAGAGAGAGAGAGAGAGAGAGAGAGGAAAGTATGAGACGTTGGTCCCTTTGGTTATTGTTATTTTCCTGTTTCTTTACCCAAAAACTGATTACTCTCTTTCTTGTTTGGCCCTCTTTCTTATCATCTTTATCATCAACAACATCTCTCTTGCTCTCTTCTTACATTTAACTCACTAGGAGTGAAGAAAGAAGAAGATAAGAGAGAGAGTGAGAGAGAAATTGTTATTTAGCTAATATAAAATTTGACAATCAGAGAGTTAACTTGAGTTCTCACGGCAAAAGTTGAGGCCACTTCTAGGTTGACCTTAGACCTGGCGATAAATCCGACGGCAGCAAAAAAAAACCGAAGCACTGGTAACATCAAGTTAATTTCATCTAAAAAAAAGTAAAGGAAGAAAAAGAAAAAAAGAAAATGGGAGGAAGAGGGCAAAAGATGGAGGAGGGAGTCAAGATGAAGATTATGACGATTATTTGTTATTTGATTTGCAACAATTTTCTTCTTATTCTCTCTCTCACTCACTTGCCTTTGATCAATTTAAATGTTAACAATATAAATGAAAACACCAAATTATCAAGTTGATCAACAATTGTCATCATTACCAAATTTGAAGACAATTGTGACCCAATTGTAAACACAATCAAAATATTACATGTACGTTAATGTATACACATAAATATTTTTTCATTCTCTTTAACCATCCACTTCAATTTAAAGGTTAATTACAAGGTCAATTATTGGTGACACCATTAACCAGTCAATTTCTGATTATTAACTAATTACAATTCCATCAAAACAACAAAATGAGGTAAAAATGGTGATACAAATTAACCCTCTTATCCTGTAAATCTACACATACACATACACATAATCCAAAATAGGAACCAAAGTGACGTAAATATAAACCAAAAAGGATGACCTTAAATTAACCTGCAAATCAAAAAAAAGAGAGACAACAATCAGTGGTGATTAATATGAAACAATTAAAATCAAAACCAATACAATTTAAATTTGGTGATTGAAAAAAAAACAACAAACCAAATCTATTTACCTACACACTCACAAAACAATTGGTTAGTAACAGAAAAAGATGATAAATTAAACAAGTTAAGACAAACCGAGAGAAAAGCCAATCAATCATCAATTAAGAGAAAATTAATTACAATTAATTGTTTAACTAAAATTGTAGAGAAAAAATTAAATTGATTGGAAAAAAGAATAGAAAAAAAAATAAATTAAATTCTCACCCACACTTACAGTAAACATCGAGCTAGAAAGAGAAAGAAAGAGAAAAGAAAGAGAATAAACTGGAAAAAGAAAGAAGCTGTGAGAATAGTCTAGAATGTTATTCTAAGAGAGATACTTAAGGCCTGAGAGAGAACCAAATTTATATTTACTTCAAGTGATTCAATAGTGAAGATTGTTTCTTTTTCCGTTTAATATTCTTACAATTAATTAATTACAATTTTTATCGATTGTTAACCATCTTTACTCTGTGTGTTTTACGTTTTTAATTTTGTCCTTTCGCCTGTTCTGTTTAGTCATTTAAAATGAATAATCATCAATCTAATCAACCTCGTGAACGATCAATTCCAATAACAACAACCCAAGATAATATGCCAACCACAACTCATTTTCCTCTATCATCTTCATCTTCACATCCCATGTCCTCTTCTGGTCCATTTTCTAGTTCCCCTGGTCGTGGTAATCTATTTAATCAATTAAATCAGTTTAGAAAAAATCATTCTCCCGATGAATTGTTCTCCGATAGAAGTCATTTCTCTTCGCCTTTTGGCTCTATGAGTGTAAGTATTTTCTCTTTTTACTATTTTCTATATTTTCCTCTTTTCGCTTTTTTTTCTGGATAATTCTATTTATCTTTTTAAGCCTTTGACATTCTATTCTGACTAATGTTTTTTTTTCTGCTTTTTTCTTGTTCGATTTGATGTTTATATTTAGTCTGGTTCTCGGAATGTTGGTGATTTTTTCTCCTCTCATGGTAACAACGATGAAGAAGATTGTGAACAACAAGAATCTCATCAACCAAGAGTTTATAATATTCCTATTCAAGTAGAAACTCCAGAGGGAGTTGTCCCTCTTTCTAGATCGAATAGTCATTCACCCAGTTTCTCGCAATTTCGTAATAACAGTCATCATCATCATCACCATGCAGCACCAACTCATGGCGGTGGTCCAATACCTGATAGAACTGGTGAAACCTTTACTAGACAACGTCCTGGGCCTAGTCCAACTCCACCACCTAAACCAAGGTTTACACCTTCCTATAAACCGGAGCCTCAAGGCTATACATTTCAACAACAATACCAACCAGATGCTCATCCACAAACACATCGTGTTCACAATATTCCTGTTCAAGTAGAAAAAACATCTAAACCTAGTGAAAGTGTCTCTAACCAGTCTCACTTTAAACAAGACGTTCCAAATATCGGTAGAGATTCACCAAGACCAGAATCTCAACAATCGGGTAATGGTGGACCTCACGTCATTAATATCCCTGTAAATGCTGAGAGAAGTCAATCTAGTGAAAATAAAAGTCAACCACAACCACAACCACAACCCCATCAACCTGCACCTAATCAGTCAAAGGCTTCAAGTGAACCTCAAAAAGGTCCAGTTGATCCTCTGGATCTAATTAAAAGTATTAAAGATGAGGCCTGTAGGTTGGAAAGTGAAGTGAATAATTTTGACGGTGAAAGTCAAAAACAGTATCGATATTTAGATGAAATGTTAACTCGGTGTATGTTAAAACTTGATAACATTGATTCTGGTGGACGTGATGAAGTTCGTTCTGCCAGAAAAAGTACATTGGCCTATGTAGATCGTGTTATAGCCATTTTGGAAAATAAAGTTAATCGACCTGGTACTAACCAGGAAGTTCCTGAAACAATTGAATCTAATATGGAACAACAATCCGGTGAAACAGAAAGTTCAATGGAAGCTGAAACCGGTGAGATTGATTCTACATCTCAACAACAACAACAACAACAATCAACTGATGAAAAAAATGATCCTGAACTAACCGGTAATGTTGACAACAATGAAATGGAAGTTGAAAGTGGTTCCGGTCAATCAAATGAAACAACCGAACAACCCGACGAACAACTGGACGAAGATGTTGCTGACGGTGAAACCATCGAAGAGGAGGAAGAAGAGGATCCCTCAGGTGTTGATGGTCAAAGTAAAGATTTGTATAATTGTTCATATAATCAGCTTAGTAACGAAAATATTTGCAGAACAACCGAAGCGGTCATCGTTGAAGAAATGGATAAAGAAGAGCCTCCAGAGGAGCCGCCCACCAAAATAAATCGATCCAGTGAACAACATGATGAAAAGGTAAACATTGAGTTGAATCTTCCATTGGGACAAGGTCAGTTTCAAGGAGATGGAATCGAATTGATTAATTCCAGTCAACCAAAGATTGAATTACCACCAGAAGATTCAATGGGTAGTGATGAAAGTTTAGATACCCTTAAAGAAAATAAAGTATCCATTATAAGCGACTCAGATAATTCTAATGCTTCTGATGATATTTTGGATATTGAGCCTTTCGTTGAAATGCCTGATGAAAGTTCTGTTTCAAGTAAAGATTCCGATGAAAATAATAGGCAAAGTTTACAGATAGTTGAAGAATCTTCAAATGCTAACATGCAATCATCACCACCGAAGCCAGTTCATGCTTAAAAAATGTTTTAAATGTAATCACAATTTGTACCTTAGTTTTTTTCTCTCTCAATTTTTGCTTCTCATTTGATTGAAGGTTGGCCTAATTGTTAACAATCAGCAGAGAATTAAAAAAAATGCTTTTTTCTTATATAATTTCCAACCACCAAATCAACAATCAAATCATAACAAAATAAGGCTTATGAAAAAAAAAGAAAGAGAGAAGAAACAAAAAAAAAAGATAAATAAATAAAATTCACTTCTCGTTCCACCTTCAAAACCAATGAATTTCGTTGGGAACGTAGCCAACGAAGTGACGTAATCAACGAGCCAGCGATTGGATTATCAAGAAGTAAGCAAGTCAAAAAACTGGTAATCAATTTAAATGGTGACAATTAAGACAAATAAATTTCTATCTGGTTGTTGCGCTTTAACTCCTTAAACCAGAATCACTAAGGAGCAAAAAAACCAGAAAGTTAATCTGATTTCTTTGGTTCAATTCTGATGGAAACAAACATTAGCTTATTTACTATCATTATTGTTATCATCTCATCATCATCATCATCGTCATTACTATTATATTAACCCACAAAAATTGGTAACAATTTAATGTTACCTTTTTTTACCTTTGTTGAAATGTAGGTAAGTTTACAAATGGATACGCTTGGTAAACAGAATCAACAACAACAACAACAATTAACTTGATTTTAAGCGTAAATTTTGTAAATAATTTTGTCAATACTGTTCATCATCATCATCATCATCATTATCATCATGTCAATTTATTATTATAACTGAAAAAACTTTCATTTTCATGTAATAATTTTTGTCATCATGTTGTAAATTTCAATTCTTATGTAACAATTTAAATTTGATTCTTTATTAAGATTAAATTATTGTTTCATTTCAATTGATCTTTTTGGTGATAACTAATTATTTTCTCTTATTAATTGTAAGTGAGAATTAATTTCTTATCAACTATTGAGAAAACTATTGTATCTTTAATTGTCCTGGTGGGTTATCATGAAGCTGAATTCCCGCTGATGAAATGACCTCAATTTTAAGTAACATGATAAACCTTTTGGATTCACACCACAGGGTAACATGAGTAAATCAACTGAGAGAGAGAGAGAGGAAGATGAAATTTTCTGATATTATTATCATTGATTAAATTATAATCAGCGTTAATCATTTAGTGTGTTTAAATATCCTCCAATGATTAAGAAATTATTAGTTAATCTTCAATTGAAAGTTGATGAAAAATATTTTCTGTTCACTGGTTAATTACAATTAAAGGTGGAATTGTGTATCAATCCTTGATTTCCATGAACAAATTGTAACAATCAACTAAACAGTTAACAAACAAAAAAATGAGTGCAACTGTTTAACTGATTGATAGAAATCAAATTTAACCCAATTTTCTGGTTTAATCAACAATTTAAATTGTATTTGAAAATTCAACTACTCTCACTTTGAATGATAGTTGATATTAAATTTGATTGTCATCATAATGATAATATAATTATGATTAGTGGTAACAATTAACAACAGAATAAAATTAAATTTGAATGTATAAAATTTGGGAGATTAACAATTGACAATTTTCAAACATGATTAATGATTGAAATTAATTGTTGTTGATTGGAAGGTGAAAATTTAAATTAATCATGTAAACGTTAACCAGATAAGTGAACAATAGTTAAGCTCATTTAAGGTGTTAATTGTTGAATCAATTTTTTTTTATAAATATTAATTGTGACTTAATTTATGTAGATATATTTATAGATAAGTGACAATAATGATAACAATTAAATTGATGTAAATCTAATTAATAGATTGTTGAATAGTCGACACCCTGTAGATATTTGTAAGATAAAGGTAACAATGTTTCTCAAAGGTAATCCAACAAAAAGTATTACAATATAATAGGAAAATTAAGGTTATTACAATTTAAAGGCTTTTCTCTTGAGAGTGAGAGAGAGAGAGAGAGATGAAGATAAAAAAGATATGACGAAGATGATAAAGAAGATGAGAAGATTAAGGAGAAGATGAGAAAGAGAGTGACAAAGAAAAAAAGATGACAGAGAATAGCAAATCTATATAAAGATAATAACATTATGATGAAGATGGTTTGACAGGAGAGAAGATAAGAAAGATGCGAAGAGAGAGGGAGGGAGAGGGAGAAAGAGAAATGATAATGATGATGAGGATGAAGATGAAGATGATGAAGGTGAAGATGAAAAGCGATGCTGAAGACGCTTTCTAGTTGCTTAATTATCACCTCATTGGCATAAAGCGTAGGCAGTCAGTCAACCAATTCAATAAACTAGAAGATCAGATGATGATGATGATGATGAGAGAAAGAGGATGATAAGAAGCTGGAATGAAAGAGGAGAAAGAGAGCTGAGGAACGTGGAAAAGGTGGAAAGGTGAGTGGTGATGATGAAGAAGAAAAAAAGAAAAGAAAAGAAGATGATGATCGATTTTGCCTAAGGGAGAATAAGCAACTTCTCAGACATTTTTAATGGCTACTCTTAGTTAGAAACTGAAATGGTAAGAGAGAGAGAGAGAGAGAGAGAGAGAGAGTAAGAGAATAAAAAGAAAGATAAAACAAGAAGAGAGAGAGAGAATGATGATGGTGAGGATGATAAAGATGATTAAGATGAAGATGAGAGAGTGAAGGAATGTCTCAGGTTTTCTCTTCTTCTCTTGGTTGTAAAAACTTTTGGGTTTTTATGGTTACGACCTTTCAACTTGCAATAGAAACTAAAGCTTCTTGAGTTATAATAAGCTCATTACCTTGAATTACCTTCTAGTTGATTTTCATGTTTAACTAACTAAGAAGAAAGAAAGAAGAGAGAGAGAGAGAGAGAGAGAGAGAGAGAAAGATGATAAGAGTGATGATGAAGAGAGAAAAGGAAAAGGAAATGAGGAGGAAGAAGAAAAATTCCTTCTCCAAACAAACAAATCCATAGGTTATCAGAAAAGCAATAAGATCGAAACAAAAGTTTCAGGTCAAAATCCGAACTGATCAAATTTCCGTTAGAAAGTAAATATTAATAAAGTGAATACCTGTCACCTCGCTACTACTACTACTCCATTATTACCACACCCGAAAAGGTCCTGATGAGTTTTTGTTTTTCGAAGAAAAAAAAAAGTTCTCTTCATCTTCTTCTTTCGCAATCTAATATTTAATTAAACAGATATCATAGAAATAGTATCATTATGATTACAGGTAACAAACTAGAAGAAGATGAGGAAAAAAAACACTGAACGTTTATCTAGTACTTACCTGAGACCACAGACAAAAGTTTAGATATAATAATGTAATGGGAGGTAATTGCTCCATTGAAAGGTATGCCAAGGAGAGGGTCAAGGGGTTTACAGTGGAAAAAGAAAGAGAGGAAAGAAAGAGGAACAGAGGGAGGGATGGAGAGTGAGAGAGGGCCAAAGGCTGGGGGCAAGTCAGCAACATAACAACAACAGCATCATCATCATCATCATCTTCAGGTCATTACATTAAATATCGTAGGTATCAGTAAGTTAGTAAAAAAAAGCGTGTGAACACTTACTCCCGATCAGGTTTAGGAAAGATGATGATGAAGATGATGAGGATGATGAGGATGATGGTGATTCTATTTCCTTCATAACCTGACCTAACCTATCATTTTGTATTCTCCCTCCTTTGGTTTTTTTTTCTATTCTATTAAGGGAGAGAGAGAATAGAACTTTTTTTCTTCTTCTTTTTCGTTATTACCTGTGTTTCGTTACCTTTTATTGTGTAGTACGTTAGTTTATCATCTTCGTCCATTCAATACAATTTAATAGCGACTTTTGTCCAGCCTCTTCCCCGGAAATGACTGAATTTCCGACAGAGAGCAGAGAGAGAGAGAGAGAGAGATGAGGGTCTATCCGGTCTATAGATGTGCTAACGTTTCAATGTTTTCATTAACTATGTAACTTACAGGGAGCCACACCTTGGAAATACATGTTACTTGATTAATTGAACATTTTACTTTCTGTAAATTTTTCCTTCTCTTTTAATTTTTAACTTTCTACCTTTCGTTAAGCTTAATTTTCCTAGTGTTATATATTCACATAGAGATTATCATCCTCATCATCACATACTAATGTTAGGTGTTATCATCATCATCATCATCATCATCATTAATATCATATGATTATTATTATATGATGATGATAATAATAATGTTGGTTATCATTCAATGTTAATTTATGAATATAATTTAACTTTAAAAAGGAAACAAAGTTTTGTCTTAATTGTCTTAAATTGTTGTAAATTAACTTTAAATTAACTTGTTCATCTTTCCTAATAACCTCTTGATTGTTTCATAATTTGATTAGTTTAATTTGATTTGATTGTCTTATCATCATTCATTGTTGTAAGTGTTAATTAACTGAAACGTTTATTGTAATCATTTATTTAACTATTATTATGATGAAAAAAAAAACAAAGTATTATAATTGAATTCAATCAATTCAAATGTAAAGTAGTTGTTGATTGTAAATATTGGGACAATCACTTGATTGTTTATTTAAATTGTGTGTATAATTTAGTAAGTGTTTACTTTCAATTGTGGTTTTTATATCAAATGATAATGATAATTAACCAATTTGCTTGTTAATTTGATTGTTGAAAGGGGAAAACAAGAGATTTACTTCAATTAATCATTGAAAAAAACTGGTTTGATTGTTATCATTAATTGTTTGATGGTAAATTAATATAATTGTACTTTGATTAAATATTATGAAAAAAAGACAATCATTTGTTGATGATTATAAATGATTAGTGAACAATCAAAGAGCTACAACAATCAGTTAATTGCTGATCTTTAACCTCGTTCAAATAATAATATCGTTCTTATCACAAACATTACGATTTTAATATGAAAGTTTTACTTATTCATCGAGGACTTTTACCTGTCCTATCCTATGGGAGGATGAGGATGGAGATGAAAATGAGGATAAGGATGAGGATGAGGATGAGGATGAGAGAGAAAGGGAATTATGCTATAAAAAGAAGAAAAAAGAAGGCGGACAAAAAGAATATCAGAATTTTGTTCCCTTCTAATTGGGTGGGTTGATAGTGTAAGAGAAACAAATGGAATCAAGTTGATTGTTTATTAAGAGAAAAGGGAAGTTCTGATTTACAATAAACTCTGAACGTTTCAAAATGCTGAAGATGAAAAGGTAAAAATATGAGAGAGAAAGAAAAAAAAATGTTCTTTTTGGGTGGATTCTAATTTTCTTCTCATCCTG